AGCAAAATTTTTGGATGACAGTAATAGGGTTAAGCAAAGATGATGGCGACCACAATGAGAATGGCAAAAAAGCAATAAGTTTAGATTAGCAAAACAATAACTTTGGATGTGCATCACGCTTCTTTGTACATTTCGTAGCTGTCATTGCACGACTGCGACATGAAACTTCCTAATTGTCGCGTCTGCTTTATGGAGCAGGTGAACACTACATAAAAATTTTGTTTTCCTTTTTGTGAACTCAGATACCGTCGTTTCGGATTCAGGCCCAGAAATTTTGCCAATATTTGACTAATCAAATGAAATTGAATAAAATCAATGAAGTTTGAAACAGTGCAAATTCACTTTTTAAGTGATGTTTTCAGTTTGTTGCCATCCATAAATTTGGCTGCCTTGGCAAAGTGACATAACAACTTCTCCTCTCTATTGAAAGGTCTCTGATTTTCAGGGTGTCGGCTTTTAGCTGAGATTTGCCTTATGGATGAAGAAATACGGTAACTAATTTACTATTGGTACTGACTGAACTCTACAGTTTCAAAATGACTGTAGTAAAGTAGTAATTGAACTTCTCGTCATGCAATTTTGGTCTGAAATCATACTTGTGATTGCAAATCGAACTGGCACTGTGCTCTCATCTGTTTAAAATTCCATGTTGATTTCAGTGTACCAATTGGCCCTCCACTCAGTTCAGTTACCATGTGATTATTAATTTTTTTCCAACTAAATTAGGCTAAAAAAGATAAAGACATCATGGAAGGAGTTGTTTCAATTCCTGATCTGGATGATGAAAACCAGTCCAGTGATGATAAGAATGGGGTTGATAGCAGGTACTTATTGATAAAACTTGAAGGTTTTAGTTAATTTTCAAGTGACCTTTAGCTGTCTTAAAAAGTGAGATGAAATGGAGAGAGAATGGTATTTTGCTGAAGTATGGTAAAAAAATTGACATTTCAGTTCACTATAGCACTAATTAAACAGTAGATAAATGCAGAATTATTGTCACGCAAACCTGTTTTAAGCTCTCTTAAGTAAGATCATCAGCAGAACTGATCTAGTCTTTTAACCAGGCAGTCATGACTGAGAGAACACTAAGATTTCTCTGTTCTGAGATGCCTGTGTCACCAACTAAAAGACATCAGTTCTCAGCAAAAGAGTAGTAATATGTATACTCAGTCTGGTAAACTACCTAAAATCTCAAAGTATTCGGGTTCAAAAACTAGAACATTGCCATGAAAGATATTAAAGGGACAGGTTCACAGTTCAGCGCATGCTCATTAATTAAATTACTTTTTTCCAATTTGTTATTAATTCTATCGGTTAATAATCACACTCACATGTATCTCAATAATCTCAGAGTGTATTTCAAAGTAGAAGTGTATTTCAGTGTAACCTGAAGTGGGATGGAGGAGTACTAAATTCGCAGAAAAATTAGTGGATTATGCCAACACTACCTACGTTGAATTTATTGTTGACCCGAGGGTTTTATTCCATGGTTGATTACTTTACAGCTAATTTCACCTAAGTTGATCAAGTAACTGCCAGGGGAGTGTGCAGATTGGTTCTTTCACATTATTATAACATGATCATCTTGCTTTCATAGACGATACAGCATGTCCCGACAGAAAAACAGCATTTTGATTAACAAGTATGCGTTGAACCGTGAACCTGTCCCTTTAATCATCGTGGATAATTTGTATAGAGGGTTTAGTTTTATCGTTTGTCTCACAATAATTGTCACTTTGATATTGATCGTGACATTTTGACCGCACACTGCAGGTCTTCATCAGACAATAATGTTGACTTACTGAGGCAAACTATTTGTACCACCATGATTGTGATTGTGATTGATCAGTGATTGGTGTATCACAAACCTCGCTCTTGGTTGGTGGGTTTTGATCCAACGCATTGTTGGCATTGTGAGAGGAAGAAACTTATCCCTCGGCAGTCCACTGTGGTAGAGGTCGGATGTCATGTTGTCTGATTGTTGGCATCCATGTTTCAGGAATCTCAATTCCACTGTCCCTGTTGATTTTGTTAGGATAAAGTCTTATGTGGATGGCCTCCTTAACCTAGGTTCTGCAGTATAGAAAAACAATTTTAAAAAACATTAGAAACAAATCGAGCAGGGTTTAACTTTGCAAAATGTCATCACAATTATTGTGATGACATTTTGCAAAGTTAAAAAAAGGGTCTGGTTGACAAAATAATTTAATTCCTATTAAAGGTAACTTTGATATAAAAAATAACCATTTATTTTTATTAATTTTGAATTAATTTTTTAATAATTTTTATTTCTTCCCCTTCGTTCAAGAAGTTAAAAAATAATTTTTTTTTTGTATTTAGCAGGGAAACTATCATTGATGCTGCTGTAAAAAATGTCCTTTGGCAAATGAGCTCAGATCGAAAAACAACTGCATTGAAACAACTCCAAGGTCATATCTGGAAAGAAGCATATGATGATGGAAAAATCAAAGGAGAGTAAGTCTTGTCTTTATTCCTTATTCATCAATGGTTAAATTTTTCTATTGTAACCCTGAGTTTCAGGCATTTCCGGTGGGGTAAGAGGAAGAGAGAAGGTTCATCCTCTAAAATCTCCTTTATCATAACCCCTAACGAAGGCCTGATGTGAGCACAATTCTGTTTAAATAATAAGCTACTTATTGCAGGCCCTCTGAAAGGATACAAAAAACCGTTCGGAAATAATTTGTACAATTGGTTATTTTCCGACACAGACCAATTTGTGGTCTTTTTCCAGCTGAATGTCAGTCTTTACGGCAGACGTTTCAACGATTCAGGCTCTATTATTTGCCAAATATCTTCATCGCTTTCGCTGTTGGTTTGAGTGACTAGAAGTTCAATTCCAAAAACATAGCTGAACAACGTCATCATTGCACGGGCGTGCATAAATAAAGATTTTGTTCATAGCGGCTCAATAGGAGTTATACAGGGCAAGCACTCACGCTATTGTTATAATTAAATATACTAGATTTGAGGATTTCTTTGCAATGGTTTAAAGTCCACTGTCTGAAGTAAATTTAGAATGCATTTATTTTATTTTATTCGTTTTAGCTCTGGCTAAATCTATACAGTATCCGTTTGTAAATGCACCCATTTGGAGTGCGCGTAAAAATCACTCATTTTTCTCTTTCCCCGCCGCGTGGCGCCTTTTCTCGCGTGGTGTGATTTTCACACACGCTCGCGTTTCGCTCGCTCTGCTATAGAAAGCTGCCCGCAAAGTGCAGGCAAATGAAGACGATTTACGTAGAGATAAGCATTTTTTGAGCTTGGAAATATTGGAACGAATAATGAAACATTGTCAGTCATCGGATTCGGCTTTCTTAGTATAATATAAAACAAATAAAAAACGTTGATCTCGGAGGGTTTTATCCATACTGATTTTCGACGTCGGTGGATAATACCCCTCGATTTGCATAATTCTTCATCCATGTATCATACTTAGTCTCATTGAAATTACTATTTATTTCACAATGAAAATTGCCTGAACGTAAGCACAATTGGACAGCACAAGCACAGAGACAGGAATCAACAGTAATCTATTCCCAGTGGACGCTCGCATAACAAAGGCCTGGGACTCAAGAGATGAGTTACGGGACATGCGAGTCCGCAGGCGAGAAGGCGATAGGACTAGACCAAGATAAGAGAAAAAATCGGGCGGGAGGGAGGGTTAAACAAACGAACCCCAAAGCAAAAAGGGTGAAGACCCCCCCCCACAAAGGGGCTTCCACGGGCGCATGAATCCAATCCTTCCGCCCTTGCAGCCAAACTGGACAAATTTGCTTACACACGTGTTTATTTATATAGAGAAAGCCACTCCCGAGGGAGAAACGCACACACACTCCTGAAATAGATCTCTCGCTACTAATTCGTCAGAATTAAGGCCAGTGTTACACGAGCGAGCACTGGGAATACTTTCCCTTTTTAACGCTTGCATTGTGCCTGTGTCGCTCTCATTGAGAACTAGGCTTTAATTTTGTTTGTTACAACACTTCATTCCAGCATATTTGATGATGTTACCCCTGCATTCAAACAATGGAAATCAAAGGACGTTAAAATATATATCTATTCATCTGGAAGTGTGGCTGCTCAAAAGCTTCTGTTTGGAAATTCCAAGTTTGGAGATTTATTACAGGTAATTAAACTGAGTTTTGCTCTGTAACAGTTTTTTTCTACTAGAGCTACAAAAAACCTTATGCACAATCTTAAAAAACTCCGAAACTCCTTGCGCCTTCAAAGAAAGCAGCTTAAAATTTTAATAGTGAGAGGAAGTATTTCTGTATTCCTGACGAATCAGGAAATTTTGATACGTGATTCACTTTTCTGTTTACACGGAGATGCCTGAATCCGAAAGAAAAATATCGACGTGTCCAGAGATTTTGAATACGGTGAATGAATACTTTGAATCCAAATGAATATTCTCACATTAACATCTGTGTGTGTAAACGTTAATGAATCCAAATACCCTATATGTAGTTAACCCGGAAACATTTATGAATTCGGAAAAAGAACTCCCCTTTAGTTCAAAACCTAGCCGTTCTTGTGTCGTCATGCAACGCTCCTGCGTAGAGAGCAGACTAGTTTAAACCTGGCCTAATAATCTGATAATGACGTCATTGCATATGTGACTGCAAGTAAATATCAAACACTGACAGACCTGGTGTGGTATTTGTTAGACTACGAGTAGTTCCCCATTTTTCTTCAGGGATAGTAGAGCGAGCAAACGAAACGCGAGCGCGCGTGAAAATCACCCCACGCGAGAAAAGGCGACACGCCGCGTTTCGCTCGCTCTACCATCCCTGAGGAAAAATGGGGGACTACTCGTAGTCTAGCTATTTGTTTGACAAGTTGTGCGGTATTGGTCATCACCTCTTCCATTAGGTAACCTTCGTCACGATGTGTGTCTTCTTCACGTTCATCCTTAATATCATCATCATCATCATCATCATCATCATCGTTATCATCATCATCATCATCAGCATCACTGACACTCTTACTACCAACACTCATAGTTTTTGTGTCAATTGGTTAACATTCTTGGATTTTTTTCTCCTCGCCTCTAGTATATAAATGGTCATTTTGACACTAATATCGGAGCGAAAATGGAATCAAACAGTTACGAGAAGATAGCAGAGGAGATGAAGATGAAGCCGTCGAGTATTCTTTTTGTTACTGACATTATTGGTGGTAAGCTGTTAGAGTTATCATTGTGAAACACATCCATTTTGGTTTTGTTTGAAAACTCTCATAGTCAGGCGAAAAAACCTCTCATAGTTCCTTTGTTTAACAAAGATTAAGTCGACCATAACCAAAGGGAGAACGCAGAAAAAAGGTTTTCCTGATTAATAATTCATGGGCGATGGAGTGTCCATGGAGTTCTCCCGTAGCCTTCAAATACGGCCGTCTCCTCTCGCGAACTCGCCCTGCTAGAGACATTTTGCCACCTGCGTCTCCTCGCTCCCCGCCGCTAGAGACATTGCGAGGGAGAGAGTCGCTCCCACGAAACGTCCCAAGCGGCGAGGAGCGAGGAGACACGGCTGTATTCGCAGGCCAGTTCTCCCGTTCTTTTTCGTTAAACTTTGCTTCCAATGATATCTTCCGTGAACATTTCGGCCCAATTAGTTACCCGTGTGGGGTCTCCAAGGTACGGTTAAGACCCGATCCCGGAGATGACCTCCAAAAAGGACTTTACAGATTAAAGGATGCAAAAAACCGACACGCCGGAATCTGGGTAATATTCTCGATTAGACGTGGCGCTTCCCTAGTATGTTTTAACTAGTATTGTATGAGGCTGTACATGAGAACGTTGACTGAGAGTCGCTCATGCAGTTATTAACAAAACTCTTCTTGAGGTACATGAAAAAGGGTTCCATTTTCAATGGAAAGTGTCAGTAATAAAAGGGGTACCCATTTGGTCAGAAGTAGGATATAGAAGGGCTAGGGTCTGGACCTCGGGGCAGAGCATACCTGTATAAAACTTGTACCCTCCCCCACCCCTCTTCCGTGCCCTGCAAGTGGGGTTCCTGTTTATAACAGTTACATGCAAGTGGAAGCATGGGTAAGGATGTATAAGAATTGGTTGCCATTTTAACGCTTCGCGCCCTAGCACAATTATGTTGGAAAATGGCTTCGACAATTCTACAATTTAGTTCATTAGCACCTAGTATAACTTTTTTAGTAAGCGTACGAAAGGTTAAAAACAGGGTATTGGCAATACGTGAAACTTCGAACATTGCGGCAAATGACGAGGCCGCTTAGCTCGTTTAAACTTTGACACTATTTGATCGCGCTTGAATTTTTCATTTTCAAACTAAGTGTTCTTTTTCCATGTGTTTTTCTCGCAGAGGCAAAAGCTGCTTTAGAGGCAGGATTTAAAACTGCTGTCAGTGTTCGACCGGGAAACGCAGACCTCACAGAAGCAGATAAAAAGAAGTTTACAACAATATCAACATTTGATGAGCTGTTTCCCGAGACTGCCACGAAAGATTCACCCAGGATAAAGAAAGCAAAACCAGATGTCTGACATAAAAAATGTTGCATCAAGTTATATGAAGGGAGGGTACGACCTAAAAAAACTGGAAAGAGGAGAGGGATTTGGATGCTAACCATAGGCCAGTTTCAAGTCACACCGAAGCTTCTCTATCAAAACGAGGCTAGCTTTCGCATTCTTCGATATTTTATTGAACTGCAGAATATGAAATATTTCTGATCGGAAAGGATTCCAGTTGGTCTTTGAAAGTGCGGGTTCTTACAACTTGGAAGACGCGGCAAACAAACGGTATACTTTCAAAGTTGAACAAGGGGACCACCTAACGTGATTCAGGAGCTGAAGGTTAGATTGGTACCAAGTCAGTATAGCCAAATCAGCTGCAGTGGATAAAAAGAATATAAGGAAGGCTGTATTTCCTGAAGCTTAATATTTAACCTGAAAATTAAAGCAGTTTCCCTAGTATATCTCGCTCGTCTTACATTCTTAACACGTTTAACATTCACCACATGGACATGTGATTTTACGTTTGAATCAAGTGGAAATAGTGGTGTTAGTCATAACTAATAGACATGCAATATCAACGTGCACTTCCTCTAGTAAATCTATTTATTATACATCAGACTCACTATGAAAAATCTGATTGGTCGAGAGCATTCAATCAATTCACAATAGCTTGTGAACTTGACATGATAAATGCAATATCTGCTGCAGATATTGCATTTATCATGTCAAGTTCAACGTCTGCCTGGTTACCTAGCCCCTTGGAGTGTTCTCCTCAGAAACAGAATGGCTGAATGTGTTCTTTTGCCTATTGTTTAAAAAATGTATAATAAAACAATTATTGAATTCGGTTTTCGCATGATATCCTGAATTATCAAAACCTCGTGTTTGTATTATCAACACAGACCTCGGTTTTGATAATTCATGATCATGCTCAACCTCATCCAATAATTGTTTAATATAGGACCAGGGCGGAAAAAGTAACTTCGAAGAGACGGATGAGTGTCATCCAGACCCTGACATATGGGAAGGGGGCTGTCTCCAAAAAAATTTTTTGGACCCTTCGGGCCTCAGTTTGGTCTAAAAATAGGAGGGGGGGGGCCCTCGCCTGGATCCGCCACTAAATTAATTAGACTCTGGTGGACGGAATACAAAAACACCGGTTCTTATTGCAGACGCTCCCTTTCCCTTTCCCTTTTACGCTTTTCTCCTCCTCCCCTGCCTTTTTTGCGCTGTTACAGGTCTTATCTCCCCGATTTTGAAGATATATGGCAAGTTAATAAAAGCTCGATAAATGTACGATCAATAGGCTTTTAAGGCTCTAGAACACTCTTAGCGTTTACTTTAAAGATGCAACATGATGAATGACCAATTTACTAATAAGCTTTGCATGCAGAAACACAAATATTAACAGTGTGCTTTTTGGGAGTGGGACATCTTGTCTCCAAACTTGACGTCCCTCGGAAGATACTTATCTTTTAAATAAACATTTCGACCTTTTTAGTAATTAACTTAACTAGTTAGGGTTTTGTGGCTTCTTTTTGTTGGCAGATACATCCTACGCATTTGATTATATATGTAGACATACGGTCAACGACCAAAAACAAATAAATAGCGAGCTGCTAAGGAACTGAAAGAAAACAGGGTAAGCAGTTATGATAGAGAAAGAGAAGAACATCAGGAAGAATGTAGAACCGCCTTGCGAGTAAGTAAAATAAACCCGTTGTAAGTTTAACTGGCTGATTTTGGTGGAGTTCCTCTCCTTCTCGCCGACACTAAAAAGCATTGTTTACCAGTGGATAAGCCTTCTTTATCAGTAGCACACAAATAACCTTTATCAGAGGTGGACTGAGTTACGTTCAGCAGAGTGCTGAAAAAGCCAGTTTATCCACAGGCGGCCCAAACTCACGTTGCGAGGGAAGGGTGTAATGTAATTTACATAACATATGTGACGCGCTGGTGTCGCGTTACAGGCGACCGTTGAAAATATAATTATAAGAGACTTTGTATGGGAAATATATTACTGAGATCTGCGAACGCTAAATAACGCTAAACCTTACTTTTTCTTAAATGAAATGAATAAAAAAGTCTTACCTGCAATCTATTCCGCTGCGGTTTGGTGTCTGTTTGTCGTTTTACTGTTTTTTTGGCCTTATTGCGTAACCACTGTTACTCCTTTCATAAAAGGAAGTGAAGGCTGGTCACTTCCATCTGGGTAGTTTCGAAAACGAAGCACTCGAAAACGAAGACCGAAGCACGAAGCACCCAAAACTCGAAAACGAAGCACCCTATCTCGAAAACGAAGCACCCAAATCTCGAAAACGAAGCACCCTATCTCGAAAACGAAGCACCCAAATCTCGAAAACGAAGCACCCTATCTCGAAAACGAAGCACCCAAAACTCGAAAACGAAGCACCCTATCTCGAAAACGAAGACCCCAAAATCTCGAAAACGAAGCACTCAAAACTCGAAAACGAAGACCCTAAATCTCGAAAACGAAAACTCGAAACCACTAATATGCATTTTTTCGGTACACATACATGTTTATGTAGACTTCAAAACTGTCCGTCAGCAGATTTTGGTATATTCAAGTACGCGTGAGCAGTAACACAAAAGGTCTGAAACGAGGCTGAAAACGGAGTGTGAGGCTCGCGCGTATTACTCTTACGCCACGTTTACCAACTTCTTTACTGATTTTGAGAAAAAAACCGATTGTTTTGCAGTCTAACATATTGGATATCTATGACACTGCGTGATCAGATCAGATCAGATCAAGGCAGAATTTGTTCTAGGATAACAGCCTGGGACCAGGCTCTATGGTGGCGGGAACAGGAGAATTCGTTATCGTGCTTGATTCCTGCTGTATTAGCATTGGACTGGTGTTTATAAAGGACAGACCGGTTTCGAGTTTTTGGGTGCTTCGTTTTCGAGATAGGGTGCTTCGTTTTCGAGATTTGGGTGCTTCGTTTTCGAGATTTGGGTGCTTCGTTTTCGAGTTTTGGGTGCTTCGTTTTCGAGATAGGGTGCTTCGTTTTCGTGTTTTGGGTGCTTCGTTTTCGAGATAGGGTGCTTCGTTTTCGTGTTTTGGGTGCTTCGTTTTCGAGATTTGGGTGCTTCGTTTTCGAGATTTGGGTGCTTCGTTTTCGAGATTTGGGTGCTTCGTTTTCGAGATTTGGGTGCTTCGTTTTCGAGTTTTGGGGTCTTCGTTTTCGAGATAGGGTGCTTCGTTTTCGAGTTTTGGGGTCTTCGTTTTCGAGATAGGGTGCTTCGTTTTCGAGTTTTGGGTGCTTCGTTTTCGAGATAGGGTGCTTCGTTTTCGAGATTTGGGTGCTTCGTTTTCGAGATTTGGGTGCTTCGTTTTCGAGATTTGGGTGCTTCGTTTTCGAGTTTTGGGTGCTTCGTTTTCGAGATAGGGTGCTTCGTTTTCGAGATTTGGGTGCTTCGTTTTCGAGATTTGGGTGCTTCGTTTTCGAGATTTGGGTGCTTCGTTTTCGAGATTTGGGTGCTTCGTTTTCGAGATTTGGGTGCTTCGTTTTCGAGTTTTGGGTGCTTCGTTTTCGAGATAGGGTGCTTCGTTTTCGAGATTTGGGTGCTTCGTTTTCGAGATTTGGGTGCTTCGTTTTCGAGTTTTGGGTGCTTCGTTTTCGAGATAGGGTGCTTCGTTTTCGAGATTTGGGTGCTTCGTTTTCGAGATTTGGGTGCTTCGTTTTCGAGTTTTGGGTGCTTCGTGCTTCGGTCTTCGTTTTCGAGTGCTTCGTTTTCGAAACTACCCTTCCATCTGTAGGGGTCCTGGACCAGTCGCAAAAAAAATGCCGTTTTTTTCGCCGAAATTCAAATCCGCTGCGAATTTTTCAGCTCCAGCCCAAGAAGGAAACCTCTTCTTCCTCTCTGGGAGATCGGCTGGAAAAAAAATCCATAATTTCCCCATCAAATCGAGCCATTTGTGCCAGACTTCGAGGCAAGTCTGGCTTTCGTGCAGTGCCTGTGACCACTGTCGCGCTTACCAAGGTTTCCAATTTCAAATGCAAATTAGTTGCTAGGGTGACAATTATCACTTACGCGACGGGTGCAAGGGCAGAAATGACCCGTTAACTAGGCTCCTCGCCCCACCACGCCACCCTAGCAACTAATTTCCCGAAAGCCAGACTTGCCTCGAAGTCTGGCACAAATGGCTCGATTTGATGGGGAAATTATGGATTTTTTTCGAGCCGATCTCCCAGAGAGGAAGAAGAGGTTTCTTCTTGGGCTGGAGCTGAAAAAATGCAGCGGATTTGAATTTCGGCGAAAAAACGGTATTTTTTTGCGACTGGTCCAGGACCTTTACAGATGGAAGTGACCAGCCTTCACTTCGTTCTGTGAAAGGAGTAACAGTGGTTACGCAATAAAGCCAAAAAAACAGTAAAACGACAAACAGACACCAAACCGCAGCGGAATAGATTGCAGGTAAGCCTTTTTTATTTATTTCATTTAAGGAAAAGTAAGGTTTAGCGTTATTTGGCGTTCGCAGATCTTAGTAATATATTTCCCATACAATGTCTCTTATATTTTCAACGGTCGCCTGTAACGCGACACCTGCTGCTGCTGGCTTTGCGCGTTTGTCGTAACCTATTTCGCATTTCTCTGTGGCACGTAGCTGTTCAGATAGTGTTGGTCTTGATTTTTTTCACCTTTAATTTAAGCCATGATGAAAATTTACTCAACCTATGTAAAAAATATATATATATGAAGACATCTACTTGACAGAGACAGAACTTCAAGTGAGCGGGGTTGCAGCTGTAAACAACTGATTCCGTTCTTCTTTAACCGTTGCCTTCTTTCGAAGGTATGGCAACATTTTTGAGTGGGCATAGTAAGGAAATAATAGCCTTATTATAGGTAATTTACAGGTTTAGCTCGACTGCATATGCATAGTTCCTGTCAGTAAATTCCGAAAACGCCAACCCCCCTCCCCCTGCCCCCGGCAGCTCCCAGGCATTTGACTTTTTTGAATGGTTAGCCGTCAGTCAGTAATAGCCAAATGCACCCTAGCCTGCAGTGCAGGCGTTTTCTTTGAGCGCGCAATTTGCTCGCGAAAGCGCCATGTTGAAACTTCCCGAAGAGAGGAGGAGATGGGGCGAGTCAAAGGAAGCGGGGAGGGGGCGGGGAGAGAGAAAATTTTCTCCCCTCCCCTTCCCCCCTTTCCTTCTTTTGCCCTCGCACCTACCGTAAGGGTTATTATTTCTACTCTCCCCAATCTTCCACTGTCATAAACTCAAAGATGGCGGCTACTCTTTCGATTTCGGCCACTCAGAATACGCCTGCATTGCAGGCTAAATGCACCCCAACCGCCACTTGTTCCAGATAAAGAAAGCGTCGGATATGACCGATGATCAGCGAAAGAAAGACCAGGGGCGCTTTCCATTTAGGAAAAAAACCCGGAAATTTCGGTGGTAGCAATAGTGGAATTTCCGATTGGTAAAAAGTTGTTCTATTTGGTCGTAGACCCCGGTACGTGGCGGTGCCCGACCGTGGACCTGGAACTGGTACAAACTACGAGAAACGTAAATGGAACACGAGATTCCGTTCAGAAATTCCAACCGGGAAAACGGGACCACCTTTTTAGATTTTCCACTTTTTCTGGGAATTTTCCAGTGGGAGGAACCGACGAAACGTGTTCCATTGACCGCCGAACCGGAAATTCCGGAAATTTTGAGTAAATGGAAAGCGCCCCAGGTGAAGACCTAGCCTGTGAACAGCCCTTTTTTCCCCATTAACAGAGAGCCTGTTCACAGGCCAGTGAACTGACCAGACTATCCGATCGCTTACCGAGTATTACCGAGTATCCGCGTATGACCCGAGCGGCTCCGAAAGTGTCTCGGTTCCAGACCTCACATCAGCTGACCGCAAAATTCAAACAACACAATCCACGCAGCCTCATGCTCGTTCATCGAAAACAGTAATCTTTCCCCCCTTTTTTTCGCTAATCGGATACGATAGCGCCCTGTGAAATAGTGGCAGATGTTTCGTGATGTACAAGAAGTTGCTGTCTTAGGAGCAGGACTGATGGGAACATGTATTGCAGGTATATTTACCAGCGGGTAAACTATAGCTGAAACTGACATTTTGCCGTCACAGTGATTGAACGTTCGACAACGACAACAACAATCTGTATTTGTACTTTACTTGCCTTTTCTTGATATATTTATTTTTTTGAATGAGAGTACTAGCAGCCTGGAATAAAACTTCTAGAGTAAAAAATGCATAAACATCTTTTCCAACAAATAGACGTACTCTTCTGCCCCAGCGGGAGGGAGTGGGGCGGGGCAGGGGCCGGGGGGTGCTGGGGTCAGGGGTTTTGGACTCCTATACACAATACACTGCTTCCATATTCAGTTGGATGTATGGGCATTTGCAAGTTTGGTTAAATAGTGTGCAAATTTAACTAGTTGTGTGCATGCTTTGGCTCACATGTTCATGTACACTGTTAGACCCCGTCCACACGAAGACGATTGTAAACGCAAACGCTAGTAAACGCAAACTTTTTATGCATTTAGGCCTTCTGTCCACACGAAGACGATGAAAACGATCACCGTAAACGCATAAATTCGAAAACGCTCTCCAAAGTGGATAAATTTGAAACCGCCGTTTATGCGTCTTCGTGTGGACGGCCGTAAACATATATTTTCGTAAATGCTGTGAAAACGCTGACGTCAGATGTCAGCGCCAGTCTCTTTTATCGAGTGCGTTTCCAAGATGGCGTACACACAAGTGTTGAGCTGTGTCATGCTTGCGCTTATTTCAAGCATAATTGCGAGCATTCAATTGAATCATGCAATAATCGATATACAGGAAAACTACAAAAGACTAAACCTCTCAAGATTGTTATCCACAACTACAAGCACTTTTACTGGAGTAAAACGACTTAGATGCAGACGTGAGAGCAAAGAGAGAAGATTCTGGACCAGACCAGGTCGTACAAACACCTGGTGGAACAATTTTGCTGATCAAGTGGTGATACCAGAAGAGTGGAAAGAGAACTTTCGAATGAACAGAGACTCGCTATATAATCTAGCTGAAGAACTGAGACCATGCGCGTTCGGTGTATGACATTGTTTTATGCTTTTACGAGCGTTTTCGTGTGGACGGGTTAAAACGCTACGTAAACGATGATCGTTTTGGTGTGGACAGAGATAAAAATATGCGTTTACTAGCGTTTGCGTTTACAATCGTCTTCATGTGGACGGGGCCTTAGTTAATATGCAGTGAGGACATTGACGTCTCATACATGTACGCCAAAAATAACAGCCAGAAGATGATCCTGTCTCTCACTATTTTAGTGGTCTGGGTGTTATAAGTCATATATATTTGAAGAATGAAAACAAAAACTTAAAAATCTGTTCCACACAAGTGTTCTATCAAGCGAAAAACCAAACCTCTGGCTTCTATTCATGATGTCTGGGATGTAACTTGAATGGCAAGAGCCTGGGTGTTATCATTTTTATTTTGGTTTGCTGTTGATGAAAGCCTTTGTCAGATACTTGAGTCTCTTGAATAAGTGCTGCCCTAAAGAGCAAAAGAAGGTGAGTGTTCCAAATTAATGAAGCAGGCAATGGCTGCTGGTGTTGTTTTGTCTTGTACAGGTGAGCTAGCATACCACGGTCATCGAGTTAAGGTGTATGACAGAAGTAGACAAGCTCTGGACCATGCTCACAATGTACTGGGAGAACACAAAGAGAAGCTTAGGAGAGAAGAGCTGATGATCACTTGCAACTTTGTTGTGAGTAGTTTATTATGATAGCATAAGGGAGTTACTACACCACATGCGAGTTCCAACACCAAATGGTGATCTATACACATTTTGGATGGTCAGTAAATCCTCAAACAAATTTTCAAGTTATGGCGGTGCAATAATAATATTATATAGTTATAGGGTAATACATACTGTAGAAGTACATTGTATGCCATGAATTTGTGGACTCAAGATGGATTTTGTTTATTGAACTTGTTTTTAGGGTACAGTGACTTTTACTGAGGACCTTGAAAATGCTGTTAGGAATGCTAGCTTCATCTTTGAAGCTGTTTTTGAAGATCTTGCTGTTAAGCAAAACCTGTTTGAAAGTAGGTAATTTGATAATGTCAGCCCCTATCCCAGGTTCACATTGATTCTATGGATGTGTAGTAGTATATTAGTAAATATAAGAGCAAGGAGTTTAAAATGATATTTAACAATTAATGAATGAGGCTGAGTATCTTATGAAGATTAAATGGAGATCGAGGAGGGTGTTATCCGTCGAGGACGTAGGCCAAGGTGGATAACACCCCCCGAGATCTCCATTATTCTTCATATGATACGAAAGCCGAATTCAATAATTGTTTTTTTATTCATTCAAAATAATTCCTAGTTTAAAAACATAGCTCAAACAAGCTTACCTGCATAGATGTTAAGTTTATCTTCGATAGTTTACGTTTAGGTTTGTCCAGCTCTGCAAATAATATTCTCCAAATAGCAGATGTCAACCTCCGAGTTGTGTCTTCTTGCTGTTTTTGCTATCTTTTTAGCCATTATTTCACCTAGTTCCAGCTGTAGTTCTTACTCTTGAAACGAGTGAAGTGTCCGCCATTTTAGTTTTTAAAACGAAAACAATTCAATCTCGTCCCCAGGTCTTCTCGGTTAACGGTGCATTAACCTGTAGATGGCTGCATTTTTGACGTCATTTCCTCATTAAACACAAAATTCTTCCAAATTTGGTTCTCATTAACTGGTTATGGTGAATTATGTGTCTGCTTTTAGCCAATCAGAATTGGGGAAATAGTTTGAATGAATAATAATAATAACTATTGAATGAGGCTGAGTATCATCTGAAAAATTATGGAGATTGAGGAGGGTATTATCCATTAGAATCTGTTAGCAGATGTCGTCCCTCAAGTTGTCTTCTTGCTCTTCTTCCTTTTTTTGGCAAATAATTTGCCTACTAAGTAGGCAAATTATTTGCCAAACGAGTGAAATGTTCCTCCATTTTTTACTCACTACCAAAACAACTCAACCTTGTCCCCAGGTCTTCTAGGTTAACAGTTCAATAATCTGGCAATTTGCTGCATGATTGAGGTCATTAATTTTTTTTCACATATCGCAAAATTCTTGCAATTTGGTCAGCAATAGCTGGTTATATGATGAATTATGTGTGTGATTTTAGCCAGCGCAGAAATGGAGAAATATTTTGAATGAATAATTAAACCATCATTGTTTGTAGGTCTTGGCTTCTCATAGCGACCATGCCAAAATAGCTCTAATTGTAAAGTTATACTTCAGTTGGTACTTATAAGAAGTTATAATACTGCAAATTAAAAACTTGTGTACCGTAGATTAAAAACTCATGTATGAGCCACTTAGAGGTTATCTAATCAAAGAAGTCTATCACTCAAAAGCACTACTGGCAAACAAGGTTTGGGATTTGGCATCTAACTTTGGAAGGCTGTAAATATCTGCTGACGCCAAAGGCTTAGATGGATAACACTCTGCCAGATCTGTATGTTGTTCATATCATGCAAGATCTTTATGTGTATTGTCCACCTCTATATTAGCTTGCGTAGGGGGCGCTAGTTTCTTTTTGAGCGAAGGAAGAAATCTCGAGGGTGCACAAGGGGAGAAATGGAGAGGGTGTTCCTGCAGCGGAGACCCTGGTTTTCCATTTATGCCCCCAATTAATAACGTGACAGTGCTGCATTAACTGACAAGAAATTACAAGCAGATCGTCTAACGCAAACAACATGAAACTGACATCAGACCCAAAAGGAAGAAAAACCTCATGTATAAAGCAAACAATGCAATTTTAAAATAATACTTATAGGGGCAGCCAAGCAGAATGAACAAACAAACAGCCTTGCCTCAGTCCCATTCAGTCCGATTGTCAACAAAGGACGTCACTGTATTTGTGTTGAACAATGATGGTGATTTTAATGAAATTCATTAATCTGTTGTCCATCTCCACATAGCTGATGCTTATATACGCTGTTATAAGTTCCTTGCAGTATTTCTTTTAAAAAGTCCAGTTTTTCCTCCAAAACACACATGCTGATATTCCCGGCTGCTTGATTCTGAATTGTGCTTATTGCAAATATGCGGAAATAATGGCAATGCTTATAAAGACGGTTCTGGCCCGCATGCCGTCTTCACACCCCAATACAAATAACTGGAAAATTAAACTTTCTCCGAACTCAGTTGGTAATAGTGCCAAGAGATTTTTGCTGAAAAAGACGGCGCAGTGCTCTTCAAAAATGAATAAACCGTAATCAAAAATCTGTTAAAGCAAAGCTCTTTAAAAAACCTCTTGCAAGTACAATTCAAACAGTTTCTCAGCCGTGTGTCATGCCGCTCGTGTGCTTTGTTTTCAAGACTTGAATTTCCATCTACTGACAAATAGTACATCGAGGTGACTAACTTCCAAGAGGCGTTCTTTGTCAATGGCATTCTACGCACTGTCAGAGAATGTAGAAAATGGAAAACTAGGGCCTTTGCTGTAGGTGCCTCCTCTTTCCTTTGCATGTTCCACTTGCACCGCCTGTTAAAAAAAAACATGACCATCGCCTGCTACCCAGGCTACCTCCATCTGTATCTTCAAAATAATTTCCAATTCATCTGAAGTTTCAGGGTATGTATATTTTCTCTATCAGAAATATTTCATAATGGTTTCCTTACAAAACAGTTAACATAATTTGAGAGGCTATTCTATGTATCACTAAGCATTTGAGTCTCTGTGAATTCCAACATACCATTTACATTGGATGACTTATGTCATTTGTCTAATGATTATTTGTATTGGACAACTGGTGTAGTTCTTTCAATTTGGTCAGTGCATGTTAGAATGTTTTGAAAAATAAATCACGTATTTAATCCCAGTCAGAAACTGACAGCTGCTCTGAGTGACTTTTTACTGTCGTTATGTGTACTTAACAAAAGGTGCATCAAGAATATGCCGCCAGGAGGCCATTATTTCCAGCAACACCATTCAACTTGACGTCAGTGAAATTGCATCAAAAGCCTGTAGCCCTGAGGTACTCAGCATGCTGATACACTGATAAATCCTGGTATTGCATTTAATTAACTAGGTTGATGAAATAATTGTCTCAAGCTGTATCTATGATTGCCATGTTTAATTACAAAGTTCACAGGTGCCCCAGGCTTATGAAATTTGCTCAAATTCTCCCTTCATACTTGTAATAACATATACAACTGTAGGGAGAATTTTAACATTTCACAAAACTTTGTGAGCATTAACAACAAATTGTAGCGTCGTAACTTTACCCCATTCTGTAATTTTATAGTGTTATCACTGAGCCTGGGTCACCTGTACAATGTGCAGTGTTTATCACTTTGCTGCTGACACTCTCTCATTTTTTTCAAGCGCTGTTTGGGCATCAGATTTCTATATCCTGTATATTGTATTGCTGAAGTGGAGATAACTCTTGCCAAGCAAACCAATCAAGATTCCATTCAAAAAGGTATGTTTTTCTGTCATAGTGTGGTATTAGGAATTTCATAATAAATAATGATAGTAGGATACAGTGGAGTCTAGAATCCTATTTCCAAAAACTTTCATTTAAAAATGAAGCTAAGTGCAAGAATTTTGTTGTGAAAATGAGTTTTAATTGCCTGAGAATTTAAAAAATCATTTCGTATCAATGGCTTGGCACTCAACCTCGCTTTGAAACAGAGGCTTGAGGTAACTGGGAAATGGCCTATTTTGTCTGTAAGCATGAGAGTGTTTAAAGATATAATTGACCTGATTTGTCTAATTGTATCGTGAGTATGACAGACAGAACTGCACTACCCAGGGGAAAGGAACTGTCCCTCTGATGGTGTATATAGAGAGGCTTTGCAAGAGGGGGTTTGTTTTTCAGGATTCAGGTATAAAACAGGTATATGAGAACGGTTCATGAGTTGATTATTATATAAAAGGGTGGGAACATCTGTTCTGGATCAAGAAGAAGAATGAGGACACCACCCTGCGATTAGGAAAGTAAATATTTTCCAACTCTCTTGCACAGAAACAGGAGGTAACAAAAAAGTGACAGATTTCTTGTGCGAGCAAATTGGGGTGAAAAATTTAGTGTACTATTTGCATAATATGATGATATAATATTTGCATAACATATTGCACAATCTGTGCTGTTCATTTCCAAATCTAAAAGAGGTATTAGATAGCAAGGTTTCATTAAAAGAATAAGGACTCATATAAGATAAGTTCCCCCTTTTTTGTTGAGAACGTGATGACTGTACTTTTGCCTACTTTATTGCCTACATCTTATTGTCACTTTTGTTTTGTTTGTAGTTCGACAGTTTCTGGAAGGGATGGGTAAAACTCTCTTCTTTCGCTCTGGGAACACACCTCTTGTTTTAAGCCATGCGCAAGTTGAAGAACGCAAAAGAGGTTGGTACACGTAACTAAAATTGCATTAGCTAATGGCCGATTTGAACTTTTCAAGATTGGCTGCTCAAATTCCCCATCCCCCCTTCTTGGTCAAAATTGTGATCAAATGGAATAGAATTGTGAAAGATACATTCATTTATTCGTGACTTGTAAGCAGCTAACAGATCTGGAGAGTTCGTAACTTCAGTTTTTTTCCTACTAGGTTTTTACTCTGAGCTGACTTTGCTTGTTTTATCCGATAATTCATTTTTTTGGCTCTGAATTACTTCTCACTCTATTCATAGTTCAGAGACAGAGGCTCAGAACACTATTACAAGAAGGCCAAGTTCCTGTTTCACAGCTGCCAAACCTTGATGCTGGACACGGCGGTTTGTATTCTTTACACGCCCAACAAGAGCATACTTCAGAACAGCAGCCTGCATCCCAAGAGGTGGGGGCTAGCAGCGCTGAAGGTATGGTTGATGACTGACATTTCTTTGCAGATGTTGGTGGTTATTATTAAAATATGTTAACTGATCTTTCCACTGTTTTGATTTTCCCCCCTTTTTTTCAAGATTAAGAAATGTAGTACACAGTTTTGAATTCACTTGTCAGTGCTGGCCATTGATACGGAGTTACGTGAGCGCACTGAACACTTTACCTCGAACTTTGTGTACACCTAATAGCCCACATTTGATATATTAATTAAAATTCTAACATGATTTTGTAGCTTTCTGGTCAGTTTTGGTTTGGTGTTCTTTGTGCCCAAATCTCTTGTGGGAATTGCGGACAATGGTCGACAATGGAGTAGTAAAAAATTTGCAATTTTGACCCTAAAGCCTTGGAGTTGTGTTAGAATTTTAATATATCAAACGTGGGCTATTGCAATAACATTGTCATAGTAAAATGCTAAAAGGGAAGGGAAAAGCGGAATAAGGGACATTTACTTGCAACAAACGCAGTTGTCGTATTTGTATTTGTTTCTATACCTTAAAAACACCTAAACTGCAAATGGATGCCCCCTATAGTGGTTTATTAGTCCTGGGGTGGGGAGGGGGGGGGGTACTTGGGTTAATTTTTGCTGGGTATGTGCCACTGGCCTCTCAGAGCCCCTATCCCATTATAGTCTACTCTGTAGCCATGTATAGGTCTACCCCATCTCAGTCACTTTTGGGAAAATATGTACTTTTCGCAATCCCAACTTAGTCACTTTCTATTTTTATGAATTGACCCATTTTTTCTATTGAATGAAGAACACTTTACTTTTCATCTTCAGTACAAACATTCTGGTACGTTTGCTAACCATACTGATATGAACAACTGTCTTACTCAAAAATGTGCCATCCCATTCTAGTAACTGTATTGAGAGTGCGACCCCATTATAGTCAATCCAGGCTTGAAAATGCGACCCCATCCAGCGGCACATCCCCATTAGCCTCTTGTAAGAGAGTAACCCCCCCTTTTTATTAGTAAGCCTAATTTAATTCCTTTTTCCTTTTATCATTTTTCTAAGACAACGTTCTTGCAATTAAGTGCACACAAGTCTCCTACTGTTCAGTAAGGGTTTATAAAGCCTCAGTTGTGTGACGAATCGTGTCGTTGATCGACCAATATTTCCCAGACCGGCGACAAGTTAATGCCATATATAAGTACGGTGATAATCTTAATCGTTTTCAAAAATTTAAAAAAAGCTGAAATGACAGTGACAAGGAAACAACAACAACAACAGTAATAGTAATAATAATAATAATGATAATAATAATAATAATAATAAAATTTAGAACAACACAACTTAATAGTAATGTTTATTTAATACTGACTCGTCCCCAGTCGTCTATTTAGTAAGTGGTCACGGAACGGTCGCTGGAGACTAATATATAGTTTAAGCCAGGGCTAAAAGCGAAGTTCTCGTTTATATACTAATAATTTAGTTAAACAAAATATAAAATCGTGTAAAGCGCAGCAACGGCAACGAAAAAGGAAAAAATAGATCCAATAAACCAAAAACCCCTTTTTATACGTGCAACACACTTTTTTGTACATTTCTTTCGGAGTTTGCCGTTGAGTTTGCACCACTACAACGTGGAACTTCCAGAAACTTCCTAGTTACACGTTTTATGGAGGAAATGTCGTATTTGTTCCTGTTCTCTCTCTCTCTTTTTTCATTGGCACTCATTTTCAACTTGGTGGCCGCAAGCATTTCTCATTTTCTCACCGCCGCTATGAAATTTTCATGTTTTTCTTCAAGCGAAATTGGTCAACTTTGTTTTTTATATCTCGCTCTAGCTCTTTCTCTGTTATTCACGTCAATGTAGACATTAAAATTTAGTCGAAAGAAAGACTCGGCTTTGTTGTTGTTTTCTTTTCTCTCTGAAAGTTTGGGTGGCCGTGCGATTTACCGCCGAAACGCGCGGGTGCTTGTAACGCGAAATTTCACCACGGCTTACATGAATGGGTGGACGTATGTATGTGCGCATGGACGATTTTTTCAGAACCATAATTTTTTTGGACGCATAGATAACCAAATTCTCTTACCCATGGTGCTCCCTTGTGGCCGCTTCGCGCGCGCGATGTCTCCGTTATTACAAGCTATTACGTCATGACCGCGAAAAGGACGATGGGAAGAAGAGAGGGATAATTCCTTTTTCCCTCTTCTCATCTAACCCTGTGCGCATTCTCCTCGCGCTTTCCTCATACATATTAGTGAGCTTAAGATCCGACGACGGCGAGATTCTACGACGGCAGACTCGGTCGAGGGTGTTTGGGGTGAGGTCGCCGTCGCAATGGGGCGAAAAATAGAAATAGGAGACAAAAAAAAGACGACTGGAGACGAGTAAGGTTTTTATATGTGAGGACTTTTTTATGATTGTGTCATTGGGTTCTTTCCGGAATGTTTTTAGCTGCTCCTCCGACTGAGTGTGTTGTTTGTATGGACGGTGCGAGAGACAGTCTGCTGGTTCCATGCCACCACTTATGTGTTTGCATGACCTGTGCAAACACTCTGAGGACAGATCATGGACTCTGTCCCGTCTGCCGACAAAACATCACTGACGTTATACACGTGTATCATCCTTAAAGGACACTCAAACTGGCATACACTCAACAGATGCAGCTCATCTGGACCTCTGCACGCGTTGCCAACGAAGTGAACTCAGTTCCGCTGATAGACATTTCAAGCGTTGGTAACGAAGTCATGAAAGGCAGATGCGGCCATCATACCATGTACCTTCATGGCAAGTTGAGGCAACTTTAACATCACCGTGCTGTGAAGACTGAGTGCTTGTGCATCGACTATCAACATAATCCATACGTTTAGGGTTCCTTGTCGCCAGCAAGCATCTTACGTTTTGCGTGGGTAACTGTCCAAGATGTTTTTTCCCTTTTCGACATAATTTTGACCCAGAAAATTCGCTTCGAATTCCTGCTTCCAGGCTCTGCGAAGGTGTGACTTCGCTTTTGAGATTGACGACTATGTTTTATCCATTTGATATGATCATTTTTTTCCCCTATCTATTTTAAAAATGTAGAGCTATTGGTTGTTTACCGTTTCCAAAAGTTTCCGAAAAATGCACGTGGAAAGTAAAAGGAACACGAGTTTTTGGGTCTTTCCAGCGGGAAATTTCCGGGAGCAACGCATTGGAACATGTAAATGAAGGTAGTCCTGTTTTCCGGACGGATTGTTCCAAACGGAAATTCAAGGTCTATTTCTTCAAAGCCATCTTTGATAACAGTTTCAGGCCTTCGCGTGGCCGTTTTTCTCTAAGTGGAACTGATTTGTACAACTAGAAAACGCAGTTCCCGGGGAGAAATTTACTAGTCCTGAATTTTGCTTACTATGTGCCCAAACCGTGAATCGACCAGTTTGCCGATGTAAGTGCGCTGGATAAACAACCATTTTGCAGATATGCTTCAATAAATTTATTTCTTTAAAACCTATTTCTGTTTCCTTTGCTTTATCGCTTCTGTTGTAGTTGCTTAAACTTTACCGCTTTTGTGTGAAGTCTAGTTGTGTTAATACTAGAGACACTATCATCCATTCTTTGTCCTGCTTTAGGATGTGTTAGAGACTATATAAGCAAGATAAGTCATTCTCTTTTGGTGGTAATAATATTGAGGTGCAAAAGGGTAAAACGACCGAGTATTTAAGGCAGGAGCGTAGCGTTCATATAGTACGCACATACGCCCGTGCGTACATGTAGAACTGAAATATTATGGAAAACTTATATACTTTTTATCTCCTGAAAAAGCCTTTTTCATCATTAAATCGGAATGACTGATACATTTTTCGCACTATATTGGTGTCGTTGTGGTAATATTTCTTTTACCTTTCATAATTCCATAATTCTGATGGCGTCACTGGCCTCTCTTTTCCGTAAACATTGTACCTGTACAAGTGTCCTGCAAGAAACGTTGGAAATGGCATTTCCAAGACCCTCAATTCCAAAATGTTCTGGGGAAGCTTGCCCCCAGTCCCCCCGAGGTTAGGCCGCCTTCGACGCTTCAACTTTTTTCCCCGCGTGTACACTTTCAAAATCTCATGCTACGCCCCTGAAAGGCCTCAAGTTACCAGTGTTGACAAATAGTTAGCTTGACTCTTGGACGGTTCATAGACAATCGCCCTTCTCTTCCTCGACAGGAGTTTGTGTGAGCGAGCGGAGAGTGGGGCTACCAAAAAATGAAATGAAGTTGTACAACAATCCATGACTATTAGGTCCAAGAACTTGTATAGAGTGTTTTCACTCACGTGGCCAGCATCTATGCATATTTATTGGAACAAAAGAAAGTGTTTGCATAAGAAAAGAGTTCAACTCCAACAGGATTGGTTTGGGACACCAACATGGCCGCCGTTTCATTTTTTTGGGATACCAATATGGCCGCCGTAACGTCATGAGAAAACACGCTATTGTCTTAGTAAATTGAAATCAACTGGCAAGTTTTCTAAAAAATCGCATTTATTTGCAAAGTGTATGACATATAGTGCTTAGCGCCTAATTTCTAATTAGTCTAAAGAAATTTGCATCTGTAACCTTCACGTATGGTTATACCTTTTAAACTGTAGCTATTTAGTACAGTCAGAAACCCATAAGGGGTTGACAACCCCTTATGAGTTTCTGGTACAGTGCCTAAACCCAAGGCCCCTTGCACACGTATCCGGCTATTTTTGAAAACGAAGATTTTTTGCTCCGTTTTAGCCTTCCCTCTACATGTAAACAGTTTCTTCGCGCACCAAAAACGCAGGTTTTCGAAAACAGTCCTCAGAGTGGAGTTTTTTTTAACAGCCGACTTATCGTTTTCGTGTGAAACGGAGGGTTTTTTAATAATGTTCATCATACAGCGCACGCCTTGTAGGGAATGCTATCGTTGCTATTCCATTGTTTTAGCGTTTTGATGTGGACCGGTGAAACGATTCGAATGCGCCACGTGCTGACGCGTATCTTTTTAGAAAACGGAGAGAAAAAAATCAGTTCTCCGTTTTCAAAAATATCCGGAAACTTATGGACGGGGCCGGCCGCCTAAAGCCTTGCGAAGCTTTTTTTTTACCCGCTGCCTAAAATAAACGATGTTGAAAATATAAAACGTGAGAGTAAGAAAAGAGGTCGATTTAAGAGGGTGTTGCTTTGAATTTTTCCTGCATTCGTAGCTTTATCCCTTTGTTAAATTGGAAAACATTTATTATAGCGTTTCCAACGACGATATCTCAAATAGTGACACCGTACACGCATATGATTTGATAATTCTTATTTAAAGTTTTTCTCTTATTATATTGTATTATAAAAATTATTTCATATTCCGCCATTGCAGCCGCCCTTGAAATTCAACTAGTGCGTTTGAGAAACTTTACTAATGAACATGGAGGAGCATATAGAAGTAATTTACGCTAAGTTGTGCTTTGTCTATGCTTTTTCAAAACCAGCATTCATAATTGAAAAATCAGTGTAAGAAGTTGTACAAGTCATTTTTAGTGGCGAATCCAGACCTTCCCAAAAAAGGGGGGAGGGGGGGGGGGGGGGGGCGGTCATCCAGACCCTGAGATAAGGGAGGTCCGGTGTAAAAACTTTTTTTTCGGTGGTCTAAAAATAAGGGGGAAGGGGCCAGGTCCCCCCGTGCCCCTCCCCCGGATCCGCCACTGATATTGATAGTAAGCCTATGTTCACACCGCTATACACGCGGCAAGAAAAGCTAGCCAATATGTATAGTACGAACAGCAACGGCAATGAACTGGAACAAGTTGTTCACATACATCGAACATCGTACCAGGGGGCCGTTTCTCGAAAGTCCCGATAATTAACGGGCCCGGTAAGCTGTCTCCGTTTACATTAAAGATCGAGTTTTCAATAGTTTTGCATCTAACATGATAAAACTGTCAGTTAATGAAACAAAATGGAGTAGTTTGCTAGCCAGGACCCGCGCTCTTATTCTTTATATTTCGATTTGAATATTTGATTTCGGGCCCGTAAAGTTACCGGGACCTTCGAGAAACGGGCCCCAGAGCGGGTGGCTGAGAAGGTTTGGCTCTCTACATCCTAATCCTCACTCCTGAATATTTACTTCCCTCACAGTGGACTCCAGTTCTCTTTCCTACTTATTCACTTCCGCTACGGTCCGAATACCTGGTCACACCACATCAAATTGTGGCACTGAAGCTATCCGATATGTGACGCTCCAATTTTCGAGATCGGCGCGCGGCGGCAGCTTCGCTTTGTTACAGTATAAATCGCGCACAAATCACCGTCCTTACGTGTGAAGAGAAGTCTTATATATCCGGTATCATTTTCGCGCCGGGAGGAATAGCTAGCTATCCGGTATAGTGTGAATATAGCCTAAGTTAAGTGTCGACATGTCTACAGTGGTAAATATTTCCTCATTGTTTCAACTACAAAAAATAGCGTGGCATTTGCAGGAACAGAACGCATCAGACAAGGTGTGAACCCTCTGTAGAATCTTTTCCAGCCACCTTCGTTATGGTAAAGTTGCTTTATACAGTCTCGTATACTCTTGTATCGTCTCTTTTCCACAACGGAGTCGTCTGCTTGCATAGATGACTTGACAACATCCGTGGGATATGTTAGGAACCAATATAGGAATCCCCCTGTTCCCCCTGCTGCTAGCAATGCCATGGGAGACACATCAAACACTGTTCCTCCCTCGGGTATCGCCATAGTACGGCTTAGTTCATAGAAGCCTGTAGGAAGAAACAATATAACTTACAAACTGGCTCTTTAAGTGCTTGACATAATGATGAGGCGATGACGAGAACGGAAAAAAAGCAAAAGGGTTTAGGCTACCTTCACACGGCATGGCAACGGACGAGCCCACGTTAAAATCAGATACAAATCACATACAACAGTAGGCAAATTTATCACTCAAACCATTGTGAAGAGTGTTTGACTAAAACATCAACACGGGATTTTCTAAAGGTATTCACAGAGGGATTTTAGGGATAGGTCCTTTACAAGAATGGGTCTCTTGCTTAGGAATCAGTGAACAGCGTTTAAAACTCAAAATTAAAAAAGGCTGTCTGGACCTGTTTGATTGAACCATGCAACTCACCAAAGAAGGCAGAATTTGCTGGGATATTCCTAAGCCATGTAGCAGGCAGGCCTTGATAAGCTCCACGAATTCCATGAGTCTTAACTATAACATATGCAGCATGAAAGACATTCCTGTACATGACCGGCTCCCCCGACTTTGCTCGGATAATCTGAATCTGCATTTTTGACTTAAACTGTGGGAAAACAAAGCGCACAACGTTTTCAACAAGTGAGCTTTTGAAAGACATTGCTCGCTTGACTGATGACAGTTTGTTCATGAAACTGGTTTGCCTGTGAGCAAGCTCTTTGGGGGACTCTACGAATGGTGGGGGTGGTGGAAAGAAAAAAGAGGACGGAATTCTGCTTGGTAAGCTGCTACCAAGTGGCCTCTTTTGTCTGCTCGAAGGGGGTGGGGGTTTGGGAAAAAAAAACGGAGCTGGGAATCCTGCACGGTAAATTGCTACCCAAGTGGTCCCTCTTGGCTACTAAGGATTAGTAAGGATTAGCCACTTTGTCTCATTGGATAACATTTTCTTTGGCCATACAGTAAATCCTTTACTGACCAAGGTAAGCTTGCTCAGTCAGGATGACTGGATATTGGTTAAAATACTGTATTTTAATGGTGGTCTTATCAAACAAAAGGTGTTAAAACCTAAATTGGAATTTCAGGAGGGCAGTAGTTAAACGAAGGTTTTTATGTTAGAGGGTGGGATTTGTTGTATTGTTATATATTTCAATTTATTGAAAGCAAACTGAACGCAAACTCTGTTTGCCAAAATCAAGTCCAGATAGCTCTTAAAGGGCTGACAACATATGCTGGAAGGATTGGGCGAAGGGAAATGAAGTCCTTTGATACTAACTGTCCAGTGATTGCTTAGCCTGGAGATACCAGAAACGTGGGACTGACAAATCAATTTATGAAAAAAAATGTTTCCCGTTCCCAGGGTTGTAGATGCTTGGTGTTAGGCACTTTGAGTTCACCAAGTCAACTACAACCTGTACAGTGGAGTACTGAGTGGTCAACCAGATTCATCTCAGTCATTTATACACTGGGCTTGGCAGCCCAGACTCTATATGGGAGTTTGTTGGAATTTGAATTTAATAAGAGAATGTATGAAAAGAAACAAAATATGACCACAATTTTTGAAAAACATTTGCAAATAAAAAAATGACTCAACTTGTGTTTGTACCATGTGTTTTACTGCCTTGGAAGCCATTAACTCAATAAAACGGCTTGCAAATGGCTCTAGAAGCAAACAGACAGTAAAACACATAACACAAACACAAGTTGAGTCACATTCATTGCAAATTTTTCAAAAAAATGGAACCTACAATGCATTTGTTTCTTTTCTTATAAAATTCAAATTCCATTGAACTCCCATATAGAGTCTGGGCTGCCTGTACAATGTGGCTTATTAAAATCAGGCTAGTACAAATAGAATAGCCTGTTTACAGACCCTCTATTTTATCTTCAAAGTCTGTCGAGTGGGTGTGATAAAAACTAAAAACTGTGGGGGATTGAGTGACTGCCAGTGCATGGGGGTAGGGTGTGGGAAGAATGAAAAGAAAAATAAAACAACATCTCTGTACAGGCTGGAAAAGAAAAATAACAAGATTTAGACATCATGGGTTTGTATTCTTGGCTCATACTTGAAAATCAGAAGTACACCATGGTGAGGGATTTCCCCAGGCTAAAATGAACATTATCCCTGGCTACAGAGGAAACAAAATGAAAATTAAACCAAAAGAATCTCGGCCAGCTGTTCAATTCCCCACAACTTGAAATTTTATTGGCTTCATTTAATGTCAAAAAACATCATTGCACCCACGGTTAAGTCAATTATAAACTCAACTTGACAAGTCAAAGAAAAGGTAAAGGCTGGTTTTCACTAGCGACAGAGTCGCAGTTGTAATCAGAAGTGTAGAGCTTACGATCTAGTGAAAACAGCATTCCGATTCCCCTTACGACTCCATCGCTTACATTCCCCTTATGATCCCGTGAAAACCAGATTGTGGGAGTCAGAAGCAGAAGTGGAAGAACTAAACCAATCACAAAGCATGGGAACGTGCATTGTGATAGGTTTATCCTTCCACTTCTGCCTCCGACTCCGACAATCTGGTTTCCGCTAGATCATAAGTGGAACCTAAGTCGTCCGTGAAGCCGGAAGAAATGGAAACGTTCTGATTCTTCTTCTGACTTCGATTCTGTCACGCTTATGACTCTGCTTACGACTCCGATTTTTGATTTTCACTAGGTCATAAGCACTCTTACAACTCCGACTACAACTCAGTTGCTAGTGAAAACCAGCCTTAATGAAATAAAACCTGATTATGACAAGACAGAATTTTAAAATGCATGGGTTTTGGTGAAAGTTATAATTAAAAGCAGTGAAAGAAAAGCTTATTTGAAAATTATCTTACCAAATCAATTGGACCTTCAACCAATGCAGCAACAGCACCTGTAAACATACCACAAAGGAAGTACTCTGGAGAAGAAAGTCGCTGGCCTTGGCGATCCTTCCCAGCAAAAAATGCAGTAATCTGTATGACAAATGAACCAGTTTTAGCTCTGTCCATAATATGAGTGCATTATTGGTTGGGAAGGGGCATTACTGGCATTCTGTGCCAAATTATTATAAAGATAAATTAAATCACTTCTAATAATACAGAAGCATGGTTTGAGTCAATATTGTACTTGGCTACAGCTGTATCTTGTGTAGAGTTTGGCAGTAAAAGTGGTCATAATCTGTCAAAACAAAAACAACCACAACACAAACAAATACCCACACAAATATTTCTATTGAGCCAATTCATCATTGCATGCTGACAGCTAAAGAATGCAAGGTTAATTTGTACTGTCTATAAAATATTGTCTGAGAAAAAAATTTTATCTAAATAAAAAAATGTTAATTTGAGTGTTTAAATAATCAGGTGAGGATGAATTCCACAGCACTACCAAGGTACGACAAAAGATATATGACAAAAGATTTGCTGGTAACTGATGTTAAGGTTGGGGTAGGAGGGGAGATACTCAGTCCAAATTAAGGAAGAGGAATGTTGTCCAGGCGAATAACCCTCTAACCAGCAAGTTCGATATACTGGTAATTCCTAAAAACAATCTAGCACCTTTGAGTCAGTGAGTTGCAGGCCTAGGTTTTGCATTGACTTTAGTCTTTGTGCTCTAGATATAACTTAAAACAAGCAGCAACAACTGACTAACCTGATAATAGGATGTAAAAAGAGTTGCTCTAAAAAACATCTGACCAACAATAGGTGAACCTGCAGTGATTAAAAAGACTGTTCATAAGAAACAGGCCAGTATTCTCAATGGTTGCCACTGTTTTTTTTTTCTCGATAAATTGCTCGTAAACAACCAAAAATTACTATTTTAGGCTAAATAGTGATCACTAAAATTCCCAAACAAACCCTTATAAACTTGCATGCATCAAGGGTTCTCATTAACATGCTCATGGGACCTGAATTGAGTCCCAGATCTGAAATGTCAAAACCAGAGCCAGGGGTATGGCCTGAATGTTTGAATACAGTCAAACCCCCTATAAGCAACCACCAAAAAAGCGAAGATTTAGTGGCTGCTAATACGGGAGGTGGTGTCTTAGGATAATCAAACCACAGGGGGTCCCTTCTTAGAAGAGGTGTGAACACATCAGATTCTTCATTTTGGAGCTTTCCTAACAGTCATAATGTTCAACTATGGGATATTTTATACTTATATTTTTTCTTTTACCATAACAGTTACAAGGTGATATTGATGAGCAATGCAAATTAATAGCATGCTTTGGATTATTGTAGACTGAGCTTAGCGTAGGGAACTTCTCCCCAAAGGACCTTTAAATTTATGCTTATCCAGAGTCGGCATTGTTTCTAAAATAGGTTCTGGACCTCAGCATTTCTCATTGTGGCTTACAATCATCAAATGATCATGTTTTATTTTCTCCCGCCCCACCTTATAAGTAAGTAAAGATCAGTGAGTCAGCCTGGTTAGTAGGGCTGGCCCACATTACTTGGCTGGCTCAGCTCATGCCTTATCTCCTTATAAATTTTGTTGTGTTTATATGAGAAGACGACTAGCCTGCTTGCCAATATAAGTTTGAGCAACTGAGATCTTGGCAATGAGGAATTAAGGCAAAAGCCAAGCCAGCCTGGATATAACCAAGCTACAATTATAGGGAACAGTAAATTTTAACAAAGATGATCAACATGCAGTATGAATAGCAGGCACCAGTTTGAGGATGCATATGCTATAAGGACTATTTGCGGTACAGTATCTATTATATTAATCTTTCTTTCATATTTTCATGTTCTAGTCTGAGTAGGAGGGGGGAGGGGACTGTAAGGCACTGGGTTCAGTGTTTCAGGGCTACCTAGGATGTTTTTTTTTGCTAGGCGGGCTCTAGTATATAATTTATTATATACAAGGGTATATATATAGAGAGAGAGCAATGGCAGAACTACTTGTAATACTCACTAGTATCATGCTAAAACAGCCAGAAAAGCTAAAAAATAATACCATAGAAAGTTTTTAATGTACTTTTACTTCAATTTTGGTGCTCTAAATAACGATTGCTAAAATCCTAATACAAACCCTATAACTTACAACATTTCTGTTATAGAGCAGCAATTCTCACAATTACATTAAAAAATAAAAATAAAAAAACAATAAATAGGAAGGGACAAGCATTACAGTGGGAAAATGCAGTCAGAGATGGTGGCTTTGAATTTTGCAGTTAAATCTATTGATAAATAGTCAGGTGGCAGGCTATTCCAGTCAGTGATAGTTCTTGGCCCAAAGCTGTATTTCTACATGTCATAGGATGGCTCAAGTGGAATAAATTTCAGTGGATGAGATGCCCTGGTTTAAGGGAGGACTGATGTTGCACATAGCAGGGGATATCAAAAGTGGCCTGGTTGGAAAAACATTTGTACATCAATGTCAGTTTAGCTGTACTTGACTTCTGTTTTCGAGAGTTGGCCAATTTAGTTGCTTTAGGGCATTGGTTACACATTCCTCCTCTTTCACTTACGTTCTTGTTATGAAACATGCTGCCCTGTGCTGGACCTGTCCTAGCCAAGATTTCTGATATGCACTATACAGACCCCATACAGTACTACCATATGAATAATTTCCAACATTGGTCTCACTAGTGATTTTGTAGGCTTGATCTTTAACCAAATGTGGGCAATGATATATAAGTTCCTCTTGACAAAGTGCCAAATAAGCTTTATTTCTAATGTTTAGAATATGTGTCATCCAGTTCAAATCATAATAGATTTGATAGATTAACTCCAAGATGAGGTTGGTGGTCCGCAGACTGTGACAGGGTTTGGCCTAGCATAGTGTTGGGATAGATCAAAGGATTCTTGGTTCTGCAAACTCGTAGAACGTAGCATTTCAAACAGGTTGAAGACAATATTATTTGCCACAATGTTTCCCATTGAACTAATTTGTCCAGATTGGATTTGAGACTGATTGCATTGTCGGAGTTGTGCACCTGCCCATTCAGCAGGGTGCTGCCAGTGAATAACTTAATATTTGAGGTAATATCTCTACCCCCCATATTGTATCACTCGTGAGCTTCGGGTATGTCGAATAGACTCTTAAGACTCTAGTCATATGAACAGTCGTCCCTTTGTTTGCTAATAAATAAGCTTGTTATTGTTTGCGGTCAGCCGTCTTGTCAGTTAGGATAAGTCCTGGAGAAAAAGCACATGGTTTTGTTCTTCGCTTAGCTTTTCTCTTCAACCGCCATTGTTTTATGCATTCATTGTTCAATGCAATTCTCTTTGGTTCAAAGCAATACAGTTGATTCAAGTTATCTCCGCCTACTGTCTTTGATTAAAACTCATGTCTCTGCGACAGGGCACTTGTGATTATATCAGCCAAAAGGATAAAAGTAGCACACCACAGGGCTTGATGATACCCCAATACTACACATTAACATCAAAATTACCAAAAAAAACTCAATACTGCACAGCAATACTGTAAACCCCAATGTCCCCGTCATAATGATAAATTTATACAGTGGATAACGTCTTCCCCCTTTTAAACAACTGGGGCCAGAGGTGGAGTGTTGTTGAGTTTTTCATCTGGAGTCCTTCAAACAGTGACCTAAAATATTATTGACTGATCCTTTCATAGTAACAATGAAGCCAGATGATGACTATTTCAAGCTACCAACATAAAACTATTACAGATCCACACGATGATGTGGCCCAATTTGAAGAAGTAATCTGTTTCCAAAAGGACCCTTTTAACTGGTAATCGGACCTCCTTTTTTACCGTTTAAGTTAAAATAGCCCAGTCTTCAAACACAGACGTATTTCCGGTTGTGGCTTATAGACATTCACAATAACCCGTTTCGCAGATGTCACGCAATATTTGCAATTAGTAATGTTTTGCATATACGCCTAAAAACACCGCTTTAGTTCGATTTATCATGTAGAATTTAATAAAACTCCAAACTTTCGTGAGAATTTGTTGTAAACTAACAGAGATATAGGGCCTGCAATTTGGGGAAAAGGCAGAGAAAAGAAAATGAAATGGGGAAAAGGAAATGTATGGCTTGAAGGCAATTACTGACTGCCCGTCACGAGGCCACGCCATACATTTCCTTGTAAGAATTCGCTTGTTAAGGAGCTAATTTCTCCTTTGGTTTGCGACGAATCCCTGTGTAACTCATTTTTACCAAGTTCGGTCTCTGGTGGTGGTTTTTTTGATAAATGAAAAATACGTACGAAATTTTCAATTTTGCGTGTCATCTGTGAAACGGGTTATGTTCAGCCAGATCATTTTTATGATCATTAGGAATTGCGTTTATCACTTACCGACACCTTTATACAATCCTCCAATTCCTTCCCATTTCATTGTTTTCACGAAACAATCCAAGAGTCCCTTGTAGACTGGCCGGTCAACAGGTTGTGTTTGAAGACGAACTTTTAGAGTGTCAAACGGATGGCCTACCAAACAAACAGCAATACCACTAAATGTCCCGGAAACTATATTTTTGATTGTCCTTCTGATAAACGAATTTTCGCTGGTAAACGTCGAGACCTCGATATTTTCTTCCAACTCTTTGCTTGAGTCCGCCATGATGAACTACGTAGGTCTAAGCAAGTTAAAGTTGCGGGTTTGCCTGTAAAATCCCGCATACAATGATTCCCGAGGAAGTTTATATTGTATCCAGATACTTGCACATTTTGCTGTTTTGATTCACAGAAATTATTTAACCCCAAATCAAAGGACGCTTGTCAGTCAAATCTTCACAAACAAATCGAAGAAAGCACTTCATTGCGCTTTACAAACAAAAAAACTTACCACGATCCGGGTTACGACCCGACCCGTTGACCCGCGTGTTGAACCGCGTCAAATGGAGAAGAAAGGGAGGATGAAAAGCCAATCAGAACTTAGCAAGTAACAAAGCACACCAATCACGGCGCTGCTCACATGGAGACGTAAACTAACGGCGGGAAAAGTCAGTTGTTATTTCCAATATGGTGGACAACACGATTGCAGCACTTTTTTCTTCCTTTGAACAGAGGTTCAACTGTTTAATTTGCTGGGCACCAAGTCTCAGGATGATTTACGGATCTTGTCAGCATCGTTTGTGCGAAAATTGCTTATATGACAACGAGGGAAAAAGAAGATTAGGGCTTGAGAGATGCCCGACATGTCAAAGAGAAAATGTCTTCCCTTCTACTCGACCGGATGTGCCTGAGGACAACATCGAAATACAAGTTCATCTTGGCGTAAGACGGTGCCCTCATAATGGTTGTAAGCTCCAAATGTGGCACTGGGAATTGCAAAACCATTTAGAGTAAGTACATTACAGGGTAAAAAGTGATGTTTGAGGGTTTTAACACGCGCACGATTTTAATAAAAGCTGCATGGTTGTAACCTGAATTGAAGCTACAGCTCCTAAGGTCGATTATTAATTTTAATCGTGGAAAATGTTCTAGAAAACGTTTTAAGAAAGCACGTAGTGATTGCATCGTAAAATAAACATACAGAAATGTACGAAAATCAACTCAGTAGCTTCGATTTAAAGCTTGTTTTTTTTTTTACTGTGGATGACGGAGTGACTTAGCACATGGGGTGTTGCGAAAACCCCATGTACAGTCAGAGGTGTCCCAAGCTCATGTTACGAGTATGTTATGTAAATTACTTTGGCACAAGAGAGTCGGTGTCACGTTACAAACGACCGTTGAGACTTTGTATTAGGAATAAAATATTGAGGTCTGCGAATGCTAAATATCATTATTACTTTTGGAGTAACTGCAGAATACCCAGGATATGTGGATACGCAGTTATCCCTCTTATACGCTTTTCTGGCTTCACTAAAACGATGAATTCATCCCACAAACACAGGAATATATCGAAAGTAAGTCTCCTTTATTTATTTTGTAGAAAAACAGTAAAAATAATGATATTTACAATCCACACACCTCAGTATTTTATTTTTCATTATTACAAACTCTCAAAGGTCATTTGTAATGCGACACCGGCACTCTTGTGAGAAAGTAAATTTTTACATAACACACTCATAACGTGAGGGTGGGATGCCTGTGTTACGAAAACTCAAATCTTGGTCCCCCCCGCCTCCATTTACAAAACCTTCAATAATTTTCCCGATTCCTCGAAATACGACTTCACATTTTTGCTTAATACTTTCTTGGGGGAAGGAGGAGAAGGGATGCGTTTCATGAAATTTTTGCAATACCACGATGTAGTTACATAATGCTAATAAAGAAGTCACACACTTGATCATAACAACTTATTGTGAGTTTATTATACTTTGAAAAACCATATGGAGGGCAAAACTAAACAAAATCTGTTCAGAAAAAAGTCAAAAAACCACACAAAAAAGATGAGAGAAACAGACAAGTCAGTCTTGAGGGATAGCCTTGAAAGGAAACAAACAAAAACAAGTTTTTTCATCACAAGTTTTGTTTCTCAAAAGCAACAGTCCCCTTTCGACGTCTGCCACGTAGGCTAATCACCTATCAATTTCTCAGCAGATGCCAAAAATTCAACAGAGTATTATTGTAGGTTTCATTTCACAAACTTTGGATTATTTGTATCGTTCTGTTAATTTTGATTATGTATGAAACGTATTATACACATCGAATGCATTTTAACAAGAAAAATACAGTACATTTTGAATGAAACTTTGGAAAGAAACTTTTGCTTTTGGGATGGTGCCTTTATTTACTCACAGTTACTTCATTTTACATAATATATATATATATATATATATTTTAAAAAAAGTGTTGAGGTACTAAAATAAAAATAATAATGAAAGATTTATTATCCCAGTTAAAAAATTATTTTGAGCTGCAGTTGCTTTTGTGTCAACTAGGCAATAATTTTTGGCTGGTTGCTGTAGCTTTTGAAAAACCCTAGACTTTCTCTAAATTTGTCTGTTTTGGTAGGGTCAAAAAAGGTTGACTTGTGGGCAAGTCTGAGGTATAAACCTGAGATCAGGCCCAATTTTAGCAGCTTCCATACATTCTCTCTTTCTTGGTCGTGCCAAGTGTAACAAATATAGAGCCTGATCTGAGGTTAGTCTGGGAAAACCCTGATCTAAACGGTCCTCAAGTGCAAAATAACTCGTACCATATTTAAACTATATCAAGCAAGTCTGGACGTGAGTTTCCACAGATAAGTTTTATTTCTATTAACTACCATTCAAACAGGATGTTCCTTGGTGTTGTGGACATTATTGCTACTGAGTTATTGTGCTACCTAATATGGCAATGTGAAATTTTTTGCTGTTGTGTTTGAATTCAGTGCTACAAAGATAGAAAATTGCACACTGAAAAATTGACATAAATTCTCCTCTAATTTTTATTATACAGCTGTAAGCCCAGCCATTTTTGAAATGGAAATTTCATTCCAAGGGTAGGAGCCTCTCTTACCGTCAGTGTATGGTAAATATAGGCAGTCTTATTTTTGGAATTTCCAGGTAGATGTACACCAAGACTTGCTTAACTAAACACAGCAATAGTGAACCAAATATTACTGTTGTTTGGTAGATGTTAAGTTGTAACTTGTGTAAAAACTGCAACTAGCATTTACTCATTCTTGTCCCCAGAGCCAGTCATTTCTGTTTTTCAAACTTTACTTTTTTTGCATTGAAGGATTTGCAGATTTGCTAGCAAGTCACTAGACAGAACAAAAAAGGTCAAGAGGAAAAGCTTGTATGATTCAGAAGTAAACAAACCCTTGACACTGAGAAGTGGAAAAAGACGTTCACTTGAACTTACACATAACAAATCAATGGACGAAAGAGAGACCATGTACAAATTGCGGCCAAGGAAAAGAAAGACTGTAACAAACTAGAGTTGGTACAAGTGTCCAGCACTTGTGTACGAGAATGGAAATTTTTTTTACAAAGAGTATCACTATAATTTTATGCCTGATGCCACAGGGCTATGCAAATGAAATACATACATCATTGTCATTACTAGTACCACTCAATATTAGAATGAATCCCTTAGCTACTTTCATGTACACTGTAATAACACTCTATTTTATCTTCGCTCGAATTTCAGAATATATATAATAATATGGCAAGTCCCCAAAACTGTGTCCAGTTAAACTGGTATTGTAAAGTTGCACTGGTCCATGTTGGAAAAGGGAGCACTGAGATTAGTTTGTTGAGCACAAATAAATTTAACATATTTATGCAGAGAATCAATTACCAAACTTCTGGAAGTAGGGCAGTGAAAATGTTAGAAATATCACAAGTAGAAGGCTTTTAGCACAAGTTTCATTAACTCAGGAAACTTTATTTATGGTCCAAATTAATAATACGAGAAAGAAAAGAAAGAGGATGCCTCCTGGGCTTTCTCTTCTATGATACTGATTCTGATTTTCATTCAGAAAGAAGACAATGAAAGCAGTCAGTAAACAAGCTGCATAATAATACAATGTAATAATCATTTTAAAACCATTAAATGCACCTGTCTTGACATCTACAGATTTGCATAGATTGAGTCAGTCCAAGTTGTGTGGTCAACAATGTCTGAAGCAAGACATTTAAAAATATTTTATTTTGTTATTGATAAGTCAAGTGACTTATTGTTATAATTATTATTATTATTGTTATTTTTAAAAGTGAACATGATCCTCGCAGTAGTATGAACAACTTAAGTGGTTGAAAAAGAAGGTTCACTCTCATATCTCATGGTTCGCACAGGCCTTGAAAAAGCATCATGTCCTTGAAAATTGAAGAATTGTGGAATATCCTTGAAAAGTCCTTGAATACTATTTTTTCTGAATAAAAATAACCTTTGTTAAATAAAATTGTTTTGCGCAAAGGAATGATTGAAAGCACAGCAATACACAAATTTTCTTGTTGTTCATGAAAGTGTTTTCCTATGATTTTGGTGTTCCCGGCATAGTTCATTTTCTGTTATTTGAAGTACCCCAGGTATCGTGCCTTAATGAAGGGAGGTATAGCAACAAGAGACCCCCTCTCCATCTGCACATTGTAAAGGTCTTTACTTCATATTACTGGGGAAAAGAAGTCCTTGAAAAAATGATTTTAGTCCTTGAAAAGTCCTTGATTTTTTCCCAAAGAATTCTGTATAAACCATGTATCTTTATCTGCAGTTCAAAATATGATTCATTTCATATATTTCAATTTTTAATCTCTATATTACTTGTTAAGAGGATATACATTGTAGTATCTTAGTAGTTAACCTCAGTACCCAACTAACAGTGCAGCGTGAACTTATGACTACATCAAGAAAGGAAAAAACCTGGAAGAACCACATGTAACATAACAGAATATACACATGGACAATGTAGTGTGATACCCACCATTGTAATTGTCTTGGCTCACTTTGCAAACGAAAATCTACTCAATACATAGATTTTTATGCTTGTTAAGGATGTTTTGGCACATGTCATCATTCTGTTCTAAGTATGTGAGTCAATCCGAAATGTGCAAAAGTTTAAAACTTAAACTCACTTTAACTTCATTGGAAACATGACTTTTCAAGTTGTCAGTTTCTTGAATTTCACTTTGGTAACAAGGCAAGTTAAAAACTGTGGTTCTGTTACACTTCTGTAAGTCTAATGCTTGTGTAACAGGCTAATAGCAGATCACCCAGTTACATAAAACCCCAGCATTTTCTAGGTTATTTATTGAAAAAGCTACCAAGAGGTTTTCAATAATTTATTTAATTCACTTAACTGCTACACCAACAAAATTACCATTGCAGTTAGAGTTTTCCAAGCAAGCTGCTTTTAATAGTCTCTGGAATCATACTAACATAGAAATCATGATCCTTTAATGATGCTAGCACACCAGTCTTATTAACGTAACTGTCTGCTTGACCATCATATTTGATATGCTCTCCACAAACATCTGTGAGAGTGCCATTCACAGCCTCCAGTAATGCCTCACAAGCACAGGTATCCCAACGTTTACATCCAGCACTAGCGAAAACATATGCATCTGCTTTTCCTTCAAGCAAAAGAATGACTTTATACCCAGCTCCACCTGCTTTCAGTATCTGATCAGGTTTCATTGCTTCTATTGCATCTACCACAGTCTTGTTTAAGTGAGAGCGTGTTGTGGTGATGATGCGCCGTCCAGTGGGTGGTGGAACATGAGTGAAGCCAAATGTTCCTAAGCCTCTTACACCCCACATTGTTCTTCCTAATTCAATTCCTTGCATTTCTTTTTCATAGCCATAAAAAGGTTGGTGGATGACTCCTGCTATAGGCTTGCCATTCATTGAGATGCCAATAAGAACTGTTACATGATCATAGAGACCTTTAGTATTAAATGAAATGTAAAGCAAAAAATTAATGTAAACCTTATGCAATTGTTGTGAAATAACAAATCAGTTATTGTAGTGCATTATTTTGTTGATACATTGTCAACGTAGGACAGAGTTTGCTCATAATCATGAGCTATAAGAAACAATGTGTGAAACCATATCCCTTGTACCACTTGCAACAGTCACACACGACCTTGACAGCTAGCTTGTGTAAGGGAAGAAGAGATCTTTCACACCAAACCCAACTGAGCATGATTCTGTCAAACAGGCCAGAGAAATATGCAATTGATCATGTTATTCTTACAGGAAAATGCCAATACCATTGAAATCTTGTTCCACTAAGCACCCATCTTTAACTTCCTTGAAAAGAATAACTCAAACTCCTTGCTTAGGAGGCAAAAAGGCCTGCAACAGGAGCAAAAGCCACTTTGGGGGAGGTTTTGCTTCTTTTTGGTTATAAAGTGAGTAGACGTTCAACGGCTGGATTATCTTCAACTATTGTTTTTTGGCAATTCCAGGTGGAATTTTAAATTACATAACACTTGAAAAATTAGGGGTAATTAACGCAATAATTGAGCTGCAAACTAACATTACAAGTACAACCCCACCCAACTGGCTGGAACAGTGATTCAGGTAGTCAACTCAGGCGGTAACAATATTTATTATAACATTATGTATACACTTAAAGTCAGATCCTAAGGGAAACAGTTAGTTTTGTTTTCCCACAAGTTCATCTCTGGAAACATCAGGACTCGAGGGAAAACAAAACTAACTGGTTTTCCAAGGGACCTGACATTAAGAGGTTTGTTACATTTCTAGACTTTTACTTCAACATACTTCAAGAGCAGCAAGAATATGCTTAAACGGAGTGAATCAAAACAGTTGACTTGGTACTTACAAGGACACAAATTTAATTGTCAACACTACTGAATGAATGATTTAAACTCTCCGATATATTATCTGCATTTTTTCCCTCCACTAGCTGCTGTTTCTCTTCTGGGGTATATTTAAAAATCCTTGCTTTTTGGTTTGAGGCTTTAGGTTTGTGTTCTTGTGCTCATTACACAGGAAAAAATAACAGATTCCCATTTTTGGATATTTTAGGGTATTTAAAGAATACCCACAAAAATCCCAAATTTGGAAGAGTGAGACAAGTCCCAGTCAGGGAACTTCGCTGGGAATTCCCTGGTTGGGACTTGTCTCACTTTGCCAAATCTGGGATTTTTATGGGTATTCTTTAAATACCCTAAAATATCCAAAAATGGGAATCCGTTATTTTTTCCTGTGTTAAAGAAAAAGAAAACTGGCAGTGTTTTTCCCGCCTTCTGTCACGCCACTTTCCACCATGCTTTGATCACGTACTGTAATGTATTCTGAATGGGGTACAACTGCTTAATGTATCATGATCGGGATACATTTGATTTTAGTCAAGGCCACATTACCAAGAATCAGCCAATGGCTGTCCCAGTTAAGTTGAGTGAAAGTCTAGGGATATAACAGTATTAGTATACCATGGACAACCCCTGCACTTAGTAGTCACATCCCTTCCTTACAATTGTACCTACTGGTAATCATAGTACAGTATTCGTATTTTAAAGCACAATAAAAAACTATTACATAGAACTGCTACAATTTGCAGATCAAAATGGATGCTAATATTAAGGTCACGTAAATAGGATACTGCTGTACAGCTCAGCCCATCTCAACAGGGCAGGCTAATTGTAAATAAATAATATAATTACTATAAAAAGAACAACTGACAATACATGTACACCAAAACTCAGTTGAAAAATACTTTTTTACAACACACAAATTTCGGATAAAATGTAAAATGTGCTATGCTAAAAATAATGTGTTTCATAAACGGATTTCAGATGACAACTTTAAAGTATTTATCTAAAATTACCTTCAGTAAATTCTCTTGTACCATCTAATGGGTCTACCCAAACAGTTACCTGTCATTATAAAAAATATAAACCACAATTTTAGTCTACCTATCATTAATGTTGATTTACTACACAGCTTTTGGTAATACTATAATAATATTAAAACAACTTTACTTAGTGAGTAATACCATAAAATGCAAGAATAAAACCTTTAACCTATTCGCCCCTGAACTGCCCATAACCACCTGTGCAGATCCACGTCTTTTTTATCACTTGTGACATCATCAGCTTTAATGGTCCCAGACAACTTTGTCCGCTAACTTGTGCAGGGTGAAAAGATCTTTCAAACCATACCAGAATGAGCATGATTCAGTCAAAGAGACCAGAGAAAAAGGCAAAAACCATGTAACACTGACCCAAAATTTCCATGAAAATCTTTTTTCACAACCCACCTTAGCCTACCTTCCCTTTCATCTAATCCTACGATCCTAAAAGCTTTCCCAAAAAATTTTCCCACCAAAATGAAGTCTACTAAATGCCCAGCAAAAGAAAAAAAATGAGGCAAGAAAAGCAAAAGAAGAGGTGAGGAGAGAAAGTGAAAAGAAAGGCCATGTGACTGCAACTAGTCACCAAAAGAATGCGACAAAAAATATTTGTGAGGTTTTGCATGCTGAGCAGATTGAACTTTGCTAGTTCAAAGAAGGCAAGAGAAATAACCACTGGACATCAACAAGAAAACTAGGAGTCAGTTGTTTACCATTTAGCCCATTGGGAAAGTCACTTGCCATTTTGTGTTTTAGAGTTTTAAACATGCCCAGTCAAAATTGCTGTGTCACTTTTAAACCCAAAAACTATCTCGAAATTTTGTTTCTTGTGCGTGCCCGAACTTCGCAAGCTAATAGTTCGATCTGGATCAGAAGGCCATGAAGTGTACCACCTGTAAACAGCTTTGTGGGTAAGTTTAAGAAAAGTGCTAGACTATTGAATATAGCTTCAAAGTGTGTTTTTCGGCAAAATTCCCAGGTGACGAATGGGTCAATAATTGAAATAAAAGATCTCTGCATTCCTTTAGGCAACGGATAAAATTAAACTGCCAAAACACATACATATAGGTACATGTATGCAGTATAGGCAGTGATGAGTTGAGGTGATATAGCATAGAATTTAGAATAAAATTAATAATATTGAACTGAAGAAAACTCACATCTTCAGGCTTCACTGATACTAGATCTTCTGGACAAAGTTTCGAAAGAACATCAACATCTTGAGATGCTTCAATGAATTCATCTTTTACATTACCAAGATGAACATCCTACATTTAAACAAGTTTAAATAAGAAAATTGCACATGATTATTTACTCCACTCAACACATTGAATAGTATACACTTAATGTCAGATCCCGAGGGAAACAGTTAGTTTTGTTTTCCCGAGAGCCCTGAAAAGTCGAGGGAAAACAAAACTAACTGGCTTCCCGAGGGACCTGACATTAAGTGTTTTGTTATATTTCTAGACTTTCACTTCAACAGCAACAAAAGAATAACCGGAATGAACCAAAACAGCCGACTCGGTACTTATAACAACAGTGAACACACATTTAATTCTCAAAACCATTGAATCAATGATTTACAAAGTACTTTCCTTATATTATCTGCATTTTTTTCCTCCACTAGCCGCTGTTTCTCTTCTGGGGTATCTTTAAAAATTCTTGCTTTTTGGCTTGAGGCTTTCGTGTTTGTGTTGTTGTGTTCATTCACGAAAAAGAAAACTGACAGTCTTTTTCCCGCCTACTGTCACGCCACTTTCTGCCACGCTTTGATCACGTGCTTTAATGTATCCCGAGCAGGATACATTGCTTAATGTATCATGATTGGGATACATTTGATTTTAGTCAAGGCCATGTGACCAAGAATCAACCAAAGGCAGAACCTGTTTAGCTGAGTGAAAGTCTAGGAATATTTATGTTATCACTGCCCTGTAGCCTGAATTTCAGCTTTCTCCTTGAGTGGCAGATTTCTCACAAAAACATCTTCCCTATCTGTAGGTCGCAACTTGAGAAAATGGCTGAAATTCAGGCTATGCCCACTCAAATGGCCTGGGGGGAGTGGGGATGTGCCGCTGGGACCCTGGAACCCTTAGCCTTTACCAGAGCTAGTTCAAGTGAATTTTGTTACCCTTTACTAGAGTATACTAGAGTAAACTCCCCAAATCCCCCTATCCTTGAGTAGCTGTTTCCCTAGTCTAGATAAAATCTAGTCACTTTCCTGAAAAATAATACCCTATTCTAGACCCAAACGCTCTGATTTATATACCCTATCCTAGAGTAAACTGCTTGAAAACCATACCCTTCACAGCGGCACATACCTATATAGCCCATATATGGCAGTACCCCCCCCGGGGTCAAACGGCTGGTCAATCACTGAAGTAGTCTAAACCAATAATATCAGCCTCTAAAATTTTTGTACACTTTCAGTGCCATAGATTTTTGGAGATTGTGTCAATTTTGAAGTTATTCATATGTTTCTTGTATTAAAAATATAATAATAGAAAGGAAATACAGGGAGATGTAAAGAATCAACCATAAGAGGACACAGAAAAAATCTGAGCCCCAGATGGGATTCAAACCCACGACCCTCTGTGTTCTAGATCGGATGATCATGGGTGAGCATGGGTGAGACATTTCTTACTATTAATGTGACTGTGTCATGCCTTAATGTGTTGCTTGTGATGGACTGTGTGACTGCGAGATGCGGTTCGCAAGTCCAACCCACAAAAATGACCCTTGCTCGCCAACGAGTCCTCAGTAGCTCAGAGGTTAGACCATCCGATCTAGAACACGGAGGGTCGTGGGTTTGAATCCCATCTGGGGCTCAGATTTTTTCTGTGTCCTGTTATGGTTGATTCTTTACATCTCCCTTTATTTCCTTTATAATGTTAATATCAGTGAAAAATAAATAATCATGTTAAATTACAAAATAAAGGAAATAGTTTTTTAAGGTGTTACCATTTTTAATAGTGCCATCTTCATTCTAAAATACCTTTCTCACACTGCATGATTTTCTTTCTGGAAACCCTGCATGTATATCATGAACTCCTAAGTGATCAGCCCCCAGCTGGCTTGACAGCTTAGTGGTAAGAGCACTGCACTGGTATTACAGAGGTCATTCTGATCATGGATTCAAATCCCATTCCAACCCTGAATCAATTTTTTCAGGGTTTTTCTTTTTGCATCTGCTTAAGTTGTGTACATAGACGCGATGGTCTTTCTCTTATGAGAATTTTTCTAGCTCCCTTATTCAGTTATACAAAAACCTACCTGCCACTGAGATGGTTGTTTATGACAGCTAGCCTTGGTTAATTACAACTCTAAGGGAATCTACATGTAATTTAAATAACAGATTATTATATCTTTTACTCACCTCCTCCTCACCAATAATTTGTAGGGTTGGATATGTTTTCAGGAGCGAGCCAATGATACATTTCTGAGATGCACGGTCAGCTTCTGTTTGGGGATCAAACTGACCACTTTCCCCCTGATGAAAAAGATACTTTGTTTAAAAGATTGATCTGTTCATTTTACTAAAGTAATTTACTGTCCTTTATTGCCTTCATGAAAATAAAGACAACACATACCACAGATAACTTGTTATATGCACCAGTCACAATTAACATGACTGGCAAAACAACCAAAAAAAGGGGCAACACTCTGGAAAGAAATACTAAAATGGTGACAGTCCCTATCATACCTATCTACTGGGTTTTCTTGACCAAGGGTAAAATAATACACTTCAATTTCACATAAGGCAGCTGGCTGCACAAGCCTCCTCAGTTGTATGTCCAAGTAAAAGGACAGAAAAGAAAGAACAAGATAAAAAGGGGCAAGGAAAGTACCTGGCCTCTGCAGCACTAAAAGCTGTGACCATTGTGGTCCCCCATGTTGAGTAGTACACCAAGGGGGGGAGGTTACTCCGAATTTCAAGTGATGGGGATGATCAAAGGATTCTTTTGGATTTAAACGTTTCGATTCTGGAATTTTTTTTCGGTAGGAAAATTTGGCAAGTATTTTCTTGGGTGGATTGATTTAAGTAGGGATTTTTGGGGTATTCAAAACATTCTGAAGATTTGTGGCGGCAGCATAGTTCTCCAAAAAAAAAATTCCCCCAAACTTGGCCTCAGAAATTTGGAATGGGATTTTATGGGGGTTAATATTTGATCCAAGGAATTTTTTGGGTTTTGATTTTTGCCCCCCATTTGATCATCCCTGTCACTTGAAATCCGGAGTACCTCCCCCCTCCCTCCCCACTGTGGTATCTTTTTCACTTTCTATGGCAGAATGCACCAGAAATAGAGCCATTCCCTGAAGTCCTATCTTTGTTTTACAGGTGCATGAGCCAAATCCACCTCTCGCAATTGAACACCCTCCAGATTAATTATAAGCGACCATCTATCCAAAGTAACATAATCAAGCATTGAAAGCCCTGTAGTTGAAACTTTATCTCCCTTTTTTGCAAAGAGTGATAATCTTTTTGAAACAAAGAAAAACCAAGGATTTTAAAAGTTGAACCACAACCTGTCCATGATTCGACAAAGCAGATCTTTTTAAAAACCCACTAAACCAAACTCAAATGAATATATTTTCAAAAGCGAATACAATTTTCACTTCTAATTTATCACTGTTTATTATAAATATCTTGAGTTTTTACGAAAATATCCACCAAGAAAAAGAAAAGAAATTTAAAGGAGATCGTAGATTAGATATTTTGAGCTGAGTACTACTTTTTAAAGGCACACTGTATAATTCCTTACTACGGGGCTTGTGAGACCCAATCACGCCTTCGGAAGACCTACCAAAACCTCCAATCGACTGTTTAAGAAAATAACGCAACCAAATAACAAACCTTATCCACCACTCCGAGACTGCCTGTTTTAAGGATGCTTCTAATAATCCCGCCGGCTCTATTGGCCACAGAAACTGATGAGGATACGAGTCGCATCAAAAAGGTAGGAGACGACGCCATGTTTTTGCCGTCTGCTCTGACCTCAAGTGATTATTCGTGTCACGTGTGGTGAGGTGTGAGACCGTCACGCGGTGGTTTCAAACGTCGAGCTACTGCCGTTCGGCACGGCAGTAGCTCGACGTTTGAAACGGCCCTTATGCATCGCAATCAGTCCTTATAATTCTCGGATTAGAATTGTGCTAAGACAAACAACTATCGACAAGGTAAACATGAAATTGAAGGCCAAAAAGAGTACTTCAAACGTCAACCTGTCAAAAACTGAAGATTTCAATTCGAGTGTGAAGTGTTTCCAGGCAAGTGCACATACCTTTGGCGTGAAAGAAATCGGGCGAACAAGCGACAAAAACCAGCTTGCATCACGGCGACCGATTGTCAGCAGCTTTCCAATTTTCATCATCATCAGTCTATTCAGCGGTGCACAATGAGCATTTGTCACGCGATCACCCTTCCCCTCTTCCTTGCGAGCACAGCTGTGATTCGTTGTATCATGGCCGCTGGTACCTCTACTCGATTCATTACAGATACTTTACCTAAAGATCATAACAGAGTTACAGTCCGTCAGAGTTCAAATGGCACCTTAATGCCTTCAGTGGCAAATGGGTACATCGGAACAGTGATTTACAGCGATGCGGTGCATGTATCAGGAGTATACAACGGCAAGGCTTATCCAAAGAAGAAACCTATTTATCCTGTGTATTTCTACCAACACGCTCACCGCGCTCGCATACCTTCTACTGCTTCCATTGACTTCAGCTTATCTGGTATCCAGGGGAAAACCTCTTACGCACTGGATGTACTTGAGGGAGTGTTTTACAAATGGTTCAGCGCTGACAGCTTAAATGTTGAACAGAGGATATACGCGCATCGATCCCGCAAAAATTTGTTAGTCGTGGAAATAAGTGCGAAGAATAACGCTGCTAAAGAGTTATTAATGAGCATTTCTTCTAATTTTGGAGATTCTTCTCTGGATGTTGAGTTCAAGACGATCGACTCAAACAGACCTGAGGCTTTGGCGGCCATTGGCATGGTATAAACTTTTCACATATTTCCCTCCTACTGGGTCGACTGTAGAGTGTGGCGATCTGCTGTCACGCTGAACCTGCGTTTAGGCGTTACAAATGTAATTCTCAGTTGCATCCAGTTTGACGGCTCGTTCTTTGTTTCCCCCTCCTGTGTTTTTAAAAAGTGTCATAGGCAAGCTGACGTTATTATACCGGTCTAGTTAATAACTCAAATAGGTTTTCATCTGTTCAATATTGCGCCACATTGCAGTCTTTTTAAGACTTGCGCCGCCCCAACTTTCGCAGTCATGGCAGATTGGCATACCCACTACGTACTCCTTAGCGTACCCACCCGCTTTTTGGCCTAATGCACACACGCACGTGCGTTCGGCATTTATAAGTTGGTGATTTAGACGTTTTTTTTATATATATATATTTCCCTGCCTTCTGGCCAGGTTAACGAAACAGAAGAGGCGGGTAGTATACGAGCAAACATAGCAACCGTTTGGACTAAACTGCAGAAAACACTGACCGTAAAGGCGACCTCTGAAGAACAGACTTGGTACTTTATCACATCCATAGCAACCAGCCTCGACACCAAGTTCAACCCACTGGCTGAAGCTCTCTACCAATGGGACGCGGCAATGCTGTAAGTTACACTTTCAAGTGTCTCCTCTCTGGCTGTCAATACATTTAAGGGTCTCTTACGGGAGACTAAACAAAAATTGATTCAAATCTGCTCTTTCATTGTTTTCAGAGACAAGGAACAATTATTTGAAGAACATAAGGCGGCTTGGAAGGCATTATGGGAGACTGGCCGCATAGAAATTGAAGGTGACTTGGAAATGTCACAGGCGGTGTATGGTAGTATGTACTACATTCTAAGCTCCACTCGGAGTGATTGGCCGTACGGGTTAAGTCCCGGAGGTCTACCGGGGGGAGAAGAATACATGGGACATACATTCTGGGACCAGGATATTTGGATGTATCCTCCTCTGGTCCTGTTACATCCGGACTTGGCCAGAAGTGCCTTGAAATATCGCAAGGACCGGCTACCGGCTGCGCGCAGAATAGCGAAAGAGTACGGATATAAAGGTAACTGAACACAAGATCATTCAAGGAGCATTTTCGTTACCTACAGTGAGATAAATAGTGTGGATCAATCCCCTTCTGTATCACAGAGTCGTGTTTACACAGTAATTTTTAAGGAGTTATTTTAACTCCAAAAATGGAGTAAAAATTTTAGGTACAGGATAACTCCATTTTTGGGGTTACTTTAACTCCTATTTTAACTGCAAATCTGGGGTTATTTTTACTCCTTTAAAAGAGTTATTTTGACTCACAGTCTGGAGTTAGAATAACTCTAAAAATGGAGTTATTTTTACTCCTTACATGAGTTGGTTTTATTCTTTTTGGAGTTACTTTAACTCCTATTTTAACTCCAAATCTGGCGTAAATTTTACTCTCAAAAGAGTTATTTTTACTCCCAGTCATGGAGTTAAAGAAACTCTAAAATGGGATTAATTTAACTCCTTACATGAGTTGTTTTAACTCTTTTTGGAGTTACTTTAACTCTAAAAGTGGAGTAAAAATTTTAGGTACAGGATAACTCCATTTTTGGGGTTATTTTAACTCCTAAATTTTAACTCTAAATCTGGGGTTACTTTAACTCTATTAGAAGAGTAATTTTAACTCTATAAAACAAGGAGTAATTTTAACTCTATCCATTTTTACTCCAAATATGGCGTTACTTTAACTCTATAAATAGAGTAATTTATTAGATGAGGAGTAATTGTAACCCCATCAGTTTTTACTCCAAGTCTGGGGTTAAGTTTACTCTCCTCATTCGAAGTTCAAATAACTCCTCGATAAAATGTCCTTTAACTCTCCATTTAGGTTTCTTTGATTTTTTGGGACAATTTTTATGCATTTGTTCTCAATGACAGGACTAGTGGTAATCCTGACTTCCAAATAAAAACGATTCCTGCAAGATATATAGGAGCAAAGAAAAATAAATGTTGAGAGCTTTATACTACAGTAATAAACAAATCACTTTGTTAAGAAAAAGCACAAACAATGAGCTATTTTATTGACTAAATATCGTGAAGGTACATGTACATAAGATTTGTTCCAAGACAAAAAAAATATAAATATTATTTTCCTTTCTAACAAACAAATATATTATAAAATTGGAATGTTGTTATGCAACAAAGCTTGAAATCAACAGTATTACAATATATTATTATCTACATTTAAAAAAATTTTATCATCTCTTAACGCACCTAGTGTCATTCATTCAAAGTTTGAAAATGCAGATCAGACCATTCTCTCACACTGGATCAAAATGAAACCTCAACTCTGGTAATGATTAAGCAGAGACTAGAACAACATCTAAAATTTACGCCCTTGTAAAAGTTATATCCACATTGAACAATTACATCGTAGAACCTTTTCAACAAGGACTTGAACTTTGCAAAGAACCAAACTAGTTATGATGCATGCATGTATAACGATGAATATGAATCTTTTACAATGTTTGCCTTGGATCTTGAAAGGGGAATGTTTTGTTCTCATTTAAAAAAAAAAACAAATTTCGATTTGTTATCATTTGCAATGTTCAAGGACAGCAATGATTATCTTAACCTAAAGTACAAATAAAAAAAAACAGCTCTAAAAAAAAAGGAAAAACAGAGCCATCGCAACCATAATAAACCACAATCACAACATTTTATAAATTAAGACTAGAAATAAATTTGTTTAGGGCTACTCTCTTTTTTGCCTCAGTTGGCATGTCAAGAAGAGTGGCCTCACAAAATAAAAATACATTGCCAGATTTGGCTGGATAAGCAATGTTAAAGACATAGTAGCATGCAAGCAATAAACTGATGGCATTAGCCATAGAGGTGGAACCTAATGTAAGGATCGTTTCACCCTCTATGGCTATAACAAGGGGATCCAGGCACCAAAAATCTCCTTTGCCAACAATTCTTGGGAACCTGGTTTCCTCGATTGCCTGGTCGATGCTCTCTTCTTCCTTTGAAAAGGAAAAAATACAGAAAATTAACTGGATGAGTTAGCATTCAATTCCAGGACTTCCCGGAATACAGTCCACTCCTGATAACTTGAACCCTTGCTGACTCAAACCTAAACTGATTTCCCCCCTGGATTTTCTGATTGTACCGTACCTGCATTTACTGCATGAATTTTACCCTCAGTAACTTAAACCCTTGATAACTTAAGTATTTTTGTATCTGAAAACGTGCAAAATGTATCTGAAAACCTGCAAAAACAAGAAAAATTACCTACCATGCAAATTTTCACAGTAGTGTGTGGGCTTCCACCTTTTTCCTTGAGGAAGCGGCAATAAAGCCACTGCAGCAGCCTCTTCAATGACTAAAATACAAAAATGAAAAAAAAAGTAGTTATACACATGTACCATGGAAGCTCTCCTAACAAATCAAATCAAGTGAGCTCAGGTGTAACAGGTGTAACAGGCAGACGAGCACAATGTATTTTTGTAAGTGACTAGCGACAGTTACGGACAGAGTTTTTGTGTCCTGAGGGTGTCTGGTTACAAGCTTCCACTATACTGTCAATGTAAAACACTAACCCCCAATCCATGAAACATACATTGTACCATGCTATACAGTCGACTCTCTCTTAACAGACACCTCTATAAGACAGACACCTCTGTAAAATGGACACCTAGAGTTGGTCCCTGCCTTTCTTTACTCCCCTTAATTGACTCTCTATAAGATGGACACCTCTGTAAGATGGACACTTAGTGCTGGTCCCAAAGGTGTCTGTCTTAGAGAGAGTTGACTGTACCACCAAACATTCGTGGGTGAATCAGTTGTCAGGTCAATGTCTCTAAATGGAACCTAGTTCACTCAATAATCCATGAGAAGACACAAAGGGCTTGCACTGTAAGTATCCAGGAGAGCTCCATACAATTTCTTATAATTTTGTTATAAGGAATTGTATGGAGCTTTCGAGGAGACTTTTCTTAATTAGCTTAGGCGTGGTGGATTTTGTAACGTATGATCCGCGCGAGGTGTTTTTCCCGACACCCTTCTGTCAGGAAAATGTCATCATATGAAAGCAAAACAGACACGATCTCGTCGGCAGGCCGAAGCCGGCAAAAATAAAAGGCTTTTCTTCTTCGATTTCAGAGGTCAGTTTTGTCTCGATCTGGTCAAAAATCGGGTTTTTAGGTTGTAGGTAATAAAATATTGTCTTATTCTGTTCTCAAGGACCTTTAGAAAACGAGACAAACGAGGTAATTGTCTAGAGAAAGAAGCGCGAAAACGCTTTTTTAGAAGAAAATATTTTTTAATTCCCGCAGCGATTTTGCGAAATCGGGAAGCGCAATATATTCAGTTTCTTCCAAAGCCGTCATGATTAAGCAGTGTAATGCCATCACAACTAAAAATGAATATAGTTTGTATCGCAAAAGCCGCGAAAATAGAGCTGAAAAAAACAGTGGATCGGAAAAATTAATAACATCACCAAGAAACCGTCTCGCGGGAGCTTTGTTAAACAAACCGTTGGTACGGTTTATTTAACCGAACCTGGAAAAGGAGACGTCTGCACACAGAATACATTTCATCCTACATGTAGTTGTGATTTCCAGAACGGACCTCGGGAGCCTCATTGCTGTAATATCTTCTACAGTACAGAAACCACAGCAGAATCGCCCTGCTTGCGTGCTAACTTTCTGCTCCAATTATGACTATACAGTACCAGTGAATTGTTTCAAAATTTAAAGCGGCCGAAACTTATTTCCATCAGCGAGTAGTTAGTTAGTTAAGCAATAATAATGCACAGCACTGTAAATAACACGGTTCTAGAATATCTGACGGCTTCGCGTTTTGTTCGTCGCTGCATGCGATTTAATCGCTTATAACCTAACAGAAAATGTAAATGTACCTGAAGGAAATACCGTGTATTACCTTACCTTAACGCTGTGATGTGTGTAAATTTGTCTTTTGCTATGGTTTTAGACAATACGACTTCTCCTGACTATCAATTGTGCGTCAAAACAAGCGCGATAATGAAATAGTCGCGGTGCCATGGTGTAGCACTTTATGATAAAGTTTTAACTGGAAAACTTGTTACCATCTGATGTACACCTGTATAGTCTATGTTTGTAAGCTCTGCCTAAAGAATCACTGGGTTACACTGCACCCATGGGTGTGCCACCTAAAGTGCAGCCTATGTTTGTTAGCTCTGCCTAAAGAATCACTGGGTTACACTGCACCCATGGGTGTGCCACCTAAAGTGCAGCCTATGTTTGTTAGCTCTACCTAAAGAATCACTGGGTTACACTGCACCCATGGGTGTGCCACCTAAAGTGCAGCCTATGTTTGTTAGCTCTACCTAAAGAATCACTGGGTTACACTGCACCCATGGGTGTGCCACCTAAAGTGCAGCCTATGTTCGTTAGCTCTACCTAAAGAATCACTGTCTTACACTGTATTCACGGACGTTTGCCTCACGCTCTCTTCAAAGACAAAAAAGCTATAGTCTGTTTGGCCAAAAATCAAGCTTTGTTTCCCCTAAAAATTTGACACCATATTAGGGCCCCGAAAGACGTTAAAAGTTCCTCCATAACAGAAGAGTGTTTTACTAGAGTTAACAAACGTTTGGCTTACATGAGTTTCAATATAAGGGTGCAAAAACTTATCAGCATAATTATAGCACACAAACATTGTCATCAAACTCCTGGCATGTAGCCTGAATAACTCAAGCAAATATGAATAAAGCATGTAACGAGAAATATTCGTCAAATGGTCTCGTTAAGTAAATTATACTTCACTTTGCGAAAGAAATTTATCGTTTGTATCCGTTTTACGCATCGAAAAAGCGAGGAGTCATCGCATGACATTAGGTAACAGAAATAATACTCACGAGTTTCACGAATTCCAATTCCACGATTTTTCGCCGAGTAACAAATTTAAAACTTCAATTCTTACCTTACAGTGGTCGTTTCATTTACCTTACATTTGCCAACACTAATAAACATGAACAAAACGATGAAATCCGGCACTCTTCTTTCAGAAGTAGCAAGCCGCATGAAGTAAAATCCACCGATATGCGCTGGACTCTCACTACAAATATAAACATTTGTCGTGAAGAAAATACGACGAGGAGGAAAAAATGCCAGATCTTCGCCTCGGCAATGTATTCCAGCTACCAAGCCGGCGTATCTCCAGAAGGTGGACTCGAAGTGGGACAAACCTTGTGATTTTTTTAGGAGCCCTTTGCGCGCAAACTAATTTATTCTGGCGCGAAATGAAGATTAAGAAAATGTATCTGAAATCTAATACACGACAAGAAAATTTTCGCACTTTCGAGGAGCGCGACATATTAAACGGGATTACGTCGGATTAGCTGCCCGCGGAGAAAACGTCCCTGCGTGGGATGGTACTTCCAGTAAAAAGCCTCTGTGTCCTCTCATGTCAGTGACAGTACATTTTAGGGTAGTCCATGAAGTGGGGGGTCATTATCAACAGAATATTTTTTTTTTTTGGCGAGAGGGGAGTGGGTGGCGGGGAGAGAAGGAACAAGCCAATCACTATCAGTTGTACGAAATCAAACAGTATTATTTGTAGGCCATAACATATGGTGCTGGCTGTTGATCCATGATAGACCAACTGTTTACTGTAGATAATTATACAAACTGTAAGTAAACATAATAATCATACCATCTGTTTTTGAAGGGTTATCGGAAATGCCATCATTCATCAAATCCAGGATGTCTCTGGATCCATGCTGACTGCGAGCAAATCTCAAAATTTTATCCACCCAGTTCTGCTGAAATTTTTCGGCCATTTCTTTTACTGGGTTCCCTTGTCCCAAAATGCGGGCAAACTCAGCCTTTATCTAGGACATTACAACAAGAATAAGCATGTTACTTTGATTGGTTGCATCTTCTGATGAGTAGTGTATACAGTGTAATTATGAGATAGCTTTACATTTTTTCACTATTACCAGCATGCAAAGAAAGTCATGTCCGATAGGCCCAGGCTAGTGGATTTTGCTATTGCGCTAGTGATTTTTGTTCTTAACTTGCCAGACAGGCAAGTGTTGTTTTTTGGGGAAATTCAAATGACAGAAGGCTTGTAATCAATCCTGCTAATCAAAAAGGTTTTTGTGGCTAGTTGAAATGACCTGTGGGCTAGTACATGCTAACTACAGCTTGCCCAAATGGCAGGCTGTAAAACTGACTTTCTTTGCACCCTACTATTACACATTGTTCTTTAAACAGAAAACAATGTTCAGTTGACTCCCAGTAACACAAACCTTATTTTTCCTAAAAAATTGAATAAAAATTAGACTTATTGGAAGTTTGAAGCAAATAGGTGGTAATAAGGAAATTGGGCTCAAGGGAATGTACTTTACAGCAACCAAACTTTATTAATATACAGGGATGGACATTACATTTGATTCTTATCTCTGCAATACCATCAACAAATGAGACTCAGCTCACTCTGACTCTGAAGATTATGATGAGTATGGAATACTAACATTAATCTAATAAAAACTACAGTGTATCATCATTATCAACTTACCCCAGATGGTGACTTCAAAGCTGGATAATCCGCCACTAACTGGCTGACAGGGATTACTTCTTTTGTTAGCATTTCTCTTCTATATGCGAAGGTTACCCCCATTAGCTCTCTCACCAATGCAAGGTTCCTGTTAGATGAACGAGCCATCTCTTTTTTCATTATCGACTTGTGCTCTTCGCATGTTTCTTTTGTTTCCCCTTCCGGCATACAGGGGATTTCGTCAATTTTTCTTTTTTTAACAACAGGTAAGTCATCTTTCTCCTCAGCTTTCTTCTCTACTCCCTCTCTTTTAATGCCAGTTTTTCTCAGATTTTTGAACCTGTTCTTAAAGGCTGTTTCCCAAGAACCCTAGGGCAAAACAAAAACGTTTTTATTAACAAAACAATCTTGAAACAGAACTGCACCTGCAAACCCATTGAGAACAAGGCAGACTTCCCTACAATGACAAAAGAAAGGGTTGAGAACTACCACTAAAACATTTGGAGGTAAACAGGAGATTTAGAGGCTACCTGTAAATGCCCTGATACCCCAGATTAAAGATGCAGCTGGAGTGTACTTCCTTGTTTGTAAACCTGATAATACACGACTGCGAGTTTTTATGAATGGCTTCAAAATCTCTGATATACAGGTAGTTCAACTCATTCTCGCACTAATATTTAGATTTTGAATTTGATTTGATTTTTTTTTTGAATAAACAACACTTCTAGCAAAAAACAATTCAACAATAGCGTAACCATGAATTAATTTAGCTTATATGAACATTGCAAGTGGACACCAATGCTGAAACAACTTGCCACGTGCTGCAATTCCAGTCTTAAATAGTTTTTAAGATCAGGTTGTTTGCATGGTCAGTCAGTTGATCAGTATAATTATTTAATGCAAGCTATTACAAGTCACTATTCAACTTACAATTCCAGATCCAATAGCATCTTCAAGGAAAGGGAATTTTTTGATAAGGAGACAGGCCACATGTTCCCTCTCAGCTTTAGTAGGGTACAATGTGTGAACCCTTATGCTACTGCAGATGTCCCTTGTAAGTTCATTTCTGCGGGCACCTACCACTTTCTTCTCAGCAAGTGCCTTTGTGACTGCAGGTGAAAACTGGGGGTAAAAGTAAAATGATTGTATTTGGGTTATGTCCCACTAGTCAACCTAAGAGGATCTACAGGTATCAAAATAAGAAAGGAGCCCCTTGTGCCCTTGGAAGGGAAATCCCTTAGAGAGTGACTAAGATAAACAGCCGTGATATTTTCTTATATTTACTCAGTATGACGGCCTTAAATTATTCTCCTTGTACAGCATATCCTTGTCAACAGTCACTAATGGCCAAAAATGGTGGCAAACGTTGAGTTTTACCGTAATGAGTTAGAATTATTTGATTTCAACTACAGTGTACAGGTTATCTTGGAAAATGCAGATTTTCCATAGTTATAAAGAAAATTTTTGTTTCATTCAAAGAAGGATTTAAATTACTGAAAATAAAAAATAAAAATCATATATATTTTTTTACAGTCTTGATTTAATTTTGCCTTTAAAGTATTAAGTCCTCTTCTGTCTAACATACAGTCCAAATGAGTACAAGAGCACAGTAGACTTTCACGTTCAGTTTCATTACAAAACATATAACTTACACTTAACGGAAGATGGTAATTTACGATCCAAGAAGTGCCACTTGTGCTGCTGCCGGGTGTTGTCGAGGTTAACAGATCAAAATGACTAAAGGCAGGCTTCTTGTTGTGAGTGGGTGTGGATGTGGCAGGAGATGATTTATATGAAGAGCAAGTTGCGGATGATGAACTTGAAGTTTCAGGAGATGGAGATGATAATGGAGAGGACAGCTGACTTGAAGTTGAAGTGCAACTTAGAGGGGACTCTGGTAGCTGTCCTGATTTATCCAGAACTTCCTTTAAAAAATGCATATATAGATTCATAATTTTTGTTTAGAAATCAGAGGCTTTCTGTTTGTCAGAAATGGCCAGTCAGACCTTTCCCACACAGAAAGGGATGATTTTCAGTAAATCAGTCTTGTTGCAAAAGGTGCCTGGTCTACCTGGATTTTTTTGAGTTTTGGAAAATGCACTTAAGTAGATAAGTCCCTTGGGTGTCAATAAAAAGCAGAGTTGGGACCAGGGTTGGGGTTTATCTTTTTTTTTAAATACTGTTTAACTACTGTTAAAATACTGTTTAGGTTTGAGGTTAGGTTGGGTATACGGTACGGGTCAGCCCTAACCCTCAAAAAAGCATTTTTCTTTTAAACAAAGATAGACTCCAACCCCACATTTTACTAACACCCAAGCCCCCTTAAAGAACCTTAGAACCTTATTCGTACCAAAGGGCAACAGAACTTACCTTAGCTTTTTCTTCTAAAAACTTTGAAATGGCAACTTTGATTTTCAAAACTTGTCCGCCACTTATTCCACACTGCTTGAGAAGCTCTTCACTGGCAGAATTTAAGTCATCTTCTGTATCAAGCTAGAGGAAATGATTACACATATTATTGCATAGATTGGGCATTGATTGTCATCTTCAATTTACCCCAACATACACCAATTGTCAGTGGGACCAGGAAATGTATCTCAGGAATGTTTATTGTGTCATGACAATTAACCCCGCAGCAAAGATCAGGGCGCGAGAACTGGCGGTTTAGTTTTCCCACGCCTGATTAACTTTTCTCTTGGAGACAATAACGGTCCAGAAATATTCCTGGTGTTCAAGGTTTTCCCGGTATGACTGCAAAAGCTACTTTTTTTCGTGAACTAAACTTTTCCATCGTCATTTTAAGCAGTAGTTAGGACTGGTTTCGTTAAAACGTAAATTGTATAATTAAGTTTAAGCTTAAAATGTTTTGCTTATTTTGACTGTTTTGAAGGCCGGTTCACTCGAGTCTTGGCCGCTCTTCGGTGGCATACAGTTTTTAAAAACACAATGCTTAAACGTGCTTCCTTGCTCTGATTGCTTTACAAAATGTTGGTTCAAGTTGAAAATTCTGGATTTATCCACGGCTCAGGAGCAGTAAAATGTGAGCCAACTTTTTTGGCGCGGGAAACCCACCTCTTCTATAACAAGACGCTCGACTGTTGATTCCTTCACTCCGGATCTAAGCATGAAAATCTTTAGTTCTTCTTCCATTTTACAATAAGCTTGTAACCCTTGAAATAAATTAAAAACACTGTATTTGAGAACAGAAAATCAAGCCAAGACGGACGGCTTTACTTCAACGGAATCCATGCACGAACAATCAACATGTCGTTCACGGTTTTATAAGATCAAAAGATATAGCATAGATCACATTTAAAAAAGGAAACAAATAAACATTTAAGAATAGGAAGAATTATGTACTAACCTTCGAAAGAATTTACTTGACGTGGACTTGAAAATAAGAAAACAGTCGAATGTAAAACGTACTCGCAGTTGTGCAACGATCGATGAGCTCTAACCGTTTTAAGAAAACCGCGCAAATGATGATCACATGTCCTTTCATGTGCATGTGATGTGTTGTAATTTCCGGCGGTAATCTAATCGGACAGTAAACAGTGATTTGAACATCAAAGCGGGATCCCAACTTCAGTTCTTTTCTTGTCACCGCCAAACGTTAAAATACACGTTCAATTAGTTTGGCTTTAAGCTAATTTTACACTATGATGAAGGAAATATAGTCTGGGAAGGTGGCGACTGATTGTGGAACAGTAGTCCCGCTCTCGTTTCTATTGTAGTTTGCTTCAAACGAACCTTCATCTCCGTCATGATGATATCTGTTTACAAACACACGGCATGGAATCGACATAAAACATACGCTGTCCATGACGTGACGTCATTTCGTGGGAACCAAGTTCCCGGGCGCGGGAAATTTCTATTATTCGAGTCATATATTCGTCACAAAATGGCTTATCGTTGCAACGTCTGTGTCAGTTTTATTGCTCTTACTCTGTCTCTATTTCTTAATCATCTACATCGATACCATTTAAGCGATCCAAGCTTCCACGTTCTTTGTGGAATTAATGGCTGTGCGAAAACCTACAAGAAATGCATATCTTACAGAAATCACATCATTAGAAAGCACTCAGATGTATTGAAAGCTGAGAGAGAATGTGCTAATCAAACTATCATGGATGACACAGATTACGGTACAGATTGTTGTCCAAGTGAAGATCTTATAGACAATTCGACAGATATTGATGGAAACGACGGTGAAACACACATGTACGACTTAACTTCTCTGCCTCAGTTTGACTTTCAACGAGAGACTGAAGAAATCCGTCGTACTGGTGCTCTGCATTTGTTACGAATGAAATACCAAGATCGAGCATCGCAAAAAGCCGTCGACTCATTTGTTGAAAGTACTACCAGCATCGTAAGGACGAGCATGGAGATTCTTAAAGCAGGTCTGATGAACAGATTGGACACAGCCGGCATTGATTTCAACGCCGTTCCTGGACTCCCAGGACTCTTCAAAGAAGATAGCCTGGCTATGAATCCTTTTTCCGGTATAAGGAAGGAAAACGAGCAGCACAAGTACTATAAGGATAACCTGGGCCTTCTGGTAGGCTTTACTTCAGAATGTTGAAAAATATGTAGCTTTTCCATCTTAACCACAGGGCACCCAACGAGGATATAGTTCAAAACCACTTAACATAGCATTGTTGAACGTATTTTAGTATTTAAACGGTAGATATAGGCATATTTTTATCCCCTAAAAAGTTTTCATCTGTTCGGATTTCCTAGCTGAAAGTCTATTGATCCGAAAATTATAGGGATCAAAACTTACCTTTTCGAAAATTTCAGCCAGGAAAAGGTTCCTGAAGGTGGCCTTTTTTAGGGTAAATATCCGTTTAAAATGGGTAATTATACCATTTTGTAGATGTTCGAAAATCCTAGGAGAGGCAGGCAAGCAAGAAATTTTGCAACAAATGTTCCGAAAATTCTAGTTCTCAAATCGTCTTCCGAACAGATATTTTCCCGAAAATTGCCGTTGGGTGCCCCTGTTAACCCCACAGAAAAAAAAAGAAGAAAGAAAGAAAAACAGACAGATTAATCTATTAAACAATTATTGAATGAGGCTGAGTAACATATGAAGAATTAAGGAGATCAAGGAGGGTGTTATCTGCCAAGGCAATAGCTTTAGCATTTACATTTTTTATCACACAGGAGCCAAGAAAACTTGTACTGGGGCAGTACCACAAAAAGGTGCGCAGAGGGAACAAAATAAAAGATATGTTAAAAACAGATGATGCTTACTACATCCCACTGTTGGAAAGCTTGGAACAACTGCTAAATGATGATTCAATACTAGAAGAGGTACACACCTTTATAAGACACTCACTATACTATAATAAAGACAGTTAAGAGTTGTCACTGTCTGAAAATACAATTTTTATTTGCTGATGATTAGTATATGGAAAAGATTTTGTCATTACCCTTTTAGAGAGAGCTTGTGTTTATTATAGTAGCAACAACAATGCATTACTTATTTTACATGTGACTTACTTGTCTTATAGAGATGGTTAAAAAATTAACAACTGGTTTTTAAATGGAATTTTTAGATAGACAATCCTCACCAAAGAGCCGATGGTCTTCTTAGTGATTTTTGCGATGGAGACACATTTGCCAGACATCCACTCTTTTCCTCCGACCCCAAAGCCTTGCAGTTGATTTTGTACTTTGATGAATTTGAAGTGTGCAATCCACTTGGATCAAGGGCCAATAAGCACAAAATTGGTTTGTTTTTATCATGTTTTGCTTATTATCATGATCACACTACTCAATCAGTCAAATAATGATTTTTGTTGCAAATTGTTGAGATTTACCTTATATATAGCAGCATTACCTGCATGTGTAACCCAAGTGTTTTCTTTTAGGTAGAGCTAACAAACCTAGGCTGTATCTAGGAATAATTTTATGGATCCCTTATTTCATCTCATGTAGCTAGGTCTAACAATATTTTGATCTTGTCTCCCAAATGCAATTTATTAGGAGGCTTTTACTACACATTAGGAAACATACGGCCAGAAAATAGGTCTCATATGAATGCAATTCAACTACTTGGCCTCGTTACCTCCAAGCACCTAAAAAAATATGGAGTGGAAACTCTACTGAATGCATTTATGGAGGATTTAGCTAAACTAGAGCAGGTAAGTTTGATAATTATAGAAAGAAAAGATACTTAATTATTTAACGGATGCTGTTCTCCCACATTACAAGAGTGATAATAATAATAAAGTACATGTATTTCATTATCATTGTTGGTTCCTCTGTCATTGATAGTGGTTGGCAAGGATTGTGATTTTAAAAACAAATATTGTTTTTGTACATGTGTAGGATGCAGGTCACCAGTTTCTAATTGATGGAGTGCCCAGGTCATTTCAAGGGACAATTGCTTTTTTCTGTGGGGATAACCTTGGGTCTCAGTTTGTAGGTGGATTTAAGGAAGGATCACAGGCACATAGACCTTGTAGGGAGTGTATGGGTAACAAGGACCAGATCAAGAGTCATGTAAGTTAGACACTTTTTGCTGTTGTTGTTGCAAAGTCTAAAGCTTAAACCTAGATCACATGAAATATGTCCTTGTAACTTTTTTTAAATGACCAAAGTGTAGGAAAGGGGGGGGGCTAAAGCTGGTCATTGGAACTTTTGGGGCTATGCTTTAAGAACATTTGAATATATATTTGAACTTTATACTAACCTAATGAATTTCTTCAAGAGGAGTGGGGGTTGATTTATTATGGTCCATTCTGATGCACTGGTTTAATACCACACAAAAAAGGTGTGGTCCAGCTAATGTTACAGCAATCAATTGTCAGCAGTTCTTGGGAGTCTGTTGTGGCTACATGTAGAACAACCAGGTCTTTAAAGGTCCTCTTACATTTTTGGTCTTGTCATAATATTTTTTGTTACTTGCAGTTTCATGAAAGGGATTTTACTTTAAGAACCCGTGACAGTCACAACATGCAGTGTAACCGGCTTGCTGATAACCCACACTATTCAAAGACATATGGTATTAATTCAAATTCAGTGCTGAACAAGTCCAGGTTTTATCATGTGGTGGGAGGTATGCCGCCAGATGCCATGCATGACATATTGGAGGGAGTCCTTCATTACAGTGTCAAAGAAACATTAAAAACACTGATTTTGGATAAGAACTACATCACACTTGATGAGCTCAACAAAAGGATCACTTCATTTGACTATGGTTACCACAATGACTCTAACAAGCCAGCAGAAATACAGAGAAGTCGCCTTTTGTCAGACGACCACTCTCTAAAACAACATGGTAAATAAATATATATCGCGTTAAGAGATAGTATCTAGGTAACAGATGGATTGTGTCTTAGTTACGTTACTCTAGCGAGTTCATGCCCCACAGAAACAGATATGTACTTCAGAACTCTAGAGTAAGGTAACTAAGACACAATCCATCTGTTACCTAGATACTATCTCTTAACACATATATTTACTGCCAGCTTTTAATTTTAATGGTCAATCATTGAAGTTGCCTGATGAGTGTGGTCCTACAATTATTTCGGACCATATGAATCAGCACTGTCGCAATAAACGATCAATGGTTACTCCTGAAGCCTGAACTCCTGTGATTATTAATATATACAAATACCTGTAAGCTAATAATTCTATTAACTTACTACTCCCCCCCCCCTTTTTTTCTGAGCCCATATTAATAGTCATGTGAGTATACCTTGGATCTGAGGCTATTGATTTTCATGTTTAATTGTAGTGGATGACAGAAATATAGATCTGTCCGGTTTTGTTCAGCACTTATCTAAGGATGGGGACTTCCACTAACTTTGTATTGGATTTTTGTCTTAAAAATAATTGGTTATTTTCAAAATAATTATTTTTTTCTCTCATTACATTCAATTTGTTTCTCATTCTTTTTTTTTTGTTTATCAAGCAAACCAAATGTGGTGTCTCGCAAGAAACCTTCCTTTGCTGATTGGTGGACTCATTCCTGATGATGATGACCACTGGAGTCTTTTCTGTAATTTCCTAGAGATTGTCCGAATTATCTTCGCCCCCACAGTTAGTCGGAACCAGATCGCTTACTTACAAGTTCTTATACAAAATCACCATGAAACTTTTAAAGAATTGTATCCAGATTGCCCCATAACGCCCAAGATGCACTACATGATACACATGCCAAGAACAATGTTAAGGTAAATTTAATAATTTGTATGATTTGGAAAGAATTGTACTAACCTTCTTCTTTCAAACTTTCCCTTTTGCATTTAAGTGCTCTTTGAGTGAGTAAATAAATAACTTTAATATGAGAGTTTAATGGACTGCAAGAATGTCCTTTCTTCCTCAAAATTCCTTTTTCAAGATGCAAATTAGCAGTTGTGTGGCATCAGAGCCTCAAATGCAAGAGAAGACAATTTTCCTAAAATTTTGACAGATCTTTTTATCTTCTTTCAGCATGGGACCTCTTGTAATGGCTGGTGTATGCGGTTTGAAGCCAAGCATCATGAATTTAAGCGTCTCGCTGCACATCTGGGAAATTACACAAACTTACCCTACTCTTTAGCAAAACGTCATCAAGAAGGCTTTTTGCTACAGACTGCAAACCACAGAGGGTAGCCTCTCTTCATTTATCGTCAAAGGCATTGAAACTGGACCAGGTAACAAGAATGTATATCTTGTTTAGTGACTTAAAATTTTGTATTGAATCCCCTCACTTTCTGTTCAAGAAGGGCCCCAACGTAGAATTTAACCACTTTTAGTTGGAAGCAAACAGGGTCAAACCATTGCATGATTTTGTTAAGAGATGACAACAATATTTTAGCAAACTTATTTAACCATATGCCTCGGATATAGGTGCTGAACTTCACAAGAGCCAACTGAATAAAGCTCAAGAATCTGTTCTAATGAGACAGTGCAATATTTTATGTAAAATGTTACATGGATTTAGCTTGATCTTATATCAATTGTTTGTTATGTAATTTAACATTTTAGGCCATCACTGCCATGCAGGAGATGTAGACTACCAAGGCATCCTTATGAGAGATGATCCAGCAGTTACAAATGACACACCATTAACAGAGTAAGTGACAAATACACACTGTTACAATATAGTACCTATTTACTAAGGAAAGAGCATTAGCCGTGTCATCATTCCAACAAAGCTTTTTTATAATCAATTCCCCAAATTGTTTGTTTTATGTGACTGTTGTTTTTGTTTTTTTTTTTTCAGGTTTAAAAGGGTTTCTGTTCTTGGGACAAACTATAAGGTTGGCTGCACATTACAAATTGTCACGGATCAATATGACAATCCAGTTTTTGGACAAGTGATGAAAATTTTCTTGTTAAATAAGAACATTAATGACATATTTTTTGTTGTTTCTAAGCTGAACACAATTGGTTTCAGCATGCACTACCAAAGTTTTGAGGTGCAAGTTACACATCCTAGACAGAAGCTTATTATTCATCACAAAAACCTCTCTTCTTTCCTACCTCTAAATCAGGTGAAACCTTTCGGTGTATTGACAAGGAATAAATATGTTGTACAACGCTTTGACATAGGAACAAACAACTAAATAAAAGTTCACTGTTGTCACATGTATATGATGTTTTTATGTCTGTAATATACAGTCCATTGGGCATTGTCGTAAGTTTACCTCTTAAAAATAAGGATCAAGATAACAAAAACCTGCATGTAAAAATTCACATAAACGAAAAGAATCAACTCATTATGAAGGCGGAAAAACCTAAAAATAACTCCTCTATATACATTCCAAAATAATTTTAATTCTATCTGCCGAAATCAAGTAACCCTTCCTAAAAAAGAACAAACTCTTTAATGGGAGTTAAATAAACTCCATTGGAGTAACTCCTAGATATGAGTAAATTCAACTACACTTTTGAGAGTTAAAGTGACTCCACAGACAGAGTAAAAACAACTCTTGTCAAAGGGTGAAAAATTTTACTCCCTAAAAATAACTCTCCCAAGCGAGTTATTTTAACCCACTTTGGCAAGATAACTTTGAGTGACTGAATTTTACTCCTTAAACACAGATGAATGATAAGAATATCCTAATGATCATGGCAATATTTAGAGTTAATGACAGAAAACTGTTATGGCCAAATCTATAGAGGACGACTTTCAGGGTATTAATAATTTCTTGAATTCCAAAAACGAGTTAATTTAACTCCGATTTAATATAACTCTTCCTTGAGAGTTAATTTAACTCCTTTGGATTAACTCCTCTATAGGAGTAAAAAATATATACACCTTGTAGAGTTAAAGTGACTCCATCAGATGGAGTAAAAACAACTCTTACAATGGAGTTTAATTAACCCCTTAAAAATAACCCCCAAAAGAGAGTTACTTTAACTCCTTTAAGTGAGTGAGTTTTATGCATTTGAAATTTTACTCCTAAATGGAGTAATGTTTTACTCTTTTTTGGAGTTGATTTAACTCTTACAAAATTAACTCCGAAATAGAGTAAAATTTACTCCCTTCAGATCCGATTTAACTCCTTTTTGGAGTTACAATAACTCCCAAAAAAATAACTCCACTTTGAGGAGTTAAATTAACCCCACTATAGGAGTTAAAATAACTCCTTAAAAATTACTGTGTATATGATTCGATTTTGCCGCCTTATAAACTGAGAGTAAATAGAAGCAAAACTGGATCTGATTTGGGCTGCTGATGTATTACTATACATACCACCATACTGTGTAAGGTGCTCGACTGTCCCTAGGGGTTCTTCGATCCCGTCATCCCGATGGTTGTTCCTGCATTCCGTATCCCCTTTCAAATACCGAATCTCGCCCCCATTTTGCTTTAAAACCCCGAATCCCAGGACCCTTTTGCTTAACATTAAGGGGAACTAAGATTAGCTTAATATCTGACTAATCCAATTTGATTGGACTGATCATGAACTGAGGTTACATAAAAAGTTCGTAATATAGGTTAGGGTAAAGATCTATACAGTTAAGGGCTATTTAAATTGAAGTCGCGCGTCTTAGTTGTCGACGCTTTCTTGCCCTGTAACGCAGCTGCCACTCACATGAGATTTGCCCGGTGAAAAGGCAGATGTGATAATCGGAAAGTTATATCCCTCCTTCTTTACCGGTTGAGTGCCTGCTGTGGTTACTAAAGTGAGAAATAAATGGCATTTGCTTCTATTCAGGTGCCATGTTTCCCTGGGAAAGTTCCTATACAGGCTTAGAGACCTCCCCAGGGGAAAGGTATGGAAAAGCCCAGATCCACATCACTGGTGATATTGCATTTGCTGCCAAGCAGTTCTGGAGATCTAGCAAGGATTTTAATTGGCTGCGGGATATTGGATACCCTCTGGTCTTTCAAACCGCGGAGTACTGGGCCAGCAGAGTGGAGTACGACGTTGCGAACGATAGATACGTCATTAATGACGTAATGCCTCCAGATGAATATCATTACCCGGTGAATAATTCTGTGTACACCAACGTGGTGGCGAAAATGAATCTCCTCTTTGCCAAAGAAGTAGCTGGAATCTTAGGAAAGGAAGTTCCAAGAGAGTGGCTGAAAATTGCGGAAAAGTTAACAATTCCTTTTGATGGTAAAAACAATTACCACCCGGAATATGAAGGGTACACTTTAGACAAGGAAGTCAAACAGGCAGACGCTATTCTCATTGGTTATCCTCTGATGTATGAAATGGACAGGAAGGTGAGAGCTGTTCATCGCTTAAAAGGCTATCCTTTCCGCTCGTGACAAAGCCAGGCTGTTGCCAGGGCTCCTGGCCAGAGTTTTATGTCTTTTTTCTTTCTGTTTTCAGTTGCACTGTGTTGTATAGTGGTGTATTTTTCTTTGTTTTCCTGGAAATATAAGCTTTCTATGTGTGTGATTTTCCTCTTTCCTGTACTTGTGTTCTGTCATGATCGTTTCCTCTTGTTCTCGTTTTGAGCATACATGTCCCACATGGCCGCTTCGGTCATCTGAACACTCGCGTCTTTCAAATTGTTAGGGCGACCTTAGAAGGAGTTTTTGACTACTTTTAAAATTGACGCTCCTAAATAAAATTGCCAAATGATTTTCTGTCCTGGCGAAAAGGTTTAGATAAAAAATAAGAAGAAATCGTCTTTCTATTGGGGCACATACCGGTGCGAACGCTTTTAGTTGCTTTTATTTCTGTACATCCCGTTAAAACAAGTAGGGAAAAAGTCAACCACTGAAGTTTTAACCCAGTAACTATAAAAGACACGTTCTTCATTCACATATAAGCTACTTTTCTACTGTTTTGGCAGGTTCGTTATAGCGACTTGAATCTTTATGAAAATCGCACGGACCCTGATGGCCCTGCTATGACACATTCCATATTTGCTATCGGATGGCTGGATTTAGGAGAGAAACAAAGAGCCAAGAAACCTTTTCTAAAGAATTACGCCAATATTCGCGGTCCATTTAAGGTAAGAACCCGATACTTACTTTAATTTTTTCTATAGTGTTTATATTGCCTGTTGGTTTTGGTTCTGGTATTAAGTATAGATATAATTCTTCCAATACGTTTTTTTTTTCAAATGAACTTTTATTCTCATGCAAACAAACTTATTTTCACAAGAAAGGTTTTGCACTTAGCTTCGTTTTGAAAGTGAGAGTTTTTGTTATTGCGTGCTTGCGGGGTGATGTTAACCTCAAAGCCCTCGGCACTCACAAACATGTAAAACTTCTAATTATAAGGAGGATTTTTGTTTGGGAAACTTTCTCTTCTTGAATGATGCCGAGTGTAAGTTAGAACCAAGTCTTTTTGTTCCCTCGGTCAACCCTTAGGGGTGTGGCTAGAACGGGGACTCTTGTCTTGGAGAGAACCTGTCGAACGGTGCCCATAACAAAAGAAGTGAAAAAAAAACGTCTTTTGGAGCGTTAATCAGTTATTCTTGCTTTATTGAGATACTAAAACCGAAAATTGTTACAAGCAACAGAGACAGTTAAAGTAAGCTGTATGGTCCGAGATTTGCGTGTCCGGTGTATTCGAGAGAGAAACGTGAAATCAGATTTCAAGTTCACTTCAATGCTGACTGGAATAAGTTCAACTGTGTCGACTACTTTGTTTTAAACAGGTGTGGACAGAGCGCCGTGCATGTGATATATGGGGCACCGTCATGTCTATTAACTATTTCGAGTACTTTATCATTGACTGTTGTTTTTAACAGGTGTGGACAGAGCGCCGTGATGTATGGGGCGCCGTCAACTTTATCACAGGAGCTGGTGGTTTTCTGCAGGCTGTAATTTATGGCTACGGAGGTTTTAGACTGAAAGATTCTGAACTTTCCTTCAATCCTACTCTTCCACCGAACGTCAATAAAATGACGATCAGGGTAAATTACCTGGGGAGTTTGATTGACTTTGCGATCAAAGACGAAAAGATCACGATCATGGTGGTTTCTAGTGGTCCCATAGCTCCAAGTCTAGAGGTTTCTACTTCTGAGGGGATATTCAGCCTCGAGCGTGGTAAAGCTGTCTCTATTTCCAGAGACCGAGGCGTACTGCGTATCGCGGATTCCAAATCCCATATCCGCAGCTGTGCGCCATGTGACCACTCTCGGCTTCACATTTGCCTGTTGTTGTTGCTTAGTTTCTGTTTATATCTCTTATCAGTACGCGGCTATCAGTGACCAGGAAAACAAATCGGTGTTACTGTGAATGTACCCGTCTCTATATACGAGGTCCGTGACAGTGACTTTTAACTTTTGATTATCAGTACCGCATGTAAACTCTACCTATACCTTTTTATGAGGCTGTTTTCACTGTTATTTCATCATCATCATTATTATCATTTTCTTGAGACATTAAAACCAGTTTTGTGCGAATGAGATATAGCCTGAATTTCAGACGATTACTTCGAGTCATTTTTACTCCCTCAGCGAGTAACAAACGACTCCAAGCAATCGTCTGAACCTCAGGCTAAATGAGATAGTTAGCCAAGGCCACACCCATAACCTTTGGGGCAAAGTTTTGTTCACGGTGCGGCCGCTGCTATGGGTTTCCTTATATATATATATCTAAAAAATGCCTGCGAAATGTAGAACAAAATGTCTTCTATCAAGAGGATCGGCGTCACTAATTTCTTGTTCTGCGACATATCAGATGCCGATTGTCACTCGTCTTTGACCACCCTTGTCTCGACTTTTTCACAGCCATAAAATGCATCTTACACCCTTTTAGGCATTCAGTTACAGACCGAAATTACAGGTTTCCCTACCCTTTCATATACTTCCACTAGTGAAATCCCCACCATTTCATATACCTGACTCCTATAAAAGGTACTCGATCCTTTCGAGCGGAGCCTGCCCGTATAGGCCATCATAGGGAGTACCCCCGGGCAATTGACATGTTCAGCTTGCATTACGGCTAGATGGACGAGATCAATCTTAGGGCTCTAGTTGCTAACTGAGCTGCCGAACGTCAGAGTTGACCTCAGGACGAGTATATCGTACTTTCTATGTTGTGCGGAGTGAAATTGCGGCAAGTTGATGCGGTGATAATCTACGTTCAGTCGTTCTGTTTACAAAGCGTTTTTTTCCGGCTCTCTTCTTACAATATCGTTCTTACTGTGTAAACGGCGAGACGGTACAGTAGAGGGGTTTACGTTGAAAATAGCCTGGAACCAGGCTCCCTGGTGACGAAGAAAGGAAAGATCGGCGAGCATCTATCATGCTATCTATTGTTCGCATCATTAGTTTATCATTAACCCTCTCATGTAACTTTAAATTCAAATTTTAGGAGCCATTATAGTATTCTTTTTAACATGTAGCTCTGGCCTTGAGGAAGGCTAATTTTGTTAGGCGAAATATTGACCTCAAAAAAATCAGCCCTTTGCCATATTGCCAGCCTTGCATTCAGTATTGTTTTAGGGACTGCCGAGGTATAGCGACGTTCCCATCGCCCCGCCAGTTTCCCCCTGGACTTCCCCTCGTCGACTTTTTCCTCCCGCGCTGTTTCCTTGCGATTTTTAGCCTCCTTTCCCCATGGCCAAATGGAGAGCCTGTTCACTGGCTACGCTAAAAGCAACCCATGCTGTTCTAAGGAGTTTCATTGTCTTAGATCTACGCAGAAAACATGTTGAAAACCTCTTCGTGCCCTAAGCCGGGAAGTTTGTCCAAGGTAATAATTAACTGTTGATGCTACGGGATCGTTCTCTGTCCGTTCATAAATTTGGTTTTGCTTGTTCGTGTTTTTACAGCCTTTTTCTTCTTTAACTTCGTTCTGGGGCCGGAGTGTTGTGGTCAAAATTCCTAAAATAGATCTGTTAATCATTAGCTCTTACAGATCAGATAAAAAATATAATAGCCTTTGCCACTGACGGAACTGAGCCTTTCATGTTCAACGGGAAGGAGGGGCGACATAACCCTTTTGAGCTAACCCGTTACGAATTTAACTTTGTTTTGGCGGTGAATCCATTCACCATGAAGGTCCGTCGCGGCAGTGAAATCTTTTTTGTTATTTTCTTCAGCTTTACATCTTTGGTGAAATCGTCCTCTGCAGCTGGAACTCCCACTCGCTTCGTCACTGACAAACTACCGCGAGATTACAGCAGAAGCTCGGTGCGACACAGCCGAAATGGTCAGTTCATGGCTTCAGTGGGTAATGGTTATTTGGGTACAGTGATATACAGTGATACTGTGCATATATCTGGGGTGTTTAATGGCCCGTCGTATCCGAAGAAATACCCCATTTATCCGGTATATTTTTACCAACACACACACCGGGCTCGCGTGCCTTCCACGGTATCTGTTAACTTCAAAGTCAGGGGAATCCCAGGGAACTCCTCGTACGCGCTGGACGTGAGCGAGGGAGTGTTCTACAAATGGTTCAAGGCCGTGAATTTAACAGTGGAAGAGCGAATATATGCGCACAGGACCAGAAAAAACCTTCTGGTTGTAGAGATCACGGCGAAGAATAATGCTGGCAGGAAATTTGCAATGGATATTATTCCAAATCTTGGACATGTAACCGATGATATTCATTTCTACATGAAAGACTCTTTCAGAGGCGACGCTCTCGCCGCCACTGGTTTGGTAAGTTATATTATATTTAAGTTTTGTATATCGAAAGGTCTAAAATGTTTTAACATCATCATACGTGCCCGATATTCGTCTCGTGCACAATGGACAATAAAAAGCCTTGTACTTTTGTTTATTATTTCCGGTGACTTTTTGTGACATTGCAGTTCTCGGGTCGCGGGTCTTGTCAGATCCCGCTATATAACCCGGGGAATTTTTATTACCACATTTGCTGTGCGCGGAAAATTGTTAGGAATCTTGATCCCGTTTAACTTTTTATTACTTTTAGGGACGGGGAGAGTAGGGCGTAAAGGGATGTTTATAAAAGTCGGGTAAAAACAAACACAGACCTTAGTTAAAGATCACTTCATCCGTTGATTTGACTTACCTCCTCATTCATTCATTCATTCATCCATGCAAGTAAAGGGTACTGAATGAAAATGTGGATTAATTTTTGAAATTAAAGAAGAGAAAAGAAAAAAGTAAAGGTATGTAGCTCAACAAAACCGGGAGTATATTTCGCGAGTAGAGCTACACACAAATAGTTAACATAATAACTTCGTTGGCTTGGAGAGATAACGATTAAAACTGTTTTTTAAAACAAAATTTCATAGTCTTTTGCGGGAGCACAGCAAAACACGTCCGTGCGCATCAGCACCCACAGGATACCAGTAACTATTTGATCCTGATTTAGACTTTTCGGCATCAATCCGATTTTCTACGCGCCGCACAGACGCAATGGCCCAGAAACAACTGACCCTCTGAAGGAAAGAAGAAAGTGGACGCAGAGAAAAAAAAAGAAAAAAGAAGAAAAAAAATACTTCAGTTCTATTCTTTATCGCTACGCTGAACCGAATAGAATTTTTTTTTTGTTATAAGTATCAACAACATAAAGCACAGTAATACAACAAGGGAGCGGCCAGTACATAAGCACGAAGAAGATAAACTGAAACACAAAATTGCAATGTGACCGCAGTCAATGAAGACGATGCAATTGTTACAAATAGATAACATTGGTTTTAAAAATAATGGACCTTACAAACAAGAGACTGACAAAAGTAGCAACGAGTAAAGATGGTTGGCACGAAGTGGTGTGGTATTTACAATGAGTGGCCAATAATTCCAATAGCAATATATACCAAAAAAATGTAATCAACAACTAAACGAAATACATAACACCGCAAATAACATTCAAAGAACATAGGAACCTGATTCCCAGGCCATTACTTGTTTCCCGGGGAACGAGTTGGAGAGAACCCCGGGAAACGAGACTGAGAACTTGGCTTCGTCGTTATCGGAACCATAAGCCGTCCGTCCTGGGGAAATACCATTTTTAGCGTGATAGGGCTTAAAGAAGATTTTGTACGCAAGCATTAACAAAAGAAACTGACTTGTGGTATAATGTTCGTGTTTTTCCCAGTGTTGTAATTGTAGGGATTCACACATAAGTCTGAAGTTGCTGGTTCACAATTCAGTGATGCCTGAAAGTAACATTTGGAATCTATCATGAGATAAGATGCTAGTTTTACTGACCTCAGCTCAAGTCCTCGCAATATTTATGTGATTTTTTTGAAACTGAATTGCTTTCTTGAACATTATGGTTTAATATTGGGTTTAATATTTCATAGATAAACCAAACGGAGGAGACAGGAAGCATTCGTCCAAATGTGGCCATTGTTTGGACCTACCCAGATCCCGATAACCCTCTGATAATCAAGAATAGCTCCGAGGAACAGACTTGGTATTACATCACTTCCATAGCAACCAACCTGGATACCAAGTTCAACCCGCTTACTGAAGCTCTTTTCCAGTTTGATGAGGCCACTCGGTACGTTCTATATAGTTTTTTCCTAGTCCCGATAAACTAGAGCTGCGAGGGAGAAAGGTGATGAAGCCCAAGGAGCAAATGAAGTTCGACGAAGAAATCTTTTCATTTTGTGACCAAAAAAAAATCTTGAATGCCATTTTAATCTAATCCCAAATCCCGGATTTTTATTCCTTAAAGTTTAAAGCAGAAGCAGGGTAACAGAATATCCCAGCGTCCAAAGAGGGAGATAACGGTGGGTGGGTAAAACCCTGAGAAAGATTTTGCATTGAAAATGACACAGGTCGTGCTTTGGTTATTTCATATCTCTTCTTACTAAAAATACATTCAGTGTCTCCTCTCTTTCAATCCAATCTAACTGAATTTAGTGAGTAAAAAAACAGAAATTAGAAATTTCATTTTATAGCTATAACAGGTGTTTTATCCATCTCTTTGAATAGTTATGAGCATAAATTGTGCTAAATCCACTGTGCTAAATTATCGGAACAAAATATTTAGTAGTCTTTTTAGTGTGTCGCAGTGAACATTGAATAAAAAGCACGACAAACAAACCAACGAGTGCGCGCGACAATTCCGCATTCCTTTCGATATTCAAAATGGTATTTGCAGCAAAACAAAGAAGACTCTAACTTGAGATCATATGTTACATCTTGAAAATTGGCAAAATTGGTCAAGTAAATTCTTTTTTTTTTTCAGGGCAAAGGAAAAATTACTGGCAGAACATAAGGCAGCTTGGAAAGCATTATGGGATACTGGCCGCATAGAAATTGAAGGTGACTTGGAGATGGCACAGGCGGTGTATGGTAGTATGTACTACATTCTAAGCTCCACTCGGAGTGATTGGCCGTACGGGTTAAGTCCCGGAGGTCTACCGGGGGGAGAAGAATACATGGGACATACATTCTGGGACCAGGATATTTGGATGTATCCTCCTCTAGTCCTGTTACATCCGGACTTGGCCAGAAGTGCCTTGAAATATCGCAAGGACCGGCTACCAGCAGCGCGCAGAATTGCTAAGAAGTACGGCTTTAAAGGTAAAAGAAGACGCTATTCTTTTGAATGATCATGCGGTTAGCATCTCAGGCGCAGTAATAAATCAGCACAAGAATTTGGAATTTGCAAGTGACTAAAATTTAAAACCTCGTTTACCCCGTTACTCCTTGAACTGGAGTTTACATGGCTATCCTTGTCGTTGAAAGAAGACTGAAGTTTCACAAGCATGAATTTTTTTTTGAGGGAGACTCATTAGTTACAACAGGCATTCCTTGTTTTAAGAAAGAGAAATTTCTACCTCCTGGTAAGCTTGCGCATACGTCCTCCTTCATCTGGAACCTCAACCATTGAATAATATTTCATCGTTTCGATGGCATATATGATTGGAAACGAGGCTGCTTGAGCAATAGTGAACTAAAAAAATGGCGTTCACGACTATCCGACGATGAAATAGCTGAATATCTGACTAAAACTGAACGGAAGAAATGCAAATATAAGCAAAACATATTGCTCGATGGGTTTTATCTTTAAAAAAAAAAACCCGTCTGTTTATATCTTGAAGCGCGGTGCCGAGGAACAGGCCAAAATTTTGAATTACCGCAAGTGTACTTAGAGGTAAACTTTTTGAGAGCTTAGAAATATGTTGAATGAGTGATAAAACAGTTATTGAATTCACCCTCGTATTATGTCAAGAATTATGCTGATCTCGAAGGCTGGTATCCTCGATCTGCATAATTCCTCACTTCATACGAAAGCCGAATTCAATAATTGTTACAGTGCGTCTACACGAACCGAGGCATCTGGAAGAAGATTATCCCATCACAAGGGGTTTTTTTGAAAACAAAAGATTCCCAAGTTTCTTTGCAAGCGGACCAATAAAATTCAAGGTTCAACTCTGCAAACCGGTGAAAATATTAAAACCGTTTGAACTTACTTGACCTCTCAGGGAGCAGCCCTCAAATTTATGCATGTTATTGCTCCGTTTGCGAAAAAAAAAATTGGAGAGTCTTCTGTTTTCAAAAAAGGTTGCGATTGGATAACCTTCTTCAGAGTTCCCCGGTTTGAGTAGTCGCACTGTATATACTGCAACTACAATGATTTCCTGTCCACAGGTGCAATGTTCCCTTGGGAGAGCTCTTTCACCGGCCTGGAAACATCCCCGGGAGAAAAGTACGGCAAAAACCAGAATCACATCACAGGAGACGTCGCATTTGCAGCGAAGTTGTTTTGGGAAGCAACTAAGGACCTTCACTGGCTGAGGGTAGTTGGATATCCACTGGCATACCAAACCGCGGAGTACTGGGCCAGCAGAGTGGATTATGATGCAAGACAAGATAAATACGTCATCAATCACGTGATGCCTCCTGATGAATATCACTACCCAGTCAATAATTCTTTGTACACAAATGTGGTGGCTAAAATAAATCTCTTATTTGCTCAAGAAGCTGCAGATATTTTGGGAGAGGAAGTTCCAGAACTATGGTCAACAATAGCAGAGAAGATGTACATCCCATTTGATAGCAAGCGTAATTTCCATCCGGAATATGAAGGCTACATTCCAACAGTCATGGTTAAACAGGCAGATGTCGTGCTGGCCGGGTATCCACTGATGTATGAAATGCAAAAACAGGTGAATTTTATGAAAATATGACGTACCACAACCGAGACAAAAGTGCCAGACGTCGCTTTTAATATTGAAAGAGACTCGCGGTGAGGTAAAATGGTCCCGGTAGCTTGTCAGTGTTCCTCTTGTCTAACTTGTTTTTTATAGCCTGCGAGCAAGCTCTCCGGGGCGCGCTGGAGGCGGGGCGCCCTAGCGCCCCGGAGAGCTTGCTCGCAGGTTAGTTTTGAAATATCTTGATACGTCTTCACTAATCCAGGCATTTTTGAAACCACATTTTTTTGCCTGGACTCGTGTGTAAGGGACGTTAAACACTCTGGAGAGCAGTTTCAAAAAGATGCGGTTTCGGTGAGCGGATTAAAAATATGCGGTTTCTAAAAAAGATCCGGATTAGTCTGGACGTGGCCTTAGTTTCCAATGGTAATCTGGGTAACTTTACACTTCTTTGTATTACCAGTCAAACCTTGATTTAGGGGTAACTCTTCGGGAATGGCCAACCAACCCGCTTAATACAGATTGACTGTTTTACACCGACTGAACTTTTTATAATTCCAAGAGTTGATGAAGAAAATGTGGATAGTGACTAAGCAAAGTATCCATCACACGATAAATTGCCATCAGTGAAAGTGTTTCTACATCATCTTGTGCCAAAAAGAAAGTAAAGACCAAGAATTGTCCTGCACGTTGTGTTTCATCTTTAATCTGTTTTTACTTTGATTATCTCAAGTCCACACTTCTTTGTATTATTTTCTGTTTTGTTCTTACTCAGGTTCGCCATAATGACTTGGATTATTACGAACGCCTGACAAATCCTAATGGTCCTGCCATGACTCACGCTATGTTTGCTATTGGCTGGTTAGAAGTTGGTGAAATAAAGAAAGCAGATCGCGCCTTTTTAAAGAATTACGATAACATACAAGGTCCTTTTAAGGTAGAAATTTTGTCCTGTTGGTTTCCTTTCCGGTAGATAAAACTATAGTCAGCCACATATTTGCATTTTGCTTCAAACGAATTAATTAACCTGTGTACCGACATCGTCTCCCGATTTTTTCCTGTCGGAGGGGAGACGTGTACACAGGCTAATAACTCAGTGCGGAGGGGTAAATGCGGCTTGAGAATCCAATGAATATTTCACAGCCAGAGAATTCGTAAAAACAGAAAATTCGTAAAACAAAGAATCGTTTCAATAATTGTAAAGATGACTCAATTTTTTACAGACGAAAACGATTATTGTTTTGAATTTTTTTTAAAAAAACTTTTCGGCCTTCTAAAATAGTGTTTTAATCTCACGCGAATATGATTATGAGTTTCAATAACTGTTAAGCAGATACAGATTTACCGTGCCTAAACATGTAATCGAGCAGTGTCTATCTTAGAACACCATTTACCTGAAACTAAAAATTTAGCAAAGACGATGAGACCTGTTCTCCATAAAGAACTAGAATACAAAGTGGAAAAGCCCAAGTACAAGAAGTTGGAGGTCATGCAGCCGAGGATCAAAACTACTGGCGGAACTTCCAGTTGGTGAATGAACCATCCAGGATCAGTCCACACGAAGTTTTACAGTCCATGATTGATTAATACACTCTCTCATTTATTAGTGAAGAATGATAGGGGGGGAGGAGAAGGGAGGGGGGCTTATAAACTTTCTTCCCCTGAAAAAAAGGGGGGCTTATTAGAGAGGGGGACTTTATAGAGGATTTAAGGTATGTGGTGTTTGTGAAAAGGATCCTTTATTTCAGTATGGGAATTCCATTGAGTAGTGTTGTCATAGGCGCTTTCTCACATGTTATCGAGCGCGTGCGCATTATCGCCCTTAAAGTTTTTGCTGACACCTCTAGCCTGAGTATCAGGCGTTTCTGGGGGAAAAGGAAGAGAGAGAAGGGAAAAGGGTAGACAGGGACAGCTTCCCCCTGCGCCCTAAAATCTATTCACCCTTTAACCCTGAGGAAGGCCTAATAGTTAGGCTCTGACCCCTCTTGACTAACGTAAGCAACGTTACGGTTTACTCGACAGGTTTGGTCAGAAAGACGATGGGGGAAGGGTGCCGTGAATTTCATCACAGGAGCTGGTGGTTTTCTTCAGGCTGTTGTTTATGGATATGGTGGCATTCGCATAAAGAAGGACGGGTTATACTTCAATTCTACCCTCCCTCCCGGGGTAACTAAGCTCGCGATGGGTATACACTATCTGGAAAGCGCCATTGACTTCCAAGTGACACTCGGCGGGGTGAGCTTCACCGTAGTCTCCAATGGACCAATATCCCCAGACCTGGAGGTGCTGGCGGACGAACGGGTATACCCGCTGAAGCGAGGCAAACTCGTCCGCATTATTGGAACAAAGTCTGGGATTGTGCGTAAACGCGTGAGTAGGAATAATACGTGATTATATGAAACTGGCCGCGTCTGGTTTGAGTAGATAAGGTGACGAAGGCACAATGACGTCGAGTCTTTTCCTGGAAGCCGATTGGTTGGTCTGCGTGATAGGAGTGGTCCAAAAGCGCATAATTGAAGCGCAGTTCTTCAACTCAGGCAGGCGATCCCTCGGTCTCGTTCCCGTTCCCGTTCGTGAGTGTGCAGTCGTTCTCGCAAGACGTCCATTCGGAGCACGTAATTTGATCAGCTGGGGAGCTGTTAACACCTGAAGTCAACGTTTTTTGACCACTATTTTTCCATCGGATCTCCGAGTTCGATCAAATCCCAAAAATGGTAGTTTGACCATTGCAGGCGAGAAAAATTGGCTCAAAAGCATCGGACTGCCAAGTCTAACCGACTTCTCTGCATCTGGCTGTCGAAAGCGTTTTGAAAACTCTCGTTTCGTGATGCCTCACCTTGTAATTGGAAATTCCCGCGCCATTTTTTCCACCGATAAACGGGAAGCAGCATTATATCTTGCTCGTTACTTACTCCCGTCCCTCAAGGAACATTGTTTGGGGCATTTCATTCAACATGTGGATATCCTTATTGAAAAACTACCAGAGCTTTTATGGTCTCTGTTCCGAACATGACGGTGTACAGGTTTGAACATTTTTTTAAACGTTGGCTTCTTTTTATGTCTTAACAGGTAGGGCTGAAATGAATTCAACCGAGCGCCTCAGTGATGGGATCTGGTACACAGAGTTGACTCCAGACCCCTGGGGCCTTTCTTATTTTTGTAGTTTTTAGTGTTTGATTAAAGCTTCTTATCAAGAGTTTTGATTGTTTGGCTCATATTACTATTTGGAGTGTTATCAATAGTAATTTAAACTAATTGAAATATGCTAAATTTGAACTTTCAGGTATAAAGAAAACGTCTTTTTCGCAATTTGATGAAACGTGTAGAGGCAGAGTAAAAACAAGAACCTCAGTCTTTTGACTGAATGTTTAAGTATTGTAAGAACGTAAGCTTCTGTAATAGAATTTTTTTTGCAACTTGTTTTTCAGGGTGTGTTCACTCAGCAAGTTCGCTTGCAACTTGTCTTGTTGGGGCGCAACAAAATTGCGCGACATCTGGTACGAAACATTGATTAGGTTTTTTATTATAACTGTTTCAGCACGACCAGAGCCGCGACAAAAAAATGTACAAATACGATTCTTGTTTATTAAATGGGACATTTTTGGTCAGCGTTGAGGATCGAGAGCTCACTCAATCCACGACGCCGACCAAAAGGACCAAAGCTCTGGTAACCTGAGATGAGGGCCAATTTTAGCAGTTCTCATACATTCTCTCTTACGCGCTCCTGCTAAAATTCTTTTCGTTTCGCCTTGCCCGCCGGAATGTTATTTACAAAGCGAAACGAAAATAGAGCCTGATTTCAGGTTAAGCTCTGGGAACGATGCGCAAACAATAACTTATCCACACAGTCAGAACATCCCATTCTTTGTCACGTGTCTCTCAGATCAAGCAGATATATTAAAAGTATATATTGAAGCTGAGAGAATTTTAATATATTTTTAGAGGTCGATAGAGGCCAAATAGGCCACAACGTGCTCAACCTTTTTTCGCAGCAGCTTCCCGCCAATTCCACTTTAAACATAATGAAGTTTCGAAGCAAGTTACGAAATGGTGAATTACAATCATTATGCTTTTTGGCAAATCTTCTAAGAAGAATATGGACTTTGAAAGCTCACGAGAGAATTAAACACCTCATAGCCTTTATATTAGTAGTTAGAAAAATGTATTTATTCCGGAATGACATTGTCCTTTGAACACCCGGTCCCAGTTCATCAAAAGGCGGATAGCACTATCCACCGGGTAAATCACTATCCACCGGGGATAGTGCAATTGATTTCTATATACTTATCCTCTGCGTAGTGATTTATCCGATGGATAGCACTATGGCAGTTTTTAACAACTGGGGGCTGATGTAGCTTACATACAATACTATCTAGAGAGAAAAATTCTAAGCAATCGTTCTCCAAAATTTTAAACAATTATTGGGTGAGGTTTTTGTGATATCCGGAATAATCAAGGTCGAGGTCAGCGTTCAGGATCTGCCGAGCCGAAGGCCGAGGTTGATAGCACTTACCGAGACCTTGCCGGATTATTCCGGATATCACAAAAACCGAATCTAATAATTGTTTTATTATACATTTTTTTGAAATAACTAACGACAAATACACCGTCGCATGGAACCGATTTGACATTGCTCTTGGAAATCATCCGTGAGTTGCGCCCAACCTACAGATTAGTTGGTTATCTGGTAGCAGAAAATCGGAGATAACTGACTAATCTGTAAGTTGCGCTGATTTGCAAAATTAACGACTGCAGTAGGATGTTAGCCAATGAGAAAGTAGGTAGTGTGTGCAATGTAGAATAAATGGTACTAATTAGTGTATATGAGTTCAGATATCCGTATAGCCACCGAAGCCTTCGCAAAACTTCGCAAGTTGAGTCACAGTCAACTTGAAAGTGGTACCAGCTTTATTAATCCTCTTTCTAAGGGTTAGCAAATCCCCTTTTTAAAGTTTTCAAACTGATTTATTTTTTAAATTCAGACCATACTATTGCTCATAACTTGCCTGACTTTAAAAAAACGTTTGAGGCAGTATCCATCAGATCTCGCGACATAATATGTTTCTAGTTGAGGTCAGTAATATTTTCACGTGTTACAACTGAAATCGTATAGAAAGGTTTAGAATACACTTATAGTCCAGCATTTATTAAGCATTCACTAGGTCCATAGGAGCATAAGTTTTCATGAATGTTCATATCGATCTATTTAGTGGTCCTCAGTTACTTCCTCGCTCATGTTGTTTGCCTTGTGGCCCCCTCGATCTCCCTTCCGTTGGATCAATTGTTCGTTGGCCGTTGGTTCAGTGCAGGTTTATTGTTGGTCGTTACTTATTGACGACAGTAACTTCACTGCTCCTTTTAGCAACTGTCACTTCACTACTGGGTGAATTAAATTTAACAACTAGGCCGGGTTCCTTGGAGAAAACTCCATTCAATCCGTCAACAGAAACACTGTAACCTTGCTTGTTATCTGTATCTTCAATTGGACGCATTTCATTAGCCGGCTGATAGCCCGGGTCTGTAGGAACTAAAAGCAAAAATGCATTTGATAGACCTGTAGGATAACTCCAAGCTAATGGACTGACGAGTTGCCGAAAAGGCTGAGCTCCTGCATTTTGATCTATTGTATTTACATAATTTAGCCACAATCGCCGAAGTATTCGTTGTTTTTCTTGAGCTATATAAAACTTTTGAAGTCGTTGGAGCAGTCGTTCTCTTTCGGCTCTGACTGCATTTAGTTGATCCTGTTTCATCACAGAGTTTTGCATTTTTTGATCGGACATTTCCCTTGGTCCTTGTTTCATCTTCTTCAACGATTGAGGCCGCTGCTCCACAGTATCGTCAGTCTCTTGGTCTTCTGTTTTTTTGTCTTCATCATCTTCCTGATCTTCGTCCTCATCATCATCGTCTTCGTCATCTTCCTTATCCTTGGACGTTGCTGTTTCTTCTTGGCTCTGTTTATTTTCAATCTGGTCTTCGAGGGGGCTTTCCTTTTCATCTGCAACTTGTCCTTCATCATGAACAAGCATCATGTCATCTTTATCTCCACCGTGATAATGAGTCTTGGTGACACTGATACGGGGAGCTAAGGCCGCAGAGTTGTCGCTCTCTTTACCCTCGTCGGGATCTGGATCATTTTCACTTTTCCTGGACTCCTGAAACGAAGCTTCGTCTTGTATGGTATCTCTGGTCGATCCAACTTCTTCGGTGGCTTCCTCATCAAAATCCGTACTTGGTGTACTGGCTAAAGACGTAAGTCTCAACTTCTGCGGAACCTGAATGAGTGGCCCATATGAGGGTCTTTTAGCGACAAACTGTTGAAATTGTATCGGGTATTTCTTTTCTATTGAACTGTTACTTCGGTGATGTTTTGTAACTGGCTTTTTCAGTTTGCTTTTCAACAGTGCATTTATCTTTGCAAGCCGAAAGTATGCGACGTTTCTCGTTTTCTCGTCGTTTAGATTGTCTTTAAGGTGTTGTCCTGTAGAATCTCGTTTCGCGGCCTTCTCTTGGAACTTTCCCTTTCTGAGTGTTGCCAACACCCTTTCCTTCCACAATTTCTTCAGGTGATGATGTCCTGAAAATTATCGCAGCGCAATTAATTCGTCTAGTTTGACCAACATATGTATCTTTTCAGGCGCTTCGTTTTTGGCCCAGAGGCTAGTGCGAAACGCGAGTGACACGCGAGTGATAGGTAACGAAGCGCAAGGGACCATGGGAAGAAGAAAAAATGAGAGTCGAGACCCGTTTTTCCCTTTCCGCCCTCTGCGCGCAAATTTTCAGCGCGAGAGAAACTTCTGGGTACGAGGCAGGTAAAAAGTGATTAAGCCACGCTTGAGCGCAGTGCCTTATCCTTGTGGGTTTGACGAGCCCCTCCGGGCAGGGGGATTTTGCGCGACGTTTTGGTATGTGACCAGAAATTTACGAAATGGATTGCGGACCTCAGGCTTACTTAATGATAAATTTAAAGGGGCAATTTTATCAAGAGTACTTTGAAAGTTGTGAGATGCGTTGTAATTAGCTTGCGAATAGCCTGCTGTCTCTCAACGCCCTTCGTCGCTAGGGACGTTACGGCTGTAGCTCTAGGCTACCTTTTAATCAGTGAGTTTCATTAATATAGTAGTGACAGCTAATATAATAATTAAGAAAGAAGTTTAAAAGCAGTGACTTTTACTTACTTAAGAATGGTAGAAGGTGAAGTGGAGTGAATAGGGAAAAGAACACTTTCAATTTTGATTTTGGTAACCGAGAAATATCCCTCCAAACAACATTAATCAGAGTATACTGCCTTGGACATGTCTGGAATGTTGGATTGACTTATTCTAAGATTTAGTTCGTTCATAAGCGAGTGTTAAACTTTGTTCAGGGGACGTTTGTTAGAAAAGATACTGCCCAATTAATAAACTGGATCTACTTACTCATGAAAGGACGAAATTTAATAGTCTTCTGCCCAAAAAAGACCATTAGTATACCCGCGGTCGGTTATTCAGGCACAGATGGACAAGGAGAAGTTCAAAATGGGAAAATTTAAACACTGGCATCAGTTCAGGTACCGTTGTTTCTTTGTTAAACTAATTAAGACGCCGTTGGACTCCAAAGCCAAACCAAAGCTCCTAACATAACATCTCTGAAGGGTTTTGATACCTCATCGGAAAACAACGCGTGCTGGATACCTTTTAGGGCGTAATTAATGTTCTTATTAGACGTTGGATATATCTACCTTGTTGTATTCCATGTTCTTGGGATGCTCTAGTCGCACTTTGGTGAAAAAGAATGACTATACAGGGTACCAATAGGTTCATGAATAGCTACAGTTGTTATCAACAAATGAGATGGTTACAATAAGATAGAGCTGTAAATGTTATTCTAGAAGCGCTATGACCATGTGTTTGTTAAGCTCCCACTTCACGCAATCTTGACTCTTCTCCCAATTTGTTAGCGGTCACCTGTATGATTAAGTGTTACCTGCAGGGAAAACAAACAAGGGAATTATCAAGTCACCGAAAATGTCTGTTGTACAGTCTGACCGAACTTAGACTTATTGATATGTGGGTCACTGTTGAGAGGTGCAAGTTACAGGAATGTTTCACGGGTCAGGTTTGGAAGCAAACCACTTCAAAATACCAATTTGTCTATCAAACCTGCACACCGTTTACGTTGGACGAGAGATTCTCCCTTTTTTTCACAACAGCAACTTCCAAGCGGAGTTAATTCAAGTCAAATTTTATAGCTGTACTTATGAGAGTTTTCATTGTGGAAGAGTATAACCTGTGACCATGCCTTTTCTCCTCAGGTTACTGAACAATGACGTCGCAAAGCGTGTGTTCGAGTCACTTATTGTGGTTCCTGAGTAAATCGCATGGCGAGACGCAATCAGTCCACAGCTGTGTTCTACGGAGGTGACCATGCACTGGAAAAAGGTTACCACAACTGTATTATATAAAGATGAAAATTTCTTTATGATCTGGGTATTATTGCAATCAGAGTCGCCATGGCAACATACAGGAGTTTTTGATAAAATCGCTTAAGGGTATGTACCTGCTATAATTGCTTAACGCGTAGAGAAAACCAACCAGCGTCTGTAACAGGCTAAAAGAGGCGAGAACGCTGCCTGAAGGTCACGGGTGGAACTAGGAACCTCTTCCCTCTGCCACGCTGGCGATGAGAAATATATCAGAAAAATAATCACTTTTTGCAAAGTAAGTCTACGAAATTCGGCATTTTTAGGCAGGACCATTTGTGGTAGAACTCGGAAATCATCTGCGGTTGGGGATTGGTTGTGGTCAATTGTGGGAATCATTTGCGATCGGGGATCATTTGCGGTGGTGTTCAGGCCTCCTTTTCCTTTGTTCCCTCTCCTCCACGCGCTGTAGCGCCTGCTGCAGCACAGTAGACACTACAGTGTCTCACCAGTCAGACTGGAGCGACTGAGGCTTCTGTTTTCTTTTACTACAAGAGCCAATGAGATTTATATTTCTTAAACTGACACACCTATCTACATTTGTCGCGGTTTTTCCGGAACAAAGTATACAAAAGATTGTAAGAATCTAGTGGAATGAAAATGCACCAAGCTACGTCAAAATTTTGATTGAAAGCAAAATTGTGGAGATAGTTCTGCTACTGAGAAACACAAAGGCTTCCGAAGCATATTGATACCCTAGGGGATACAAAGGGAATCTTCATCTCTCTTGTGTGCGAATTTGCTTCCCAGTTCGCTAGTCCTTCTTTCCTTTCCGGCCAGAAGCTTGTAAGAACACAGCTCTGGTCCTCACTGGATTTGCATGGATTTGGTTAAAACAAACTACGCCACGTACTTAAATGCTTGATATTTTATTTGATCTTTTCTTGAATCATGTAAGTCGCAAACTGCCATAACAGTAACAACTGACTCTTTCTATCTGTGCAGAGGAAAATGCATATACTCGCAAAACAGAATTTTATTTTCATTTTAAGATCCGGATTGTCCTCTCAACAAAAGAAGTCCGAGAAAATCTTGGTCTAACCGTTTTACTACTATAATTTCTCCACCGAAAAAGTGGAAGAGCTTCATTGAAAGTTGAAGGGGGTTTGCACATATAGTTTTCTATATTGGATATCCTAAGAGGTCTTTGTTAGCGACGTCAGCAAAACAGTTCCAGAGAATTCTCCGGGATTTCCCATGGTGATCTCCGAAGGAGTCACTCAAAAGAATCCACTTGAGAATATTCTCCGAGCAAATTGTTCAGAGAATCTTTTTAAAAATCCTTATGAAGTGTTCGATACGGCAAGTTTCTTGAGATGTTCCATAAACACTTGTAAACTGACGTCATCAGTGAGTACAGGCGCGCCTGCAGCATCTTGGCCCCAAGCGAACATATTGTTGTGGGTCTGGGACGGGTTCACTTTCGACAGCAGGAAACGAGCCTGAAAACAATTAATTTTAACAAATAAGCCAAAAACTACTTTCAATGTTGAATTAATCGCTCTCAGGTTAGTAGATGCTTAGGGATGTACAGTGAACTACCTCTTAAGTTCCCATTGCATCTGCTATACTACTGGATAGACTTATGCCAAGCATACATTACAGTAAAGAATTCCAGAGTATCAGTCGTTCAAATTCTAAAGTTGATCGCCAAAATTGTTAGCGATTTCAACTGAGTATAAAATTTATCAATCTAGAGATTGAACAAAGAGAACGTGAAAAAGCGTATTACCTGAGAGCCACCGTGTTCAGTTTCTATGTAGCGGGGCATGGGGAAGCGCACTTGTAAAATCTCCCCAGCATCATCTACCGGACCTTGCAGAAGACTTCGAAGGCTCTCGTATTGAGGGTCGTTATGGTAACCGGCTTTCTTCCACTGTGCAATCGTCTGAGAAAAAATACAAGACAAGGGTAAAGATCAAAACATTCGTAAACTGATCAAATGAATCAATTAGGCTATTTTCGAGTTCCAAATACTCTCACTTTCAAAACGAGGCTAAGTGCAAAAGCGTTGATGTTATTTTCATATCAATGGCTTCGCAATTAGCCTCGCTTTGAAACAAAGGCTTGAGGCAACTTGGAAATGGCCTTTTAGGATAGTGGAAAACCTAGGTTTACCCCTGCGAGAAAAACTTGAAGCTTCAACTATTAAAACTTACCTCTCCATGGTAAATAAGGATTTGGAAGAATGTGTCTAACAGTAGAATTCTGTCTGGAAGGATACTACTTGAGTCTAGTAAAACAGGCTGAAATACAAGACAAAAAAAAACAAAAGGGTAAAAAACATGATCCAGTAAGTTAGTATTCAGCAACACATGGTCCAGCTCTTACATCAACTATTCACGAGTCAAGGGAAGCGTTAGCAGATTCCAACAAATTTCGCAAAAACTATTGAATTGTACTGAATTTTCTTTCAGGAATAACTGATGTCTGTGAACCGCTCGTAAGAAAAAGTCTATATACACGTAAGGTCCGGCTACTCAATAATTTTTCCAAACGGGACAATTCATGTGATTTTAATAATCGTTTACCAAAAGTGTACTGAAGCTAATACAGTGTCAGGTGCTATTAATTTTGTTTAGAACATCAGATGGTAACTAAACTTATTAACTAACCTCAGGTGGTCCATGGAAGGAATATGAGTACAGTATAGGCTGAATCATGATGAGCGAGTTTGTCACATCTTCACGGTTCAGAATGTGTCTAAAGATAAAGAACAAAAGATAGTACTGATAGTCTTCTAAATACCGTCAGTCCTCTATTAAGGCCCCCTCTCTCATATGTACTCCCCCCCCTGCTCCCCCTATATTCTTCATAACCAAATTTAATAAATGTATTGACGCTATGACTGTATCAATTAATCACGTGGACTGATCTTGTATGGATTAATAATTCATGTGCCCGAAGTTCGGATTTGTTTTTGATCTTCGAATACTAGACATGTAACTTCGTGTGCTTGAGCTGCTTTGTGGTTTCAGTTGCTAAGCAACTGAAAATCCACCTTGTCACCATGCAGTGCAAGTCCGTAATTCGGGATGACCGACGGAACGTGTGTCGTAGTTTTCGACCGTCTTCGCTCGATTTCGAGCGGTTTTCGATGTTATATCAAAGCGTCGAAGATTTCCGTTTGGTTTTTGCTCTATTGACGAAACATTTGTCGTACTTTTCGACCATCTTCGCTCGATTTCGTACGTTTCTCGTTATTTTACGTTCTATTTCTTTGCAGAGAATAACCCTAATGCGTGTTAACGTCAGACGAGCAAATTTCACCACTAAGCCCTGTATCGAAAATCTTAATTTGCGTAAATTTATATACCTGAATGCCCAAGATAGTTGTTATGAAAAGAACAATCGTGCGCAAAGAATTTTGGTCACAAACGAGGCTAGGTAGTGGGCCGTTGATACCATCTTTTGATTGTTTGGGACAGCAGTATAGCGCCCCGTTTCACCAAAATAAATAAGCCCCACCCTCTGAAATAAGCCCCTCCCTCAAACGTGCTGGAAATAAATAAGCCCACGGGAAGGCTTAATAGAGGATTTAAGGTACGACAGAGAGTTATTTTGCCGAGCTCTCACTCTAGAGATGGCTAACGACGGCTTATCGCCAGGAATAGGTCACAGATCTATCAACTCCTTATATATTCCCACTGTTTTACATTCTTGCTTCTTCTTCTTTTATTCACGGGCAACGAATTACGTGTATCATATATTCTTCAACACAAATTCGCATAGCATCACTGACTCCTCTACCTGACTGTGAGACACAGTCACTTCAACGAAGTTGTCGTCCTAGGACAAGAGTTGCTCACCTGTAGTAAGCTGTTTCATCAGGACTGTTATTAAACACTTGAAGAAACTGTGAACGTCTCAAATGAAACATAAACTGAAACATACAGAATTGAACAATCAGTAAACCAGCCATGATGAAACAAACCGGCAATAGTAGGTGAAATACATGATGGGGTGGGTATGTTACGACAAGTGACTACACTTTCAGTTTACCTGTGGATAAAGAGAGAAGTTCTCTGCGAGTCGGAATGATCCTGGATCATCCTTGTGGTATTCACCAAACTTTTGACACAGTCGTATGAGCATGCGATCTAGCCATCGCAACACATCTGGCCCGTCATCTCCTTCAGCTCTGTAACGAAAGCAGGAAACAGATCAAATCATTACATTTCAAGTGGTATTATGTTTGAGAAGGTTTTCTACGTTATCTCGCAACTAAAATGCCACACAAATGCTGCTTCTTGAGAAGCCGGCTTTACATAATGATGGTTGAGAGTATACTTGTCTCGTAGGGATCGTAGTAAAGAGGAATATTAAAACCCCTATAATACAGGTTGCAGCTGCCGTCTATGTGACAATGGACTTAATAATCGACAAGATATGTAGCAAATAAGACGGTGGTGTGGTCAAGCGCTGAGAGGGATGGAACTTCAGCTCCGAGTTCAAGTCCCGTTCTGACCGCCAACTGGATTTGTTCTCGGTAGTCCTGCATGACTTCAAATTCTGGATCACGCTTGTGACTAGCCAAATGGTTCGCCTCCGGCCAGTTGAGAATTTTTAACCCTGTTATGTTTTTTGGAATTATTTGTTGCAGTTTTGTGCTCGGCCCCACTAGCTTTTGCGCTGTAAATATCGCCCAGGGTAAATCCAGCCTTTAAATTTCCGACTGAAATACAGATCCAAGTACGAGTTCGGAGTACGACTAAGGAATTTGGAATCAGCGAAGTCACCATCTCACTCTTTCCAGTCGCTGTCCAAGAGAGACTTAACGGTTAAGACTGAGTGATAAGTCTTTACAGAAGATGAGAATTCGTACTCAATCCTGTAATTGTAGTTCAATGAAGGTTGCGATTATGTACCTGAAAACAGCTATTCTGCTCATCACGACAGCTGCAGCTTCCTGGTCAAAACCCAGGGCGATATGTTGAATATTGGTCGAATCTACCCAGTTTCTTGCGCATGTTGTGACCCTCACTCTCCGCTGACCGCTTGAGTGTTGGTACTGTGTAATAAATTGTATGCATCCTCGTCCACCCTGAGGTACTGGAGCTGTGTGCTGCGATAAGTCACAAGTAAAAGATGTTCAAGCCATTTATTATTATTATAATAATAATAATAATAATAATAATAATAATAATAATAATAATAATAATAATAATAATGATGATGATGATGAAAAAAAACAAACAAACAAGCAAAATTTCAACGTGTTGAAATTTAGTGGCTTAGTGGCAGGCTAACATGATTGCCACTGAAAATGCTGCTTGGTGTGTTTTGAGAGTGAAGGAGGAAGTTCAGGATTTGAAACAGATTTTACGGAATCCAAAATTACAACCTGCTTCACTACAGTGCAACACTAGACTACAAAACAGGCAGGCAGGTCTTTCTTCCTCAAAATCTCTTTTTTAAAGGCATTCTTAACCTAACCTGCGAGCAAACTCACCTGGGGTCCAGGGAAGCGGGGGTGCAGGGTATGCAAAGCGCTACGGAGAGCTTGCTGGCAGGCTAAGAATGACCTACAGAATTGACTTCATAGCAACAGATGTCTGTATAGAAGGGAATCAGCAATAGACCTTATTCACGATGCCCGCCATCCTTACACACTCTTAAGGATTGATGGGATAAAAGCGATGTCACGTGGTTTCTCAGGGGGCAAACAAGGGATAATTTTGTCCAATACAACAAATCGCCGTCGAGTTGGTTTATTCTTGACAACAGAAAATGAACCACTTCCTATATTTTAGACGATAATGGCAAATTGTGGGTGGAAGTGATCATTTTTCCTTTTCTTGGATGCAGTAGCGACCGTAGATGTCCTTACAGCAAGCAATAACAACGTTAGCTTTGTCGAAACTCAAACCGTACATTTTGCATGACTATTAAATCGTCGTTTCGTTTTGAGAAAATAAACAAAGTCGACCGCAATTTATCGCATTGGCAAATTTTATCTTTTGTTTGCCCCCTGAAATATCACGTGATATTACTTTTATCCCATCGACCCTAAAGCGCGTGCAAAGATAGCTGTCACCATGGTTTTGGTACTCTCCCCTTGTATGTAAGCAACAGTAAAGATGAGGATCTAACATGTTCTAATGGTTATGCCAGTGTTTGGTATTCTTTTTCACCTGATTAACTATTTCAAAGAAAATGGCAACTGTTGTCTGAGGCTCCAATCCGCAAAGTTTCCATGCACAGGTCCCTCCAACACCAATTTCCTAAAAAATCCAACACACAACGAAGAAAAATCAGACATGCTCTAACAAAAAGAACCCTTCATAAAACAGTTTAAAGTTCTGTGCTTAACTTAAAAATAAATTTAACACGCATGAATTCTGCTACAGGAAACTCACCTCTCCGAAAGAAACTTGAGAAGTCAAAAATAATAGATTTATGTGGTAAATTCCAAACCGAAAATGGCTTTTAAATTGTAAATAAACTTCGTAAAAATGAACTGCGTCCGACTCATTAAGTTTTATGTCTGAATCAACAAGCTCATATCATTTGAGTCAAGCCAAATAGGTATTAAGTTCGCTACATGAAACATGTGATGTTTGAACGGGGCCATATTATCCAAGAACAACTATAATAATCTTAAACAGTGTGACTGTAAGTACCGTTTCTGACACATTGGGTCCTTTTCTGTCCATTGATACACACGGTCCTATGGCACCAGACAACCGTAGCTCCCTGGAGGTCTAAACCAATAATAAACCGCACCATAAATAAAAACCTACAGCTACATCAGTCACAGTAAGGGGATAGAAAAATCAGAATAATACAGAATTTAAATTGGTTTCCAGGATTTGGAAATGTTTTAAATCACCCATGTAACCTCTTACAAAATGGAATTAACACTTCTAATTTGGGAAAATATATTTCTAAAAGAATTATTCTACATTTGTAAAATATTTTGTCATGTTTTAATATATTTGAATAATTTAGCTATAATAATAAAATTTGAATACGAATTAGTTGTATTATTATGATACTATTACTATAATAATAAAAATTTGTAATAATATTAAAAATAATGAGTTTTTCTTAAAATTAATACAATACTTTGTTTTTCCACATTACTTTACACTAACCTTCACTTCAAGAGTTGCACCAAAAGCCATTTTAAACTCCCCACGCATGTCTTTGGAGAACACTCTTTGAAAAGTCTGTTTAAAAAGGGCTGTGTTGAAGGAATCACCCATTACCATGTAGCCTCTGCCGACAACAAAACAAAAACAATAAACATCAAGCTTGCCTGCAGATCAGAATGCATTCCAATCACACTGGGAGATTTATATTATTGTACAGTATAAGCAGCTTTAAGAAAAGTGTGTTAGCAAGTTGTTATTGTTAAGCAAGTCTCCCATTTCCACCAGGCTTGATCATTGCCGCTCTCCTGAGTCTGGTCTTTGATCCTTCCCTAAAAGAGACTGCTCTTTTGAGGATGAGTATGTGCTTATTTTCCTGAATAGTGAGTGGTAATAGAGAAAACGAGGACTTATAATTCAAATCACAACAAATTAATTCAAATAACAGGGGGCAAAGAAAATCATTTTTACAGCTTGCCATTCGGGCAAGCTGAAGACAGCAATTACTAGCCCAAACGTCCTTTCAACTAGCCCTAAAAGCTTTCTGACGGGCAGAATTGATTTCACAGTTCTTCTTCCGTTTGAATTCCTCACAAAACATTACTTGCCCGTTGGGCAAGTTAAGAACAGAATTCACTAGCCTGATAGCAAAATCCACTAGCCCCAGGCTATCGGACACCACTTTCTTTGTACGCTGAATAACAAAATTAATATTCGCCCAAGACAAGAGTGGTGCATCATAAACTGTTAAAAAAGGAACAATAATATTAATTTTATTAAATAATCTAGTGAACATACCCTGTGACATTAGGAAAGCTTTTAATCTCATGCAGTCCTGTTTGATCCAACTGACAAGCAAATATATCCACAACATGGCCATTTTCTGCTGCACGCTTTGAAAGTGCTTCATAATGCTACAAGTTACATGATATGGATAAATTAGTTAAATATAATAAGTGACAAAGAATGTGCAAATGGTCAGTTCAGAAGACAACATAGAAACTTTTAAGAGGTTTTTTTTTACAGTTTAAATGCTAATGTAAGGTTTAAGTCATCAAAACAGGAACAACAACTGTGCATGTACATCACTTCAATTTTATTGTACTACAGCCAAACTCCATTAATACAGACACAGAGTGGGCTATCGAAAAATTCTGTATTAATGGGGTGCCAGTGTTAATAAAGTCAAAAAATCACCTTTCACAAAGTCGTCAAATGCAAGGAAACATTACAAAAATTGCTCATCTTTGTACTACTTAATAAAAACTGATCTCTGCATAACTAGTTTGATGCCTCAGTCTTCAACTGGCATCTACAAATCATTGTATCTGGTGTATTGTAGTGCTGGGAACATCAACATGCTCTCAACTAGAGAGTTTTTTTTCCTTCAAGAAGGAAAGGTTTGTAAAAACATGCCGTTGATAATGAATTGTCTGCATTAGCGAGGTTAACTTTCTATGGGAATCTGTTCATTGGTCAAGAAAGGGAGTCTGTGTTAAGCGGGTTGAATTTAGAGAAAAGGTATGGACTTTCCCCAGGGACAAAGCAAACTGTCTATAATAACGAGGTGTCTGTATTAAGTGGGCGTACATAAAGTGGGGTTTGACTGTATTATTTGCCATCTCTCCAAGACTGCAAAGCGTAATGCCAAGTTTTAAGTTTTATGGAGGAGGAAAAAAAGCAACAAAAACATTTTCTTTCTCTTTCTGAACTTGGTTACTGTTCTTAAGAATTCAACTCCAGTAAAGTTTGCCTATATTTCACAGAGTAAGTGAGTTGGATGTGATTAAGATTAAAAGAACACAAATTCACTTTTAAGGCATGTTTTTGCTGCAGTCACAGTAAACTCCTCAAAGACAGCTGCATGCCAAATGTAATGTAGCTCTAAAATGTTAAAACAGTTGTGTACATTCCAATTTTATATGCTAAGCCTAGAATCAATCAAATCAACTAAGATAAGAACTATCTTTTTGCTGCAATAATGAACATGTTTATTTAGGTTGTATATGAACTTGGTTACTTTGATAACAAAGTAACCTTAAGATACATGTACAGTCATGTACCTTGATTGCCTTTCTGACAAATCTTGCATTATCCTTCTCAAGATCGTGATGTGATCTCATTGGATTCTTTAACTCATTGTCAACAACCATGCCTGGGCCCTGTTACAATCAAAGAGACACTTAACAATAAATGTACACCAATAACTTAATAATAATAATAATTAGTATCATCCACCAAAAATTAAGACACTGCTTTGATCCTGTCTGTTACAAATTCCTGCAACAATTGGGGTTGTCTAAAAAACCTTATGTAAAGTATTAGACTTCTGGCCAGCCAAGGTTACAAATTTAGCTTGGAGATGTTACATCTGTTATTCACCACCAGGCGATTTTCTAAATATAAAAAAACTAGTTTTTTTTCACATATAGTGTACCATTACATGTCCAGGTCGTACGTGTAACTTTTCCATGTTACCTGTGTCGCAGGTCCACCCATGAAAAGCATGATTCTTCCACCAGTGTTGGGGTAAGTACACTAAAATGTGAAAGAAGTTGCATTTGGTGCGGTAAGTAATATGTTGCTCAACTTGGAATATTAAACTTTATTTTGGCTTGCCTTCTGTGAGAATTTCCAGCAATCCATGAACTCAAAAAGATACTTAGCTCTGGAGTTTATATGTAACTTCCACTCTATTTGTATTGGTATATTTTCATTGATAATTTGAAAAAAAGAGTAAATCTCAACATCATGTATTTGCCAGAAACTTCAAGAGCTCGGGATTTTCTTTTTCAAATACACATACATCAAAATTCCACAAAGCATCCACTCAATTTTCTAATAAGAAATTGAAAAGCCTGTTGCTTGAAGGAAATAACAAAAAATCATTACTTCCTTCAAGCAACAAGCTTTGCAGTTTCTTAAAACGCAGTAGATAGCTATAAACGAAAGTTTTCAATAGGCTAATGTGACAAGAATAAAGTGATTTGAATAAATTATAATGAATGAATGAAAGAATGACTTGTTTATTGACACCTTTTGCAGCTTACAGCTGAATTGCAGGTACAAGTCAGTAACATAAACAATACATAATTACGACACTAAACAGTAGAATATTTTACAGTTTCAAAATTAGCGAAATGATAAGTAGTAAATAGACCGATTGCAAATATGGCGATGATCTCACAAAAGCGAGGCTTTTCGGTAGCAACCGTTGCAAAGGGCTGGTCGCTTGTTTATATGCTAATGCGAGTCCGTTATCTTGTTGTTTTTTCACTCTGGAAGCAATAAAAAAACTTTCAAGAAGAAGTCATCGTCGGTTCGTTGTGTTAAAATAAAGGTCAGTGCTTTTTACTTTGCCTATATTATACAAATCGGAATGTAGATGATAGGAAACATTACGATTGCGATGTACTTATGTGTGAACTCATATTACACTTCCGACTTTGAACTTGAACTTCTTGAAAATGTTTTAGACTCAGTTTCACTGTATGTTCTTTTTACCGAACAGTATTAAGTTCATAATGGATAGGCCTGTAGAAAAGATACAAGTGAAGGAATTAAAAGCAATTCTTTTTAGGAAGAAAATGAGCCTGAAAGGATTAACAGTGAAGGCCCAACTTGTTGCAAAGTAAGCAGCGTTTCTAACCCTCTGTTTTATATGATTAAATACACTTGAAAACCGTGTAATGCACCTTTGTCTTTCATTAATTTTTTTCTGTCTAAGTGATTGCAAGTTTAAAATTAGCGTCCCTTGTTGATTTTTTTGTGCAGAGTGAAGGAAGTACTTCAAATCGCGGGCAAAATGATCAAAATAATCAAGCGACTGCCGCTGCACTTTGTGCTTAAAGCAAAAAGAGCGACTCAGATCTTGTTAGGGAGAATGAGGAAAAGTTTAGATTTTGTCCCTCTGAGAAGAATATGGATAAATTACTGGACGATCTTCCTCCATTCACGTATAATGCCATTGTGAAATATGTCCGAAACTCCAGTAAAAACATTCAGCATTCCCCGGACTACATGGTAATGAAGCCGTTTGAACGTGGTGTCAATTTTTTTATTGAAGGATACTTTCATAACGTCAGGGCCAAGAATCATTAAGAGAGCAAAACCTTTTATTTCAGAACCATTTGCTACCGAAGTCTACGGAAAGCTGAACCCCCACATAAAATAAGATTAGCAATCTCAACCGAGCAACCTTACGATGTACTTGCTTCACGGCCTGCACCTGTGTCGCTGGATCTTTGGGGTTTTGTAATCATGCTGAAGGCCTAATGTATTTAGTTTCCCACTATTCCATGACAAAAGCTGAAATGGTCCACGATGACTTACATATGAACCTTAAATACAATGAATGAAAAATATCGGGCAGTCAAAGTATCGCGATCGCTACAAAAGACTCTGTCTGTGATCGCTGTGCGTCAGTTGATCATTCAATTTAGCATGGAAAACCAGTATCCAAAGCATGTATACCACATTGAAACCTTTTTCAGCAAAGAAAATTGACTTATTTTTGTCGAATTTAAAAGACGCCCGAGAAGCTGCAGTCTTTCCAGCAACGGCACAGGTAAACACAGGCAACCAGCCCCTAGCAACGGTTGCTACCAAAAAGCCTCACTTTGGTGAAATCGTCGCCATATTAATTTTGCAATTGGTCTATGGTAGGGTAGCAAATGATCGATTTGAGTGTGTACAATAAGCTGAAGATGAGTGAACAATTCTGCTTTGATTTAAAGGGAAGATTAAGTTGCCAGGACTAACTCTTTTTACAAAACTGACACAAGAATCTTTGTGACGTTGCTTAAGTTTATATACACTGTACATCACAAGTCAAGTATGTGCCCTGCATTATTAGTACATGGCCAAACCTCACTGCAAGGTGTGTTAAAGACACTTAAGCCTCTTACTACAACTGAGACTAATAATTATGATCTGTACCTCCAACAGACCGATCGCAATTGAGAGAGCTGCACCAGTGGATCTCAGGGGTCTTTTTCCAGTAGCAACAGGCCAAGGGTCTCTCTGAAGTTCCCCAAGTAAATCAGTAAGGCTCATGTCACACTTGTGAACCGGCTGCAGAAATCTGAGGAAAGAGGGAAGATATAAAACAGTTCCATGTAAGAAAATGAAACTAGTTTCACTTAATGAAGCCAAAACAAAAATTAAACCATAACATAAGAGATTCTTTGCTGTTTAAATTGTGAGTCTACTAAGCAGAAAGACATGAAAAAATTCCTAATCACTTGAGCCTAATTTTTTTCAGTTTAAACTGCTTACATTGATGACGAATAAATTGCACCTCAAATACAAACATCTGCTTGCACAGTTTTCAGAGTAACAGAAAAGTACCATGATTTTTACACCTAGTAAGATATACACATACATGTACAAGCACACTTTCAGGTAACTGCTGTGTTAGACCTCCCGTAAGCGACCACCCAAAATGCGAATACTTACTTACAGGAGGTGGTCACTGCAAGAATTGAACCACAGGGGCCTCTTCCGAGAAGAGGTCCGGACCCATCTACTTTACAGAAGATAATAATTTATTGCATACAATTTCTAAGTTACATGTACATTGGACACCATGTGTAGTTCCATGTTGTTACTAATTAAAAGTTATTCGTATATTTTAATTGGCATAGTGCACACAGTGAACAGAGAGATCAGGCGGTAGCACATGGAGCTTTGACTGTACTGTTGCCGGTTATGATGAAAATGATAATATTATAATTAATTATTAACAGACAAAAAAATTGCTTTACTGTCGCTGTTAATTCTTACCTGTTAAACATGTCATTGCCAGGTTGATGCTGTTGTGGGGGGACAGGGCCTCCTCTCATTTGTGGCTGCTGGCCTCTTCCACTGCCGCCTAAACCAAGCATCTCCTATATTTAGCAAATACACAGCAAAAGTAGGCCCTGAGTAATGGTACTATTAGCATTGGTAATTTTAAATTCTATTGAGGGTTTAATATTAAAACTCCATGCAAACAGATGCAACATTGTTGGGTGTTACATGTGCAAGCCCACAACTCCCAACATTTTCTTTCATTCTGTGAGGGACAAAGTGTAGTGCAACATTGTTGGATCCAAAAACTATAGCATTCTCCCAGGCTAACAATGTTGGTAGTTACTGTGTCTGTTTGCACATAGCAATAATGTATATTACAACAATCAGTACTGTGCATGTACATGTATGTACCCTAACGATTAACAACATTATTACCATGGACTTAAAATGATGGTACAGTCAACCCCTGATAACACGAACCTTCAGGGAAATCAAAAAAAGTTTGAGTTATTGGGAATTTGAGTTATCAGGAGCTCGAAGTAAATAGGCGTCCGAAACATTGGATTTTGAATTTCTCATTGACATGTTGTACGCATATAGTTTACTAGTGAAGGTTGATATTGTTTGTCACAAATCTAACATGAAACAGCTTTGCTTCTCAAAACAGTAAAACCCATGCTCTATTTAGGCAATGTTTTGTTACGTTACATTGTGATTATTTTATAATCTAGCAGCATCTTTCAATTTTCACTCAACATTAAATTTAACCCATTCGCCCCTGAACCGCCCGTAACCGCCCGTGCGGATCCAGGTCCTTTCTACCCTTTGTGACGTCATCAGTTTTAACGGTCAAGGACAACTTTCTTCGCTAACTTGTGCAGAGTGAAGAGATTGTTCAAACCATACCAGAATGAGCACAATTCAGTCAAGGACACCGGAGAAAGAAGCAAAAAACCATGTGACAAGGACCTGAAAATCTCCATGAAAATCTTGTTCCATTACCCACCTACCTTTCCTTTCACCTAATCCTAAGATCCTAAAAGCTTTCCTAAAAACTCTTCCCACCAAAATGAAGCCTACTAAATGCCCAGCACGAGAAAAAAAAATGAGGCAAGAAAAGCGAAAAAAGAAGGGAGGAGAGAAAGCGAAAAGTAAAAGTCAAGACTGCTGTGTCACTTTTAAACCCAAAAACTATGTCGAAATTTTGCTTTCTGCGCAAAATTATAGTGATAGAAAAGATCTGAGCTAGACGGGAAAATTGAAAACATGAATTACTACGAGTTAGCGGGAGGTTCAAGTTACCGAGGGTAAAATTACAGTAAACGTATGAAGGAAGTCCAGGGGAAATAGATTTTGGTTCAAGTTAGCATATGGCGCAATGGCGGCCGCACATGTTTTTTAACGTTGGCCAAATTTTCGGCTACCATTGTTAAGTGCAGGCATCTGCAATTGTATTGCTTTGATGGCAACTAAAGATGAAATTAAGTCACTCTTGGAGGCCGAAACTGGACCTCTAAAAGCTAAATTAACCTCGATTGAAAAGTCATTCTCTGAATTGGACAAGTCGGTCAAACACTTCTCCGCAAAGTATGATGAGCTCTTGAAGCAAGTACAGCGCCAAAATCTAAATTAAATATCTTTAATCAGCATTTTCGCTATGCAAGTGAAGTCCATACATATAATACGAGATATGCGTCAAAAAGTAACTTCTACAAACCACGTTCCAGGACCAATATAGGAAAGCAAACAACAGCGGCTATGGCGACCGAATTGTGGCAACAGCTCCCTACCCATATAAAAGCCCATTCAACTTACAACTTTCCTAAAACATTAAAAGAATACTTGTTGGCCGAACAATTACCTTCCTGAAACTATTTTATTTTAATCATATCGTCATGTACTATGATGACTGTTTTCTCTTCTTTTTTTTGCCATCTATGTGCTTTCTTTTTTTTTTTATGGTGTGTGTATGTATTAAGATGTTTGGTATGTCTAGTTATTGTGATGTCCTGTACATTCGACATTACTTTCAAAGAACTAGTTGCTAGCTCGAAAACCTTACGGTTATCTAGCCGCTAGGCATTTCCTTCTATGTAATAATATTTAGTTTAAATTGTAATAGAATATTCTACGAGTTAAGTTACTAATTATTCAATAAGTTTGACAAACCCTGTAAAGGAAATGTGAATAAAGTGTTGTTGTTGTTAGCGAGGGTTGAGTTATTAGGAGTCAACTGTAGTTTGTAAAACTTTATTATGAACAAACCTGTATTTGCTTGGCATTTAGATCCTTTGTTCCTCTAAAAACATAGCTCTTGGAACATCCTTCACATCCCAGCTCATGAACATGAACCTAATATAACATGACAGAACAGTGGTTAATTAAGTTACTTACAAGAACATCTGTACTTGCTGATGAAAGTACAACAATACATTAATTTTGTACTATCCTCACTGAAAAAAGCTGACACAAACACTGACACAGCGAATATGCAAGTGTTTGTTGACTTATCCTCATTACCAGTATAGGTAACAGTGCACAAAAACAAAAAGAAAAAAATTGAAAAAAAACTTAATTTAAAAGCATGTGAAAGAGGGTCAACATTTTTGAAATAAAGTAAAAAACCTAACATCCTAATAACGGATAGAGGGACAGAGCCAAGTGTCCATATTGATATTTAGAAGGTGGCTGAATTTTAAATGTTGATAATGTATAATTATCCCTGTAATCAAGTGAATTGTCTGCATCACAGAGATGCCTGTAATTGGTGGATGTTTTGCTTTATCACTTACCATTTTACCAAACGTTATTAGCCCAACTAAAGCATTGGGTGGCATTAGACTCAAGGACATCTGCAAGGATTCCTGAAAATACCAAAAAACTGCTAGAATACATGCATCATGGAGCATTCAACCCTTAATGAAGTCAAACATAACAACAAAGACAAATTTAAAACATTGTTTCCAAGTTAACTACCCATGTTACTGAGTGGACAAGCATCATTCTTCATTATTCAGCCCGCTATAAATTCACTATCACATTTGCATGTATATCACTGTGAATACATGTATGCCATCTATTTAGATTTCAGCAGGCAGTAGGCATTCCATTAGGCATCAGAAGTGTACTAGAAAGAATTCTCTGGCTAACATAAGGTAGCCTAGGACAATTTTTTATTCTGACATGAAGCCTGTTTTAAAATATTCTCCTGTAGCCTGACACCTTTCAGTTTAGGTTCAACCAGTATGCAGGATATTGATGCCTGAATCCAGTTACATGTATTGGCCATACATGTAGCTTCCAGCATAAGTCTCCTTATTACAGCTGTAGCTCAATGGTAGAGCATACACACTACATGTAAAGTAGTGTAGAATGAGCTTTTAATGACCACATGTATAGACCATTTTAAGGTTGTGCGTGAGACTGGGTCCGTTTCATTTCAAATTCACTGAATTTTTGTTGGTTTTAGAGTAAATAATTACATAAACAGTGGATTATCCCCTAATCCTGTTGGCAAGACATCAGTCCATTAACAGATGTTCTATTCCCAGAAGTTGGAATATCCAGTGTTCCTAAAATTGGTTTTCGTCAAATACGAAAATATTTGACTGAAGAAGTCAAGTTTAAGAGGCAACTGTTGGTGGAAAAACCCAAAGTGAAAGGCTACAACTTTAGTACGTCTGGTAAAGTGTTATGCACTAGTCAGTGGAAAGCCCCGCAGCCCCATCCTTAGGGAATGTGGGGCATTAGCGGGAGATTTCAGTGGGTTTTAGACTGGCACTTTGCCACAGTATGCAGGGTTTTTGAAAGTACATGTATAAGACATAAGTATCAGCTAGCAGGGACCAATAGTGGGGCTTAGTACACGGATTTGCCCTTGACACTATCTTGAATAGGCATGGCATGGACCCGTGGGTTTGGGAACAGAAGCACATAAACTTTGCTTCTGACAGGAAATAACTGGAATATTGAAAAATGATGTAAATATGTCACGAGCATGAGACAAAGAAAATACATGTATCTGAGCCCCCAACTGGTATTAAACCTATGATCTTCCGTACACTGATCAGATGCTCTAACCACTCAGCTACGAGCTACGATGTCCTTCGTAGCTCAGTGGTTAGAGCATCTGGCCAGTGTATGCAAGGTCATAGGCTCAATTCCTGTCAGGGGCTCAGATATTTTCTCCATTTGGAAAATGTGCTCCACAAATCCTTGTGGTCAGCACATCCTTCTTCAAGGTTGGGTTTCTTATTAGTCATACGTACATCTCTTTTACGTTAGGTTGAGTTGGTAAAGTGTGAAATTTCACATTTGGTGAATTTCTCCACTTGCTGGTGCATCCAGGTACGCAACAGCTAAATTTACCCATTATGATTAGCGTTTTGAGTTTCAAGTAGAACCTGAGAAACAACAGCAGTGTCCCCCTGGCAAAACAGCAGCATGGTGCAGTCTAAAGCCAGGGATGTCACTTAGATTTCAAGTTGCTGGGTAAATACAACAAATAGGTGGGGAATCAGACAGCTAGGAATTTCTTTTGGTTATATTTTTCTCCACTTTTCCTATGAAAGTAGCTGGGGGCCACATTTATAGTAACTGGGGGAAAACCCCGGTCCTTGCCTCTTAATGACAGCCCTGCAAGCATAATCTCAAAATGGCCGATAGGATAAACGAAATTTATTTCCAAACCATGAGAAAATTAATACAGAAATTAGGTGAGCAATGAACACTGTAACCAAACCTTGACAGCTTGAAAGTCTTCGTCATCCATACATGTGTCCAACACAATCAAATAGATCAATGGTCCTGATCCTCCACCACGCTAAAAAAATCAAACAATACAGTGATGATGTTGATGATGCTGCTGCTGCTGGTGATTAAATAGTTGTGTTAATTAGGGTGTGAAATGGCATTCCTAGGGTATTCATTTAAAACTGGCATGTAGAGCTACATTGTATTTACTGGTACACCATGTTGATATACTTGATAAGTGATAAAATACTGTGTCTGTGCATTCAGCAAAAATAATGTAACATGAAAAACCAGTACACTAAGTTTGTGTGGTTGCACAGAGACAAGTGGTCATTATTTTTACTACCTGTAAAGTGTACTCAATAGTGGAGAACTGTGGAATTAACTCTGCAGGTTGATGTTGTTCTGTGATTCCAGCGTACTGAGGGGGAAACTGTTGAATAAAACAGCTCCAGTTACGGTTGAACTTCTATATATATGGGGTTTTGGATAGGCCTATAAACAGGGTAGGGGTAGGCAGGGCTTGAAATAAGGCCGGTGTGCTCGTCTGGAACGAGTAGTAACTCATAAAGCTCACTTGTGTGATGGGTAAGGGACCAGGCAGATCATGCTCCAACTAAATCATTACCTATGGCAAGAAAGTGGTAACCCCAGGCAAGCTCAATAAGAGAGCTGCTTACCCCAAGGACAAGCTGGAATTCAAGTTTTTTTTCGAGTGCTCGTAGGGGGGGTGTACATGTACATCAGGCTGGGCTTGATGGTTTGGCAGGTCACTTGTATACTTAGGCAATGATATAATAACAATCTTCAGTTATACTTCCCCTCTAGAACCTCCCCCACTCCTCTTGCAAAAGCCCAAAGAATTAAAGTATCATCCTAGTCTTATGATGAATTTTACACATTTGAGTAAGGGCTCTTCTCTTATGGATCTCCTCCAAATGTTCTTGAAAATGATAAGCCTTGGGGAGATTGGGCTTAGTACAGTTGTTAGTAGCCTGGGAATTTAATGACCTATATTTTGTACTGCCCTCAACTTGGTCTCCTAGGAAAAGAAAAATGCGACAACCAGGGCAAAATTTCCATACTGACGATGTGTCACTACCCAGATCTACAAAGTGCTTCTTATTAGCTGAAAATTTACTTCATAAAAATCAAAAGCACTATGCAGATCTGGGTAGTAATGCATTATGAGCACGACATTTCTGCGCTTGTTCCCCAGACGTCATTTCTCGGGAAGACCAGTGGTGGCATTGTGAAATGTTGGCTGTTTTCTAAAGCTGCAACTGGCGACAAAATTGTTGAGACACTGTACTCAAATAGGGTAAATTCAGAGAACAAGGTAGATCAAAACACACAACATCACATGGAGGGGATGGAGGAGGAAAAGCTTTATTGCCCCATTTTGAAGTCAATAAAACGTCAAAAAGCCCCTTTAGGGCGAAGCACCTCAACTAATCATGTTGCTGATTGTAGCTTAATAGAGTATGTATGGCAATTTAGTGTTTTGATGATGGGATGACTTGCCAATCTAATCAGTTGGCTTGGACTATCACTGATGAGCCGATGAACAAACACATACATGTAAGTACAAAAATGTATGTACGGTAATTGTCTAGAAAGATACTCTGAGGAATTTTCTCTCAAGTAAAATTATAGAATGAATTTGATATTTACTTTTAAAAGAACCATAAACACATCTTGGAAAGAAAATCTCTGTAAGCTTAAATAGCTCTACATGAAGCAAAAAGTAAAATTCATACCGCATTTCGCTGGAAGCAGAAATTGCAATGCCACACTTTTGATCGATAGTCCACTTGGCTGATCAAGGAAAAAGAAAAGAAAGGAACTTACCGCAACATCTAGATCACAAGAACATTACAAACATCACAGAAGTCTAAGAAATTCCAAACACATCGATGACACCTACCAAAAAGGATTTAAAACTGCTCTACAGGTATTTCTAGTACATAGAACAGGATCATAACAAATTGGAGGAAGTTCTGGCCGTTCCTTTAGAGGTGTGAACATACAACCAACGGGAACAACCTAAATGAAACAACGATTTGAAAATATTTCACTCATATGATCAGCTGAAAACAACGAAAGAACGGATTTTCCTGCATTTTATCATTTTCAACTCACCATTCGTGTAGCTTCCAAACGGCTTGAAGGCCAAACATTCCAACTAAATCTAACACCATCACGATCCTCATTTTGATTTATAAAGTCTTGATAAGTCGTCATTTTCACCAGAAGTGGTCAGAAATTCACCGACTCAAAGCCTAACTTCTGACAAATCAACCAAAAAGTTGCCAACAGCTTTCATGCCACGTCGCCTATGTAATCTACTGGATCCTGGTAACTAGTGTTTCGTCTTCCTCGGTCCGCTACTCTCGGCGACAAGGCGACACGCTGGGAACGCTCGGCCTACCGCTGTTGACCAATCTTGCAGGCCGCGGGCTTATTACAGTGTATAGAGAAAGTGAGATAACAATATTTTTTAATGGAGTTTTGTTCTCAGCATCTATTATAATCAGCACGTAGTTACTAAAACGTGGAACGACCTAAAACCACCTAAAACCATCTACAACCACCTCAAAAAAATCAACAACCACCTATCTACAACCACCTCAAAAACATCTACAACCACTCGCAAATAATCTAAAACGATCTAAAACAAGGTATAAATGTCTGAAATAAGGCGAGACGATAACATGTCACGCACATCACAGGAAAAAATAACGGATTCCCATTTTTGGAGGGAGACAAGTGCGAACCAGGGAATTCCCTACCAAGTTCCCTGATTAGGACTTGTCTCACTTTTCCAAATTTGGGATTTTTGTGGGTATTCTTTAAATACCCTACAATATCCAAAAATGGGAATATACCTGCCAACTTTTTCTGAGATATAAGCGTGAGATTTTTATCCTGGGAGTACTGGGATTTTTGAAGACGACACGTTCATTTCCGAAGATTCCCGAAGAAGTCCGAAGTCTTCCGAAGGCGAGCTCGCTCCCAGTGCTTTTCACTTCAAAAATCATTGATCTCAAGGAAGGTATTGTCATTTATTCATTTTACACATGGTTTTCGTTCCTTACATGGGTCTGAGTTAACATATTTTTGGAAATTGTGTCAAGCAAGACGGCAACAACTCACATTTTTCAATCAGGCGTGAGAAATTGGCCCGCAGGCGTGAGGTGGTTGTAGATGGTTGTAGGTGGTTGTTGAATTTCTTGAGGTGGTTGTAGGTGGTTGTAGATGGTTTTAGGTGGTTTTAGTAACTACGATAATCAGCAATGATATTCTATCAAAAATTTTCTGTTTTTTTTTTTAAAATTAATTTAAAAGCCCACGTTCGATATATTATTCTAACATGACTCCGTAGACCGTTCACAGCCCCCTATTTTTTCGTGAGATCGTTGAGATATAGCGTTACTTACGTTAATGGCGGCCATCTTGAATTTCAAATATACCACGGGGGCGGGTGACGGGGATTATAGCCACCCCCACCCCCTAGGTAGTTTTGACACTCATGCAAGATGGCAGCCCGTAACGCTTGGTTTTGGGGGGTCATTTTTAATCAATTTCGTGAAAGTAGGTAAGTAAGCAGTAACGAGCGTGAATTGGAATTGAATGAACCAGCCGTAAATAGTAAACACCGTTCTGTAGATAAAGTATATGGTGAAGTTCAGCACGATTTGTGGCTAGAATATTTGTAGTTTCCAAGGCAGCTGGATGGGGGGTCACTTTCACAATGTGAAAAAATTTATGGGGGAGGGAAGGGCATTGCTAAATAGCTCGGTTGAACTGGGGAGTCGGTTTGACAATTCAGTAAGCTTTCCCAAAATGCCCCCCCCCCAACCCCAACCATCGACCTCCCACGTACAGGTAATAAACGACCAGCCCCTAAATGCATGCGAAGTGTTGCCAGGCTGTACACAGGTTATCGAACGTCAAAAAGGTCAACATTGGGTATATGGAGTTGTAAATGCTAAAAATAAATCTAGTTGCCCTGCTAACATAAGTCACCTTTGGGGACTGAAATGTTGGAGGACCGTCAAAGAGAAATAGATGAGGGAATGAAGTGCTTGTTTGGAAAATAGATTGATTCGTGAACGTGATTTACAGTTTTTTTTCGCTGTCAAACCACTGGAATTTGATTAGGTACATGTTCAAAAATTGCGCTAGATAAAGTTTTGGCTGTTACTGTTTACCTTTACGTTAATTTTCGTTAACGTACCGACATCCTCAAATGCACAAGTTTCACTTTTTTGACGCTTTTCGTTTCCTCCTTCTTGTTAAAAGTGAATTCTACTGGAGGGGGCCGGGATACTTTTACGAATTCTTCACTATGCATAACTTTGCAAAGTTGTTGAGCAGGTCTGAGCAGCTTAAGACCCGGTGCTTATGAATTCGATAAGAAGGAATGGAAATACGTTTTCATTTAAGGAAAAGTGCTGTTACCTTCGCAAAGACAATACTATGATGGATAACGGAACATTCATCGCATGAGAATTTTGGTTCCAGCAAATGTTTGTTTCAAGCGAACGAATTAGTATAAAAGGGAAGCAGGTTCTTAAGGGAAGATTAATTCTGGCTGGCCGATGAATGCGTATATAAAAATTTCTTGATAGAGTCTATGGAGTGCAATGGAAACTCAAGCGGAGCATAATTCACGCAACCCAGCCAAAAGGTTCACTGTGAGTTGAAGTGTTTCGAAACGGTCATCTAAAGAGAAACATTGGAGAAACCGATTTCAACTTTAATTTTACTAAAACTCAAGCTGTTCATTCATATAATAATATATAGATTTAGCCAGGGCTAAAAGCGAAGCTCCCATTAATAAATTTATAATTTAAATCAAACAATAAACTTGTAATCCACAAATCAGTTAACTTAAGGGCACATATATGTGACTTTTTAGGGAAAGCTAAGGCTAAGAGATTTTAGAGTGAAAAAAAAAAATCTTACATCGAATTGATAGCCGTATATATACACCCAAAAAATAGCAATCATCTTCAATCACATTTAAGAGCCATAATGGCTCTTGATCACAGTAGATTAGGCCTGGAAAACGAATACTTGGAAAACAAATCAGGCCGAATTTTTGCGTTCGACAAGTTTCCTCAACAAAATCTAGCCAATAACTGTGGGAGCGTGTAAACCAAACTTTTATACTTTTTATACATCACATCTGAGGTGAAACGGTAACATGAGGCGCTGTTTTTATCATACAGACTTCAGACAAAATGCAGTATTTCACAATTTTTCAAGACAAATTGCCTCCATTCAATATTCAGAACCGTACGACGTACGTGTGGGCTTTTAGCAAAACCGTTCAGAAAATTTCCAAAATCACCTATACGGTTAGCCGGTTCTCACTTTTGACAAGCGCCAAATTTTCAGTGAACATTGAAAGAGTTACGCTTCAACATAATAAAGAATTTACTGTGTTTATTTTTTTTATTTAATGGTTTTATAAAGATGTGTAATCTTAAAAAGCGTTTGATACGCGTGGCATTTTGAGTACTCCTGCAAGCGATGTTTATGAACGACTGAATACAAACGGAAAAGCGATTAAAATTGCAAGAGACTACTAACAATCATTAAAAGAAATGTAATTCGGTGAAACATTTACAGAGGCAACAATTTTCATTCACGAAGGAGAGTATTAAAGCGTCTCTAAAAATTCTGAGTCTTTAAGCTTAAGCTTAAAGCTTTTAGCCGGCTTCCTGGTGTTTACTGTTTTCAAAGATGAACTCGAGGCAAGAAACTCGCTCGAAGCTTTCTTTCTACAGCCAAAATTATAACTAAATACTCTTCGGAACGTTTTTTCTTTCTATTTGCGGAGACTAGAGAAGATATCGACTAAAGGCTTTTTAAAGCTCTGTAAGCTTATAAGAAACCCCATTCTAGATCAGATCATTGTCTCAGATCTTAATACAAACGTGCACTAACTAGCCTCATCAACTGCGCTCGACTTCATGGAATTAGATATAAAAAAACAAACACATACACTTTTTTTATACAATATAATTACTCAGGCTTACCATTCGAGCTGCAGCTCCTGAAAGCTATCAAGTAAGGCCAGAATCGCTTGAGGAAAACTTTTCAACCCGCATCCAGCAAGGTGAAAAACGAAAACGATGCCATCCGCAATCGGATTTCCAACTTTGACAAGCGGCGCATTTCTCAATCGAAAATTCAATAAACAAACCAGCCATGAATAACAGAAGACTGTTGATAGCAGCTGTATTTCATTTTATGTATCCAGTGGAAAAAGACAGTAAAAAACATCACAAGTTGACAAAAAAACTCTGTCAGCTTCAGCTGTCAAAGCAAACAAGTTTCAAGATGCTGTATAAATTTTCTGCATGAGCCACCTAAAAATTGGACGGTCGTATAGCGCGATCAACGCGTGTGGTAAGAAAAGTGAAAAGCCTCTGTCTTCCCTGCTTGTATGTTTAAATGACTGGCTGAATTTTCGCGTCCGAGATCAGTCTGAAATCAAAAATGTTAATAGCGCGGGGCCATAGTGACATTAGCCTCCCCGCAGACGTCCTTTGGGGCTCGTTCGTCACTGAATGCGTGGAGGCTATAGTTGACATTAACGCAACACTTTCTGTCATCATTTCATTATTTTGCTGCCGTTCTCTTTACCTTTGTATTTCTCTTTCGCGTTGCCTTTGTCTATTCATTCTAGCTCTGTCTCGTTCTGCTTGCCGGCGTTTTTCACTACAATTTTCTCTCCTTCTTCTCGCCCTGACTCTTTCTAAGCGCCGACTTTCTTCGCTAAAATTTGTCTTCTTCTTCTACTTCTAACGCACTCTCTTTGGCGATCGTCTTCGCTTGCTCTACGCGTGTTGACTCTTGCTCTCTGCTTAAAACCTGTCGTCTACACGCTAAAATCTCTCTCCTTATGTTTGTTGACATAACAGCTTTCGTAAGTTGTAATAAAAAGTTATAAAGGCTCTGTCGAAAAATCTTTTTGTTTAGTTGCTTTGAAATTTCTTTTTCCAAAACCAGTTGCGCGATATAATTGCGCGACGTTGCGCCATGCGGTTTCCCGCCAAAAAATCTCTACTTTCCCCTACCCCAAGAGTCCATGCGGACTACTTTCCACTACCCGGAAAGTCCGTACGGACGGACGTACGCTGACGTCATAACCAAATTTTCTCGGATGGATAGTTTACCAAATTATCTTAGTTATGGTGCTCCGCTCGCGCGCGCTTCGCGCGCGCAAGGAGCTCCGCTACAAGACGCTCTAATGATATTCGCTTACCCCTACCCAGAACAAACTGGGGTAAACAAACTTTTATTTTTCAGTTCGCGAAAG